TTTGAGATTAAGATCGATTGCTTGGTACATGTACTTTCCTCATAATTTATCATCAGTGACCAAGATTCTGATACCACTAACATTGACGCGTGGATTGGGAATTCATTTCTGTGAGTTTTGTCCACTTAAAATCTGGGGAAAAATAGTTTTCTCTCATGTCTTAACCCATTACCACCTGTACTACAATGTATTACATTGTGTTTATTCACTCAAAACCCAGTACCTACAACCATAGAGTGCTCAGGCGTTTTCAGGCACTACAGGGAGTAATAGGCAGGGCGGTTTCGGATCGGGTGCTACAGTGACTAAGGCCAAAAATAAAAAGTCTCAGGTTATACTATCGAGTGTAAGCTTTATGTGGCCTCTCTGGACTCCCATATATTTGCACTAAATTTAGTCGGGCACCATTGCAGTCATCAGCCGACATTTCAAGAAAAAAAATGGTAAAAAAAAATCGGAGACTTTTTTGGGGGGCCTAAACTAAAGGGTTAAACTGTTCGCTTCACTTATTGTTTTGCCTAAATTGTCTTCAGGCTAGCATCTACAGTAGTGCGTGTGTGACCCTGGGTTTCATATCCAGGGGGAATTTTTTTTAAATGAATAAAAATTACTAAACTTAAAAAGTAATTCTGCTTTCCCCCCAAATACACAGATCACAAGATGGCATTCCTCCCGGGCAACATGTTAAAGTGGATTGATGCGTACATCCATAAAAATAATGGGACAAAAATCTTGATTCTTGGATCATCAGATGTTCAAGCTCAGGCATTTTGATTCAGATGCAGTGGTTTCCTGAAGCAAGCGAGAGAACCTTGTGCCATGGTGGTAGGTTGGCGTTTCCAAATCATGAAAGTAATGCCTCAGGTTTACAATACAAAGGGAAAGGGTGGTTGAATGTTTTCTTTGTCGTTTTCTTAAAAACAAGAAGCGTTTGCTAGAAATGTTTTTAGTGGTGTTTGCTTTCCCCAAGATGTCCCCTTATTGCATTATCACAGGATGGATGGAACAGACCTCGTGCGTTAAAGGTAAATATTCAACATTTGCGAACATCAAAAAAGAAAATATCATGAAATACCTTTAATACTTGACTGTAAGTGAATAGTAGTCTCAAGTATCCTGTGAAATCATGGCACCTGGTGTGCTGTCATTTTAGAGAAAAGTGAAATTTTTGTATCAGTTTCCAACGATTGTCGGCCGACCATCGTTGGAAAATATTTTTTTTCAAATACTACACCCATTCTACCAAATTTAGTTAGTCCACATTCTGTTTGCAATTAGTTACACGTCCTTGAACGGGTGCAAGCCAGCTAGTCTGGTTCCCTGACCTGACAGTTGCCCGATGTCTATAAATTGCTCCGTTTCGTCTGATGTAGGTTCAGGGAGCCAGACTACAAAAACACCACTTTTTTTCTTGGTTTTTCAAGCATCTATGAACACAAAATTCAGGTCAGTGTGACAACAGTCCTTCTGATTTGAAAATCACAGGCGTGTGGAAAAAGGCACACCTGGATTCTTCCAGGCGTGTGGTTTTTCTAGTTGTCTGATTTTCTAGGTGTGTGATTCTGTGGTCTAGGGAAATTCAGGCGTGCAATTATTCACACTTCTCGGGAAGCTTTTAGGCGTGCGATGGCGTGGGGGTGCGATCGCACGCCTCAAATCAGGACTGTGACAATATTTGCTATAACAAACTAACCCCCAAATCCATCCGTTTCTGAAACCTACAGCAAAAGCAAATGTTGTATATTACCTTTAAGGCAGAGTTAGTAGGCGTTTATTTCTTATCATTGGTCATGCATGAATAAACCTTTTTGTGTATTCATTTTTACTAAATTATAGTACCAAAGAATGCCCTCTGAGAGCCTGCAACACATGAGGTCGGTTGTCTGGCTTGCCAACAAATATTCAAGATCCAGAGTTGTTTTACCAAAATACGCCCTCTTGAATAGAGGAAAAAACCAGATTTTGCCGTTTTTTGCAAAATGCTCAACGAGGTTGTGTTCTTCTGGGATTCTTGTTAAATAGGTTCCGATCATATGAGGTCAAAGTACCATGTGACCATCCGGTTTCCCTTTGATTGGCTGCCATTGCAGTAGGCAAGCATTGGGTTAGCAACCATGCCGTACACTGTAAACTAGACAGTAGGGCTTATTTTCACGTAAAGTAACCACAAATTTCCTTATCCAATGGTATAATGGTCACTACCTGTGCCATGTACGGTTGTCATAATCGTGCTGACCCAGCACTGGGTGTTGGGTCTGTGTTTTTCTTCTCCCCGTTTTTGCCATCCCTCACAGATTTGAAGGCTTGCCTACTACCTACTGCGCGCAGCACTATCTTTGCCTACTGCAATGGCGACACTGACTTGCCTGTATTCGGATCACTAATCTCTATATAAAGACTGGATAGCTAATAAAGGGCCGCACAATGAATGAATTTGACGCCATATTGGTGAGACCGGCATGTGATCTACAAAGGACAAGTTGCCGTCTTTATAGACAGCATGATTTCTTTTGTAACGTCGCGGTTCACTTGACTTATATTTTGACCACCACCACTGACCAAGGTTAACTACAGTTTTTCTAACGTCGTGGTTACTAAAATGCCGCAAATATCACTTTTTCGGCGTTTTGAAATAATAATCACTACGGAAATGTGTCCCTTTTAGAACATCATAATATGTGTACGTGACCAAAATGCGCGTCAACTGTTGATGCAACGCGCGCGTATTTACGCGTAGAACATTCGTATTATACGCGGCCATCTTCGTGAGACCGAGGGCGAATTGGTCAATATGCAAAGTCTACTGTGTGAATGTTGTACGCATATCCGCTATCCAGTCTTTATATAGAGATCAGTGATTCGGATATGTAGGCTGGGTCACATGGATCAGTGATAACCCTTTATAATAAAGAATACATCTTAAGTTACAAACTTGAACAATAAAACCAAATCGCTTGGCATATATTCTATTATTTTATTAATTAGAAATGTACAACAAATTTGTCATTGACAAAAAAACCTTTAGTGTGTATAAAAGTGATTTGGGAAAAAAAATAGATGTCTCATAATTTATTATTTATAAATAATTTATTCTTGGAATAATCCAATAAACTTGATTTCAGTTGACATGTAAATAATTTACGACTTTGAAAGCCGATTTTGTTCTCGAATTTATAAAGAGATTCCTATTGGTCGAGAGGAGAGTTTTAGCACTAGGCACATACCATAGACATGGCCAGAGGGGTGTTCACAAAACAGGAAGTAAAATTGTTGAACAAAATCGTTGGAAATTTGTGAAGTTTGGACTTGCTTTGACTTTCTGACCGAAAGGTATTTATTCATGGGGATAATTTTGTGCTTTGCCGGTTATAAACAAGTACAATGTACGTTTAAAACCTGCTAGGGGTCTGGACGCAGATAATGGTACAAGCCGAAAGCAGCCAGGCCCCTAGCCAGCTTTAAAAGTACTTGTATCGAAGCGGACAAGCACATATTAATTCCCTTATTAATACAATACATAGTTTCAAAAGTACTTGCTGAAATAAATTAACTTTCACCTTTGAAGTAAACCATTTACAATGTATATTACTGTGTGAAATTGGACCTTTTTAAACATTGAAATGTTTCACTGTCTCCTGATGACGAACAGAGCACACAGCAGTGTTGGAGCAAAGGCTTTGACCCTCAAGGCCAAGGCCAAGGCTTTGACCCTCAAGGCCAAGGCTAAGGCCAAGGCTTTGACCATCAAGCCTCGAGGCCAAGGCCAAGGCTTAACCCTCAAGGCCAAGGCCAAGGCCAAGGCCCTGTTTTATGAAATGACCACTGATATAGAACTAATTATAGTCACATGAGTGACACGTCATCACGCAAGGGCGGATCCAGAACACAATTTGGGGGGGGGGCAAAGAAATGTTGGTCCCCCCCAAAAAAAGTGGGTAAAAAAATTTACGGCTTGTGCTTCGGGGCCCGCTTAAGGGCCTCGAAAAAAATTTGGATTCGAGATATGCTCTGTGGTGCGATTTGAGGCAATTTCTGACCATTTTTACCGATGTTTTTTTTAGGAAAAGATGGTGGTGTACTCATTGCCTGCCTTTATTACGACGTCACATTAAAAAAAACGGTTTCGGTTTTTTTTGGGGGGGGGGGGGCATGGCCCCTTTTGGCCCACTGGATCTGCCCTTATCATCACGAATTGCTCGTTACGAAGAACAACATTTCTTTAACTGCAATCAACATGCTCGCATAGGCCTACACCGTTTTATGACTGCACTGTATGTATTAAAGTATAAGTTCAGGTCTTCAATATGGTTTAACTAGACAAAATAATGATTTACTTCTATATTGACACACAATTCTCCCAAGTGTATCAAAAGGGGGATCCAAGAATCTGATTTGGGAATTTTTTTATTTGCTGGCCCAACATGGTCAGAAATATCAGCATTATCTAAAACAGATACATGCAAATCTTTAGCACTTATCAGGGAGACATATATACAACCAATCAGATCTACTCCATAGTTATATGCGACTTGAGCGTATTTTTTAGACGGATTTTGGCGCTATATAAATGTTCTCTATTATTATTATTATTTGCAATTAAAGTGATCATCTCATTAGCCCCACAAGTGTACGGAATATTTTTGCAGCAAATCTACTACAATGGTAACAAAATATGATGCTACAAAAGTGGAAGTGTGCCCAACACACAAATCTATAGGGTGCTTCCCTCCTCCATGGTAATACGATTAAAATGGTAACAGCAAAATTTCGAACAGATTTATCTGGAAAATGCAAAAATCTATGGGCCTTGAAGAGCCTTGACTCAAAATTGCAAGGCCCTGAACCCTCAAGGCCAAGGCCAAGGCCAAGGCTTTTGCCCTCAAGCCTCGAGGCCAAGGCCAAGGCCCTAAAATCCAGCCTTAAGGCAGCCTTAAGGCCAAGGCCCAGCATCAAGGCACTACATCACTGGCACACAGTTTGAAATGTCGAGTTAAAACAACTGGTTCTTCTCAGAACCACACAACTCAAAAGAGATATCATTCACATCGCGTTACCGCAAACTTTCCATTCAATGTTTCACTTACCATTCTGTCACAGTGTTGTGGTAAGATGAACAGTCCTTTTCATTTGCATTTCTTTTGACGAGAGATTCAAAAAAAATTTGCCTCAATATATCGTCATTGTTTGACAAAGTGACGCATCTGTGCACACAGCTGCCACCTTCTGAACATCCGTGTGCCTCACTGAATTAACCATTGACTGAAGAGTGTAATGAGGATTTACAAAGAAGCAATTTCCAAATTTATTGTTGCACCACAGCGAGACTTATCATGGATAGTTGCTGCAACATGAAGTAACTTCTCCTATGCACCAAGTCCGTAGACAATCTCTCACTTTTTGGTGTGTCAAACAATCATATCTGTTACTTCATGATGTACGTGAAAAATATGTTACCTATTTTTTAATTTGGTCAGGAGGGAGCACGAGCAGCACTTGGATATCCATCACATTTGTTCCCGTCAGACCAGTTTTTAGCAAATCCGTCCCATCATTCAGTCGACTGTAGAAAGAATAGGAGTTGTTATTCCGAAGGAAAGACTCGGCATCGATTCCTGATTGGCTGGCCAGAGTCACCTGACTTGGGTGGGCCAATGCGCCGGCGGCATCGGTCGGCCCATCTTGCCCATCGGTTCCTGCACTCAGGAACACAACATGATAGCCACCGTGAAGGAATCTGTTGAGATCTGATTGAGTTTTCATTGCCATGGCGGCAGCCAATGACATCTCTTGATTCCTTCCGCCCTTGCCTTTGCCTGTCACAGTCACCGTGGTTTCACCGGCACCAATCAAACAAATTGGGGCTTTGTTCTCGTATGCGGTGCCTACAACCGTTCTAATTTCTTCAAGAGTTTGTACTTTAAGCCCATGCAGCGTGACTAAATCTTGCCCAAGCTTTGATGCATTATGGTCTTCGCAAGTACTTTGCCTGGCATTGTACAATTCACAGGCATAAGCTGCGATGACAACAAACAACTCCCCTACTTTTCGAGCTTCGCCAGACAGCTCAGTCGAGAGCAACACGGCCGCATAGCCCAAGTCCTCTGCATGCTTTTTGGCCTGCTCCGCGGCCATTTGGTTGTGTCCGATGCAAACATTCAGCACATGGTCACATGCCGTGGGTTCTGTAGTCTCATTGGCTGTCTCCGTGTCAACCTTCTCTTGGAAGAAGTTGAGGGCTGATGTGGGGACGGAGTCCGTTGCTCCGAGATGTGAAATGATATCCAGGCAATCTTGCGGCGTGGTGTCGTCTCGTATGGTGGGCCCGCTGGCAATCATGTCTAGCTGGTTACCGATGATGTCAGACAAGATAAGACTGATCACCTGGATATAAAAATAAAAGCAAGGTTGTTTTGCACTTGAATTATAAGCGAAGCATAGTGTATTACAAATGTGTTTTTTGCAGTTACAATGGTTGAACAATGGAAAATTATATCTTCAGACCCCCTAAAAGGACTTGGTCCTACTTTGACGCACTCGCATTCAATTTGCAAGCGTTACCTGTGCCGATTATGGTGACTCGAGGATACTCAAGCTTTCTCAATTATTTTTTAGCTTTTTGTAAATTGATGATGATGACACAAACTAATTAAGCCCATTCAGAAGATGGAAAGAATGTTGCATCTTGACGCCACTTTTTACATTATCTCAATGGAGGTCAGTCGTTGCAAAAATGTTGAAAAGACATAAATCTGGGACTGAGAAACATTTCCAATTTTCTTGGAAAATACTTTGAAAATGTACTGGACTCTCCATAGACTTTGTACACAACCAAAGAAATGGCATCTGGATACTATACTCTTTCCCAGAAGACATTCACTGTCAATGGAGGTTGCCTATAACTAACAGACTAACAGATCCCGACGGCTTTGACAATCCTTATACAGCAAGAAGGCTACTAGGGGAGTTCACCAAGCAGTGCCTTTGTCTCTGGTTCTTGTCCCAGCTTCATGATTTTTGGCCTCTGTCTGCAGGGGGGGGGGGGGGGCAATTTCAGCTCAACCCAAGTCCGTTTTCTGCTTCAGAAATGTCCAAGTTTATAATATGGGAGAATCATTTCCATTGGCTTTGATGTATTTCAAGGTTTCTGAATGAGACAAAGTTGAAACTGAAACCAGTCACAAAGCAATACATTTGGGTATTAAATTCCCTCAAATTGACAACAGAGTCTTTTTATTGCGTGAAATCACAAAGAGACTGGCCATATTCCGTAGCCAGTAGGATACTATGGCTTAAAGTGTTTCTCTGGAGTCCAAATGGGTCCCATCAAAAGTAAATTACAAGTCAAGTAACAAGTAACAGGGGATGAACAATAACATAGTAATGCTTTTGTCAAGCTTGAGACTCGATATGAGGCAGAAGGACTTGTGACAGATAGACCAGACAACAACACAGCTGCCCACCTGTGCAGGATAGGCAAGCTTAGCCAGCCCGCCGCCTTTCAGCAGCGACAGGTGTTTCCTAACGGTGTTCAGCTCGGCGATAGTGGACCCATGTCTGGCCAGAGTCCTTGACACCTCGTATATGTCCTGTAGGGCGATTGGCGGAGTGGGTGCAGGGAGAAGGGCCGAACCTCCACCTGTATGAATGGAAATATCGGTCCAATTTTAATTATGGAGTTATTGCTATCCAAATTTCCTATTTTCAGGGATGTGATTTCTCCGTTTTTTCCAGAAATCCGTTTTTTTGCAGCTCGACAATAATACAGTTTAGCATGGTACACTGTTTCTCACTCTTTTATCGGGTTCGATAGTTTAGTGACTGGAAATCAGTCTACTAGGAAAGTGTGCACAAGTAACCTAAAATAAAATCCATTTTTCCCCCCAGAAAATTGCAGATACCCAAAACAGGGGGAAAAGGCAAAATTGCATCGCATGACCGCCATTTTGTTTTACGTTTTAACACATTTCGAGCTGAGATCCGACGACTCTTTGTTGAATATCAGACGAGTATTTACAGTACGCTGACTAAATACATAAAACAGTCACCGAGTTGTGCTATAAATACACCTACGACACGTCGCACTTACGACGTGTTTTGTGAAATGGACCGCAGGACGCGTCGCAGCTGCGACGCATCATAGGGTTACGACGGGTCGCAGTGCTGCGATGCGTCATAAGTTACGATGAGTTTCATGAAATCGGGTTCAGGACAATTAGTAAGTCCCCCTTCCCTAGCCCCTGGGTCAGCTCTGTGATCCTCTTGGCTGCTCACCCAACCACCCCATAAGCCGACCCCTGACCCCTCACCTGAGACCAGGACAATCAGTAAGTCCCCTCCCCTAGCCCCTGGGTCAGCTCTGTGATCCTCTTGGCTGCTCACCCAACCATCCCATAAGCTGACCCCTGACCCCTCACCTGAGACCAGGACAATTAGTAAGTCCCCCTCCCCTAGCCCCTGGGTCAGCTCTGTGATCCTCTTGGCTGCTCACCCAACCACCCCATAAGCCGACCCCTGACCCCTCACCTGAGACCAGGGCAATCAGTAAGTCCCCTCCCCTAGCCCCTGGGTCAGCTCTGTGATCCTCTTGGCTGCTCACCCAACCAACCCATAAGCCGACCCCTGACCCCTCACCTGAGACCAGGACAATCAGTACGTCCCCCTCCCCTAGCCCCTGGGTCAGCTCTGTGATCCTCTCGGCTGCTCTCTGGGAGTCTTCATCTGGAAGGTTGTTCTTGGCTCCCTCCAGGATGGAAACTTTGGAAGCATCGGAGGGTAGTAGATAACTGGAAAAGAGGTAACACATACACTTGCTGTGTTATTAGTGAATCCATTACAGGTCCCTCGCAAGACCCATTCAAATCGTTTCTTTTTCATCGTCTGATGAGAAGTTACTAAGTAATGTTAAAAGTTGGTTACGGGTACCCGATCCCATAATCTGGAACCGGTTTCTGACATTAGCGGTCGTGTACTCGGGTATCCAGGTACCGGGTTCCGATGCACACTCCTAGGTTCAAGGAGAAGACAGGGAGGGATATTCCAGTGCATTGCTGAGGACGCCCGACACTCATGCGAAGATGCCACAGGTTTGTGCACACTTGGAATAAAATAGGTCGTGCATACTTCGCGTCATGAAAAATCACCACTCTTAAAACTATAAAGCAAGGATCCACTTGCAGTGTTTTAATAAATTAGAAAGTCAAGTCAATGGGAACAATCCCTACATACCTTCTGCCAGCCTTCCTGAGGGCATCTTGTATACCGAAGGGAACACTGGCAATGCCGCGTTGGACATGTTCCCCAAGGATATCATCCACAGCTCCCACCATGCCAATGACTGCTTTGCCAAAGCCTACCACTGAGACATTGTGGTCAACCTGTAGAAAAATGAGTACAGTCGACTCTCGTTATTATACAAACACTGTAAATACAAATTCTTCAACATAATGTCTTTGTCCCAACGTGCATTTGAACGGCACTCCAAAATTCCGATGTAACAAACATTTTTGCTAGGTCCGGCTGAGTTTGTATTAACGAGAGTCGGCTGTATAATCAAATACCGTATGCAGTAATAAGCTGCTAATAACTGCTTACTGTCTTGGCTGGTTTTCATGACTGTGCTTACCACTAGCCAAAATATCGCCACTAATTGTGGCAGAAAATTACACGCTTACGGTTAGCATATTTCACAGGTTAGCAAGGAATTTTGGCTTGAGAGCATGCGTGCATCCCGTAACTAAGGATTCATTGCTTACAGGATTAGCACAGAATTTTTCTGTTGGCGCTGTTAGCACAGAATGGTGACCATACGCGTGGAGTGCTGTGGCCTCGTGGTCTGGAGCATTGAATTCGTGGTCAAGTTGATAATTCTGCTGGTTGTGGGTTCGAGTCCAGCCTGGGGCTATGGTGCGTGTGCCCTTGGGCAAGACACTTAGTCACTCATTGCTTCTCCCCACCCAGGAGTAAATTGGGTACCTGTGAGGGCAGAGCTAGATGGTTATTGTGGTTGATTTTAGCTGCTTTGCGCCGAAATGGCAGCATCAAGCTGTATACTCCCCAGGGAGCTGAGATGGTATTTGCAGATTTCAAATATTCGGTCAAGGGCAGTTTCGAATAATCGAATACTAAATTAAACAAAATTGGACAGCCCTAACAATGCATATTCACAGGGGCGGGTGATGGATTAAACCATCAAGCTTTTCGCGAGTCTCTGGAGGTGGACGTGTGTACATGTCAGTGGTTCCCATTAGTTTTGTACACACCGTGTGTTGAACTTAAACTTGGCCTGTACACGGCCTGTTGTTGCAGCATACATCGCTCCATGGCGGGGCCTCGGGGTGTTGCAAAATATGAAGTTACGGTGAGAAGTATCGTACAAATATTGTAGAAGTCACTCTCAAGTGTCAGTATTTGTGGTGTTTGACTTAATTTTATAATTTTGCTGATATATTTTGTGTTTTAAAAAAATGGTGTTTTTCGGCCAAAATAAAAATCCCATCATCAAGTGGTTTAGAAACCAATGCACTTTGAAATCACGCAGATTTTGATTTTACGTTTTGTAACATTTATGTCGATATTACCTTATACTGTTTCCCGCTGACGGTCAGGCAGTTGCCATGGTAACAGAGGGCCTTGGCAACCATGCGATGAGGCAACACAGCATCCACACCGGCAGCAAAGATGCTTTTTGCATCTTGCTTCAGTTTGTCTGTAGGCCTACTGGTATCCTAGGGAAAGAAAACCAGGAAGCAACTCTGATAAGACACTTTGGTAAATGATATTTAATGCTAAAAACAAAACTCCCACTCTTCTAAGTTCTAGTTCGACTCAATCAAAGCAATTACAATTTGACAACAGAGTAAGACTTGTTCTCAAATCATATTTTTTTAACTCATTATTTCTGTTTTATCCTTCTTTTTTGGGGGGGGGGTTAAGAATTATTTCAAATAATTTTATGTTGCTCTTTTATTTATTTTAGGCCTACTTATTCAAATTGATTTTTTTTGTTTTACCCTTTTTATTTTAATATTTGTATTATTTATTCGACCCAAACGACATTATAAAATTACAACATAACACATAAAGGGAAAACACTGAAGCATAAACACTCAAATAAAAAAAAAACCCAGAAAACAAAACAAACTTAATTATACAAAAAAGATAAAACAAATAACATTTTGTACTACCTTCCTCAAACCTATGAAATCTTCCAAAACCTCTTGGTAGAATTTGTAAGAATGAGTGGGTTAGCCTAGGGATGCAAGTCCCCAGGTTAGTTACTTTACCATGTTTAGTTTGTTGCTTGTGCTGAGATTCCGTGACATGGAAGTCATGTTTCGGTACGAGAACAAATCGTTCAGTGCTGTCCTTCTAAGATGGATTCCTGAGATGAAACGCAGGGTTGCCATTTATTCCCCAACGTAGGTCCTCTTGAAATGCTTTGTCCATCCATGGAGGAAGGAACATCGAACGGGGCAAGGGGATGCCTCTGTCCTCAGCATCAGAAACTTTGTTTTACTGTTTGGCAGATAGTGTACCTGTTTTTGAAAAAAGAAGAAGTTTGTTTTCAGAAAAAGCAGCTGCACATTACACTTCTGTTAACTCCGATTAAATTCGCTCCTCCTTATGTTCAGTTTAGCCATGGAGGAAGGCCCCTCCATGGTTTAGCGAAGTGACATTTTAATTTATATGTAATATAGTAATATATAAATATGAAATATAATTATTTGTGACCAGGTTCCCAACTGCCAAAGAACCAGGGTTTCCACAAATTTTACCAAAGTGACACATCTGTTAACCTTGATTAGAGTTCAACATATCAGAGTTCAACAAATTTAGAGTTATGTAATCTGAACAAAACAAAAGACTGCTTGAGGCTTCAAAAGTCAGTTGGGAAAAAAATGTTGCAACCTGACGCCACTTTCTTCTTTATATATCATCTCCATAAGGTCATTCATTGCAAAAATGATGATAAGACATGAACTGGGACTGAAAAAATAATTCCAATTTTGTTAGGAAATACTTCGAACATTTTCTTGACTCTCCAAAGACTTTGTAAACAATCGCAGAAGTGGTGTCAGGTTGCAACGTTTTTTTCCGTCATTTTAGAATTGACATATTTTCCTTTGCAAAAGTCATTTTCGAGCAAAACTTGTAAAAAACAGGTGTCCTAAACTAGTTTTACCAAAATAAAACAAAAACACATTCCAAAACTAAATAGGGGGGGGGGGGGGCCTAAATATTCTATCCCGAGTCATCATAATTGGCGCAGGTAACGCTTGCATTGTGCGCGCGTTGTCCAATGCAAATTGAATGCGAACGCGGCAAAATAGGACGTCATCGTTTCAGGGAGTCCGACGATATGCAAATATGCATTTGCCAAATTGTATTTTATGATGGAATATCCACCATATCCCCACCCCACTATATGGTTCATGCACTAATCAATATGCAGCAATGTAACCTCACCCAGCCAGCCACAGCAGTGGCACAGAACAATAACATTTATGTCTTATTTTCTTTTAATAATATGTGTAGCCGGCTGCCTCAGGCTATCTGCCCTAATGAAGTGAAACCCTCCTGCCCCTCCCCCTATACTATCATAGCCTTGTACTTTGTAGTAATTTGGAACGATTTATTATTGTTCACTACTGGCTGGCACTGCCAGTGCCATCGATGACTGCTACATTATTAAACTAGAACAGGCATTATGATCTTATTACTTCAACCATGGAGGAATAAACAAACACATGACATGTATGATGTAGGAATCGGCATGGTGAGTACGACCTGTGAAATGTTCGTAAAAATGTAAATTAACGACGTACGCGTACACGTACATGTACAGTACATGTACACGTGGATGGGAACAATGCAACGAAGTCTAGGATCCAGGCCATCTCCATTTTAGAACCAGACTAAACGTATTTCCTGTGAGGGCGCTCTTTGACACACATGGGTACAAATTTTCATTTACCCGAAAAGGTTTGGTGCTCAACATGTACGCGGAGTTGCTGCAGGATCAATAAGCAAATTTAATGGAAATTTGGCACGAATGTGGATCATCTTTTCAACGTATTTACCCGTAAATAGGCAGGTGCTTTACCGAGGATAGCTTGAGGTAGCAACTTTGTGGTCGACGGGGTCTACAAGAGGGGGGAAAATGAAGCTTTCGGACTCGGTGATGCGAAGTTTTCGCGTGGCAAAATTATACAAGGATCAAAACACCGAACGCATAAACAGCATTGACTTTTCGCACAATGGAGAGACGATGATATCGAGCAGTGAAGATGATTCCATCGTCATTTATGACTGCTTGGAGGGAAAGTATGTCTTTGTGTGGAAGGATTGGATGCTATTTTGTTGCAAGTCGTGGTCTAAACTTCGTAGTGCAGCAGGGAAGCTTATTTAACATGCACTGCAGTTGAACTAATGAACTATAAAATTATTCATTTATTGGCATTCAATTTTTGGACATGTACATGTATTGTTGAAGTTCCCTTGATATTGAAACAAGGGTTGGAGTTTCCCCTAGCTACAATTGTACTGATTTTTCTCAGTCTTATGCAATGAACAGTCATTGCAAATCTTTTGGAAATAATCTTTAACGATTACGAAGTGGCTATCGATACGGCAGCATTTTCATTACTTTCATGTTTTTAATCAAATCTTTCTTTTTATTTAAGTAGATTTCATGATTTCATTTTTTTCGTAATCCATGGCTTTGGAGGATTTTTTTTAAAAAGGGAAATAAAGTCAGAGAACCATTTGGTTGAATGATAGTCTGGTTTCAAATAGTCCGAGTAAGTAGGAGTAGGACTCTACGGATCGCCTTTTTTAACATTTGGACATGGTCGGGAGATAGTACTATCGCCCAACCATGTCCAAATTAAAAAAAAAAAAAACGATCCATAGAGTCCTAGTCACTCGGACTAGGTTCCAACAGCCAAAGATCCTGACGTTGAATACTATTAGGTCAGGGAACCAGACGGTTCCATATCGATAGCAGTTGAAAATCACATTATGGCTGCCTTATTGATAGCCACTGCGAATCATGAATACAGCTCAGATACTTCTAGAACTGGAAGTAGAAGGCATCTGGATTTCCATCGAAAATATAAAGAAAAAGATGAGCAATCTGTTAACCGAAGGCATTCACCCTTCACCAACTGATTTACATATTGTAGCCGTGTGAGGTCGCTGTTCGCACTTCAGGCAGTGTATAGCGCGCAGCTAGTGCTGTTGGCAGCCAGATACCACTATGGACACCATCTATTGACAAACGCCTTGACCAAGGCTAGCAATTGCATTGAGCTTATACACGCTCTATCGTTTGCAGAAGCACTGTTCAATCGTGCAAGCGTGGGTCGATCGTGCAGGGGCAAAGTTTGTGCAACCTTCTAATCTCACAACCTGAATGGCCAATCTTGCAGCGCTTAAAGGGAATATACATCATTTGCTTTTGCTGTAATTTTCAGAAATGGATGGAATTGGGGGGTTGGAAATATAAAGCAAATATAGTAACACTGACTTTTTTGAGGTTTTGGGTTCGAAAATGCTATAAAAACCAAGAAAAACGATCATTTTCCTGTAGTCTGGTTCCCTGACTCCATATCAGAAGAAACAGAGCAGTTTACATACATTGTAAGGTCAGGGAACCAGTCTAGCTGGCTCGTACCCGTTCATAGGTTTGTAATCGATTGCAAACAAGTGCAATGGTCAATTGGGGCCAGTATTTGAAAAAAAGCCAGTTATTTCCAACGCTGATCGGCCGATCAGCGTTGGAAATTGATACAAAAATACCACTTTTCTTGAAAATGACAGTATACCAGGTGCCATAATTTTACAGGATGCTTTAGACTGTCATTTACCAACATCCTATTAAGGTATTTCGCAAAAACTTGGTAGTTTTATTTTTCGATGTTTGCAAATGTTGTATATTCCCTTTAACTATCATGATTGGACAATAGAGCATGAATGTGTTTGAGCAATCTACCTGATCTTGTGTGATCAACCTATCTATGTTGAAAACCCGTTTCAGGGTTTTCACCAGACTGGGACCTCGAGTGCAAAAAAAAACTACACAAACAAAATCGGGCTAACATTACTCGCTCTTTTAGCCGACAAATATCTCCAAAACTTGCATGAGGCAAAGACATGGTCCTCAGTATTTCACCAGCCAAGTTTGAGGTCTCACATCAATTTTTGAAGGAGACCTTTCTTCAACATTTTGCACCTGAGAGCGATGCAAAGTGATTTCAATTTGAAGCCTGAGACTAGCCGGGAACATATCCAATATTTTGAAAATATGGACCCTTCAGTAGTCTGGTAGCAGACTATGGAGAGAATGTGTAGAATGGTGACTATGTACGTTGTACCAGATGTTTCTTTTGACACAGTTGATTGATGCAGTACTGAAGGGGTGTTGGACTGGTATACTGGTTGTTTCATGTGCCAGTCTATTTTCTAGTGAACATTGCATGTATTCAATACATGTTTTGGGACTCGCCTACACAGCACTGAGTCCCAAACATGCCAAATGTTTGGACTAAGTTTTCATCATAGATTGATCACACAAAGTTGTTTTGTTTGTTTGTTTGTATTTTACTTCTTGTTTTACTGTCTCAAGGAGGAAAGAGATGAATAGATGTCTGAATCATTTTTTTTGTTTTCTCACGCATATTTCAGACAGATATGTTCAGGATATATACCTCTGTGTCCTTAATTCCACAGGCCAAAGAAAACACTCTACAGTAAGAAGTATGGTGTGGATATGATCCGGTTTACCCACGCAGTCAACACGGTCATCTATACCTCTAATAAGATGGATGACAACATCCGATATCTCTCCCTGCATGACAATAAGTACATCCGGTATTTCTCCGGCCACACCAAAAAGTAAGTCTGAAATGTCTCATACTCTTTAACCCAAACTCTCCAGGCTGGATCGTTGGCATAGAAACCCTTCCCAGTGCAACAATATGCAACACTTGACCAGCCTGCCCAGTGTAAAAAAGACCAACAGTTCAAAATTCCTAAGGCCAAAGTGCCTCAGAGTCTGGTTGCCAACTGGAGCAGGATACAACTGTGGCATTGTTCAATGGGACTAGCTCGCATGGTTTCGGAATTGGCTGTTTGTGCACTGGTGTTGATGGCCAATGCAGCAAGGTCCCACAGACTTCTACACGTGATGCACCATGCTGCGTCTGGCAGGGTTAGGATGGAAATGGTCTCGTTTGTGGACCCTTGCTCCAGACAGGGCTCTGGAGTGCTCTGAACGTGCAAAACTAAATCATGCCAACTTTACTCACTCTTTAGCCAGCAAATTTCTCCAAAAATTCCATTGGGCAAAGAAAAGGTCCTCAGTATTTCACCAACCAAATTTGCAGACTCGATTCAATTTTTACAGGAGACTTTTCTTCAATATTTTGCACATGAGAGGGCAGGCAAGTGATTTCAAAATGAGGCTAAAGACTAGACTTGTACATGTCCAACCATTGTCCAACTATTTGAAAAGACTGACCTCTTCATTTAGTGTCATTAGTCTGGTGGCTGACTATGGAGAAATGTGGAGTAAATGGAGACTAGTTCCCAGTTCATGCCACATGTTTCTTAAATTCTTTTGGCGTGGTTGATTGATGCAAAACTGAAGCGTTGGACTGGTGGTTTCAGGTGCCAGTCTATTTTCTTGTTTTGCATGTTCTCAATACCTTAAGTTTTGGGACTCTCATACAGAGTATTGAGAGTCCCACATTTTCGGACTACCCTTGCTCTATTACACCCTCCAAAACGCCTCATTACTTGCTTTCAGAAAAGGCCTCTTTATAAGCATTACTACCGAGTTGAGCAGCCAGAACATCCAGAAATACTAAGCCAATCCTCAGATTATTAAAATGAGCACCCTCCAAATCACTCCATTGAGATTGGAGTTTAAAAATAACTCTTTAGTAAAAGTGCAAAGTCTTTTAAGTAATAATCCTTTAGCATTTGGAATAAATTTTATAACATTATAATTACTCCTCTGTGAATTCATTAAACCATAGAGTGTGGGGCGGTTTGGGGCAGTACAAGGGCTAAAGAGATGTAATTATGATTGATAAATTATCGTGTTTATAACAATCTTAATGTTCAATCTTAATATTCTAATCTTACTAGAGAGCTCATCTGCCATAAAAAAAACCACTTTTCATCTTTTCAGAGTCGTCAGTTTAAGTATGTCACCGATTGATGATAGTTTCCTGTCGGGTTCATTGGATAAGACGGTCAGATTGTGGGATCTTAGGTCACCAAATTGTCAGGTAAAACTTACAGACTAACACCAAAAAACTGATGTCGAATGCAAGTTATTTTTTGATGTTTTAATTCATTCATTGTTTTGTATTTTTGCCTTTTTAATCATCCATTCCCGGTTTAGTCATTTTATGTGTTTTTTAATCTCGATAATCTCCCTCAATTTTTGGGTTCATGTTTAAATTCATTGTTTTTTTCTCTGTCAGTGTCTTGTCTTATGAACGTTTTAGTGCATGTTTAATGTACTTGCTTTTTTATGTATTAATATGCTTTTTATAAAGCTTTTTATTTATTTGTTATCTATAATAGAGCTCTTGTTTTATCGGTGCAGCAGGTCCTCGGACCACGGTACTTGTACTTTTGCTGTTCCTTGCCTTTCTTTATAATGTTGTGAGAATAGCTAAAGAAATAAATAATAATAATAATAATAATAATAAGTAGGAATAAAAAATGTGTCTTTCCGACCATTGTACAAAGCTAGTATTAATCCTATTCCCGCCCTCCCTGAACATTTAAAAAAAAAAAATTTATTCAAGTATCTGTAAACCTAACCCTCCAAGATGTTTCAAAATCAACCCCGGCGGAAGGAGGATTTCTGTTTAAAACGCTTCAGGATTTAGGGTTAATCTAGCAAAATCAAACTGCTGTGAAACACTGCATTGTAGTGCACACCCACTCCCACCGGTGCTAAGAAACATATTGTGGGGAGACTACCATATACTCATTTAGTATGAATGATCTTTTCTTTGCATTTGTACTTTTAACAGACTCCATGCATCAACAGATGGCCCTTTGTCACTATTTACCAGAGCTGCAGTTGGGGAGACATATGGCATGTTTGCCCTAGATCCTGTATGCTTGACTAATTATATTCTGAAAACGCACAAACCCCAATCATTATCAGGTGGGATGGGAAATGCGTTCAAGAGTTCCTCCCAATGGTCCTTCCCAACTTTCTCTTAGGAACCGTTGAGGGGGGTACTTTTGTGCGAAGTCCATGCAGCATTCATCAACTTCAGTTTAAAAGAAAACCCTTTTTTTTCCTTCAGAATACTTTTTGTTCCGACACTTGCTTCTTTCTTGAGTCACCAATGCAATCTCTAAACATTTTCCTTATTTATAAGCACCAACTTCTTTACTTTTTGTGACACCTCTTTCTTGAAAACCTTCATTATTCTCCCCCCCCCCCCCCCAGGGTCTAATGCATTTACAAGGGAGGCCTGTTGCTTCATTTGACCCGGAGGGTCTCATCTTTGCATGTGGCGTCAACTCAGAGCTCATCAAGCTTTACGACTTAAGATCCTTTGACAAGGTACGTGTCCATACTCCAGACTTGTTGCATTATCAGATACAGTAGAATGCAGCCACAGTGATCACTACTGTACAAAACGTTCAGCTGTGATAAACATCCGTTTTGGCTCTCAAATTTTAGGTACAGTTATTTAGTGTTGGTTGATAAAAAAATCAGTGTTATGGATGACCATTAATACCGAATAGTCTTTTTGTATTTTTTTTGGGTTGAATATTGAGAATGAATTCTGGAGATTTGAGAATACAGGGTGCCACAAAGCCTTTGTGCCCAGAGGCTACTATTCAATTTCACGGTTGATTTCCTGTCTGTGTTGTCCTATAGTTAATAAACCTTTATTGTTTGTGTGCAATATTACACACACACGCACACGTGTGTTCACCGTCGATCATGGACGTCGTAATGTCCCTCTTTTGTTTGTACTTTTTAGAAAGACTTCCATAGGTTTAGTACACAACCCCAATCGCGGACGATTGCTGGGAATCGTGGACGATATTGTTCTCTTTTGTTCTCTGGTACATGTTTTTTTTCGTCCACAGTTTGAAAATATGAACACGTGCACACACAGTAGCCTCATAAATGAGGAAAAAAAACTAGTGCAAAATAAATACAGTTCAGCAATGTCTACCAACATATGTTGACATTTTCCATTGATCCAGTTATGCGTTTGCTGCTTTGTGAATTGCTGGAATTTGAAGCCTGTGGACACTTGTGCCCTTAAGCAAGGCACTTAACCATTATTGCTTCGTTCTTCAGATGGGACATAAAGCTGTAGGTCCCATGTGTTGTGTAATGCACACGTAAAAGAACCCAGTAACACTTATCCCTAAGAGAAAGGGTTTGCCCTGGTGTTTCTGGCCTGTTTAAACTCCCACGCGGAGTATTTAGGAGAAGAATCAACCAAGGCACGCTCTGGTTAAAGGCATACAGAATCATTTGAATTTATCCCAAAAGTACCCTATTGAATTATTATAAAGAAGCATACTTGGATTGAAGATCATACTGGTATCTAAACACCCCCTGAAATTATTCTGTCTGGCTTGCTGTCATTTAGAAGAATCAAGAAATGTAGGTGATACAACGTTCAGTCAATGGTCTGAATTTTTGGATATACAGTAAAGAGTTCCATTGACGAAATAGTGTTTTCTGATCAAAAGGTTGTGCATGTTTTTTAACTGCTTTCTCAAAACATGTAATAGCCACTGAGCTTCATTTTGAACATTCATCTTGGGATTTTGAGTGGTTTTATTATCGGAAACTAACAAAATGCATGAAAAGCAAATGTGGCTCTAACAGTGGTCTGTGCTCAGTGACTGTTGTTGTGCTTTCAAGCACATGAATAAGAAATTTGCTGCAGATTTTCATGATATCACTTCTCTCCATACTAACATAGTAACATGTATTAGGCCTACTTCCTTCAGAAAAGAAAGGAAAAATGACTTTCACTTCCGTTTTCTTTTCTTCATTTCCTGTACTTTCTGGGGGTGAAACATAAGGCCAGCATTGTACACTATGAATGATGTTTCTCTTTGATGGAAGGTTAAATGTCACAGTTTTCTAAAAAAAAAATGGGGATTTTTTTTAACCCTCCTGCTATTTAAACAGTCTCAGACCAGTTTCACTTTCACTTCCCCTGCTATACTTATAACAAAGACTTATAGTCGCCGGCTGTCAGAGCATATGTCAAGCAGGCACTGTGACTTGTCAAACGGGGTCAACAGACAAAGCAGGCGAGTTGTGGTCCCAGCTGTTTTATCACTCAACGGGAGTCAAAGCATAGCTGTATCAAGTTACTTAAACAGTCCCAGCCAGTCAATCTTGCGTTATGTACATGTAGGCTGGGAATTCGTACCTGTTGAAAACAGTCACTTGATTGATTGATTTGGACTGAAATGACTACTTGACACAAAATGTATGTTTGCATAGGAGGGTATATGATTTTTTTTGGGGGGGGGAGAGTACAGGTTGATATTTATAAAGGGATGAGGCGGAATCCGTCTTTCTCTTTTATGCACATCACTGCCACACATTGTTTTGTTTTCTGTGAGAGTTTTTCTGCTGAAATTTGTTGCACATTTTGACACAAGTCTTAAAAAATCTGCTCTCCCTGTTGTGAGGGGTAAAACAAACATCTATCACTTTTAGGGTAAAGATGGTTATGTGGCCAATTCCAGTGTTATGTAATGTCCGTGACAGAGCTTTCAAGAGCTCAGTGAATAAACCTGAAAATATATTATTTTTTTTCAAATCTTAGGCCTATACGTCTGAATCATTAACCCTAGGATGCAACCTCAATCCTGCAAAATCCTCCAACTGCCTCCATGTAAAAAGAGCATACAGCCTCCATCCTCCCAAATCCTCCGTAATTTCTTGAATGTGGTCCTTGGAGGGGTGACCACTGCCTCAATCCTGCAAAATCCTCCAGCAATCACTGTCAATATGCTGAGGCAGAGCCAGTGACATCCTGGAGCAGTGCGGAGGATTTCAAATTCATGCAATAGCTGAGCATAAACAACACAAGGTCCAGCCCAAGACCTTGATCCAGTGCATCCTCCAAAATCAGCCACACATTTTTGCCATGTAGCCTGTAAAATCCCCCAGTTTGCAAAGAGGATTATGGAGGATTTGGAAAAGTTAGGGTTAACAAGATGTTATGGTTAATTGGATTTGTCACAAACATTGCACTTCCTCTCATAAGGCTAGAATTGCCCATACCGGTCTTTGAATTTGTCTATTGTCCATTTCCTTTTTTGCTCAAAAAATTTGCCCTTTGGCATTATCGATTTTTGCCTGCAGCTCAAAGATCAATGTTTTTAACAGTTGTGCCTGTTGGGGATTGATTTCACCCACAACCTCTAAATGTAAATTTGTCGAGAACTTCCAAAAGGGACTGTGTATTTTGGTCAGTGGAGACAAGGGGATGCAAGCACGTCAAAAAGTGACGACCGCAGAGCTGTTCCTGTTGTTTCTCTCATGTTTCGTCTCTGTATTCTCCATTCAGGGTCCGTTTACAACCTTCAGACTACAGCAGGACCGCGACTGCGACTGGACGTCGCTCAAGTTCAGCGCCGACGGCAAGTTGATCCTTATATCCACCAACGGCGCGGTCATCCGGTTGGTGGATGCGTTCAGCGGACAACCCAAGCAGACCTTCATGGTGAGTGAGCTTCAAGCTGACAGTCCTTCTGATTTGAAAATCACAGGTGTGTGGAAAAAAGCACACCTGGATTTTTTTAGGCGTGTGATTTTTCTAGGCGTGTGATTTTCTAGGTGAGTGATTTTTCTAGGTGTGTGATTCTATGGTCCAAGTTGGGATATTATTTCATAATATATTCATCTTGGTTTATAATAAAGCCGTTTTCTCTTCACTGACGTAATTTATTTTTCACAAATTATGAAGTAAAATTATGTCGTAAATGTATGCCGAGGTGTGCGGTACTGAGGGATTCAGGCGTGCGATTATTCGCACTTCTCAGGAAGCTTTTAGGTGTGTGATGGCGTGGGGGTGTGATCACACGCCTCAAAACAGAAGGACTGAAGCAGTTCTTGTAGAAGTCGAAGAAGCAGGGTGGAAAATCCCAACATCTTCACTTAAGTGCGACTAAGAAGAATCTTTTGATTTGTACCATTGGAAAGCAATTGCTGCCAAAGTAGTTTGATCAATACCGCTATGTGTGAGTAAATTTTCTGAATTAATATGCACATTAAGTGCAAATCGCAAGGCATATAATGAATTTTTCTGAAGACTGTGAAACAACACGATGCTTCATAAACGGTTAAGTAATCATTATTTTTGCCAGCAGGTAGTTACTGTTTCCCCCTTCCCCTTTTTTATTTAAAGTGACTTGAGAAGTTATTGACTTTCAGACCTTTATATTTATTAATTGATTTCTTAATTTTGCCCTCACAGGGTCATCTCAATCAGAAGGGTTTGTTATTAGAGTCTTCGTTCAGTCCAGATGCAAAGTATGTCCTGTCAGGTAAGAACTTCAGATCAATGAATGCTTTGGCCCAGGGATGTATTCGAGTCCAGTCACAAGTATCAGTAGATGAACAATAAAAAAGGAATGCCTTTGTTACAACTTGTTGGAATTCCCAGTGTCTCTCAGGGGATCTTCCCCCCACACACAAATTTTTTCAAAATTTTCAACTTGCCCAGTAATTGTCTCTTTTACAGGAAATTCACCAAAAGGGGAATGTAGAAGAAAAGTTTTTAACTTGATGCTAATTCCCTTCACCCTTTCACTGTATGAAATATTAATATGAATAAAGAGATAAGAAAACTGTCAACCACTAGCATCAAATGAGGTCAAGCCCCTCCCCCCTCCCCTCCCCCACTGTGAAAGGCCCCCCCCCCACCCTCCCCTCCCCCACTGTGATAAGCTGGTGCCCCCCCCCCCATACCCACTGAAAGAAAGTCCTGGCTACGCCACCGTTTGAGTTGGATCTGGAGGACTTGTGATTCACTCGACTACATCCTGCTTTGGCCAGGACGACTTTATAACAAGCCTCTCATCCATTCTTTGTCCTGGTTGGCTAAATACGGTCACTCAGTGGTCACTATCATAGGCTTGTATGGACAGTAAAAAAAATTTAAAAAAATAATAATGGTAGCCAGGCGAGTCAACTCTGCTGCATACAGACGTGTGGACTACATGCAGTGCCCATGCATGTGATGTGTACTTGCATTTGTATTTAACATTAACTCTAGTTTCTTATTGTTTTCATTCTCAGGATCGCAGGATGGCAAAGTGCACGTGTGGAATGCAGAGAACGGCACCAAGACGGCCGTCTTAGAATCCAAGCATTGTGAATCACCCATGCACTGCGTCCAATTCAACCCCAAATTCATGATGCTGGCCACGGCAGCACAACACATGGTATGTATGCCGGCCACTGTCGTAACCAAACACTAAAACAGACATTTCCTGCCTCATCTACTACCAAGGGACCCCGCTGGAAATAAGTCAGAAGACTTTCACGGGCTGTCCTGGCCGATTACCAGAAAATAGTCATAATTACCTGAGACAGTTAACCCATTCCTATTGGCTGCGAGCCCGTCCCGTGGTTAGTTTTGAACCGCCGATAAAATAGTGATCAGTGATTAAACAGCGATGTTTAAAACCAGTCGCAAGCATGTGCTCTCCGTGCCACCATGTGCTCTCCGCGCCACCTGAGTGCAATGCGCGCTCCGCCAACTTGAGAGCCATTGAAATGATCTCCATATAAGGAGAGGTGTCTGCACGCGCTGCCCACACCATAGAAAAGTCCCGGACACGGAGTAAAATGGTAGAACAAAACCTGTCGAAGTTTATCAACTTTATGAATGGGTAAAATAGTGTGATGGAGCAGTTATAAACGTGATGTGTAAAACCGGCTAGGGGCTTGGTTCTAACCAGTTTTTTAAACCACACGTTTGTAACTGCTCCAGAAAAGAATGTTGCATCCTGACACCACTTCAGCAGTTGTGTAGTTATGGAGAGTCAAGACAATTTTGAAGTATTTCCTAACAAAATCGGAAATGTTTCTCAGTCCCAGATTCATGTCTTTTCAACATTTCTGCAATGACTGACCTTAATTGAGATGATATATTAAGAACAAAGTGGTGTCAGGTTGCAACATTCTTTCCCTGCTCCATTGCCCTATTATCCCCTTAATAAATAACAAGTGATCTTCACTGTTTGCTGACATCTTGAAGATTTGAGGGCCAATCAAAGAGCAATCTGTATTTCTCATCCGTAGTAGATTTTGCAGGATCTGGGAAGCCTTTTTGGTGAACATGTGTTTTTGTGTGTATTTGTTCTGCAGGCATTCTGGTTACCAAGCATAGATGAATGAAGACACCCGAGCCTGACCGAGACCCAGTAGTAGTCCAAGACAGAGCAATTGCTGCAGTGTGCTGACTGACCGAAGTGTGTTGAAAAAAGCTGTGCCGTGGTCCTTGCTATGTAGAGCCTGAATGCTATGGTGGTAGAGCTATGGAGTACCGAAGTGAATATGTCACGCGCACAAAATGCATGTAAAAGACATTAGCGCGTGAATCAGCCTGTGAACCAACACTCGCGCGTACTCCATTCGCTTGCTCTACACTTTCTGGTTCTAAATGACGTCACACTTCGGTACTCCATAAAGCAATTGCATGACACCTCGCGATGTTGGACAAGACAAAGAATGGTGTACAGACAAAGCAGAGTCATAGAGTTATACAGTTGACTCTCGTTAATACAAACACTGTTAATACCAATTCTGGTTATAACAAACATAGACCCTTGGCCCCGGCTGTGCTTTATGTGCACAACAAATGGGACCGGCACTTCACTTAATACAAAATTCTGATATAACAAACATTTTGGCTAGGTCTGACTGAGTTTGTATTAATGAGAGTCGACTGTATTTAACCAAGAGATTGCACTCGCTGTACGCACACGTGCCGACGTGGACGCGCAGCTGCCATTCTTTAGGTGGACAATTTTTGAATTCTTTCCAAATGTAGCTCTCTGTGCATGCGTGCATACGTACGTACGTACTTGTATGCGGAGACTGAGTGCACACACAGAATCACGATGTTGCTCAGATGAAGGCAAACATTGATGTCTAATGATCTTTATTCTCATCCAAATAAATAGTCAATGAATATTGTTTAAAAAAAGCAGATTGGATTAACAAAACTGCCGGTGGTTTCTGCCACTGTTAACTGAAAGTGGGCACATCCTGGTACTTTACAATCGTGCCATGTTCTGATTATTACTCTCTTGAGGTTTTTATTCCCCTAAACAATGGCGGCCGCACGTCCATTTCGGCACGTGCGCGTAGTATAGCGAGTGCGCTTTCTAGTTAAAAAAAAAATATAACTCTTGTGGTGAAACTAGACACGAAAACTGCATTTAAGTACGAACCAACCCTTAGGTTATGCGAGGCATGTGTCAAGAAATTCTGGAACCAAACAACCTGCCTTTGCAACGGAAAAGTTTTCTCTGTTGGGCAACTGTAACCCCATCCATGAACTGAACTGTATTAAATGAACCGGTTAAAATTGCTTACTTCAGCTGAGGTGATGTCCGAGTTGTCGTGTCCTCACTCTCAAGTCGGTCACAAGACATCCAGTCTCAAGTCAAGTCACAATCTGAGCTGCTGTATTGAAATAACTTGTTCATTCTCGGTTCCTTCTTCCTGGACTTGACCACTACTCTTGGTGATGTACACATGGGTGATGTACTCGTGCGTTGATGTCGTTAGTAAGTCAGGCGTGATGTAAATAATGTAAAGTGTAGTCTAGAGATAACTAAAGTGAAACCGTTTTAGTAAGCACAGGATGGCAGTATGCACAAAAAAAGGAGGCCATGCTCTGTTGAATATAATGAGCTCGATTGTGACACCCCATGCCAAATGCCTGCATTCCCTCTAATTTCTACGTATGAAGTGTTCCATTCTGAAATGTTTCCAAGACTGTTTGTTGATTGTATGACTGTTTACATACGCAAGACAAATGGGTTACGATGCCACTTTTTATTGGTTTGTATTTTTTTTATTACTTAAATTTTTGGGATGGGGCAGGAAGTATTTTGTATCGGCATGGGGTGTCGCCGTTTGTTTTTGTGACGTGATGTATTTTAGTGATAGAATGTGATATATTATCTGAGCATCAGTGACAAAGTAACAGAAATCATCGATAGATATCTCCCCCCCCCCCCCCCTTTTTACTATCAAAATGTAAATTATATTAGAATCAGATATTGATTGGACAGGTATTATAGACCCGCATGCATTGGTAACATTTCGTGTTTCGCTATTAGTTCCAATTGAATAATCACAGTGAAAAACAGGCTCCATTCAATTTCTGTTGTTGCCATTACAATTTTCTGGGAGATTTTTTTTAAAAGAGCTTTTCAGCTTCCACACCAAAGCCCTATTGTTGCATCTCTGCCATTCACAGGTAAATTGCTTTCCCTTAAAGCTACAGTCCATCATTTGCAGCTATCCAAAAAGTAACTGACGTAATTATTGTTGCAAAACATACTTGGTTGCACTCCCTCTGAAATTAGTCTTTCTGGCAAGCTGTCATTTTAAAGAATTCAATGAAAGAAGGCCTTTCCAACTTTGTTTTTTTTTTATTCGGCGAAGTTAGTTACAACGCACATGTGTGCGCGCGGTTGTTATAATTCGTCAGTTCAGTGCGCGACATTGCGTACCTGCAATCGGCTCAGTGAGAACGTGTCTCGGACGCTGAATTCAGGTCCAATTAAAAACACGACTCGGCAACTTTCGATTTGAAATCGAGATCCTAGAATATTGTTTTCTCAGAATATACAGCATTAACTGAGCTGAAACTTCGTCATGTTAGTTTTTAAGCACCCTTCTTTAGATTTTGAGCATTTTTGTTGCTTCAAACGAACATAATGCACAAATTACAAATGATGGACTGTACCTTTAATGGCGGGCGCGGACTTCCAGGGATTGGCTTATCTAGCCCCAAGAACTCAATGGTTCTCGAGTCTGGAGTGCTGAATGGTAACACATAGCAACCGATTATAAACCCACATGCTGAGGAAAAGATGTTTTCATCGGCTCGGCTGATTATGAATAATGCCGCCCACGCTTATATACAGAAGGTTATTGGAAAAAGGACATGGATTTCTATTTTTTAGTCTTTCGGTGCAAGTAACAAAATAATATTATCACTTTTTTTTTTTTCATTGAAATGCAATCCAATCCACATTTTTTTACATGTAAATAAATACACTGTCTCTTTTGTATTTAGAATGTCTTGTCTGGTGACTTTTGTAAAATAAAGACATTGAAACCTGAGAAGAGAGTTTGTGATGATGTGTCCGAATTCGTTGTAGACCACTTGATCTGTAGCTTCATTAATTACATTAATTAGTAAAACAACTGTCCCACGTTACCTTGTAAGAAAAACACAAAAGGAAAACCAGAGAAAACATCGCAGGGAAGTAAACTGGAACAAAAAAAACATAGACAAAACCCTGGACTCAAAATTTTGTAATGTAAATTTCAATCCATTTTTTTGGTTGGCCCAAGTTTTTTTGATTTTTTTTTTTACAATATGGTAGGTCTTAAATATTGCCAGATCATCCTTTTCGCCTATTTAGAAGTTCAAATACATTGTTGTTTTTTTAACTCACTATACACTATGTATTATAATTATGTTTTCTCAGTGCTTTATTCCATGCAAGCGTTTTTTTTTTAATGACATATTTGGGTCTTCTTCAGTTTGTTCACACACAAAAAACCTGGAAACTATATTTCTACAAGGAAAAAGAAATCTGCAAAAAAGCACTTCATTTTGAGCATCGTTTGCATCTTTATTTTGAACTAATGTCCGACTGTACAAAGTACGTTTTTTTTATTTTTAAATTTTAAATCAATGATTTCAAATATTTCCTTTGGCAAAGTGAGGAAAAAAGAAAGAAAAAAAAAGTGTTTTTAATACAATTTTTAAAAGACATACAAATTAAAAATAGTGAAACAGATTTTACTCTGAGTACTTTCAGTACTAGAAACTGGTAATTACGATTAGTGAGTGATTAGGCTTTTAAGGCTTTGAATTATAATATTACAAAATATAATCAGATGAAATATGGCAAAAATTGTCAAAAACTAACAATTGAATATGTAAATTAAATACACATTTAAACATATTTTCTAAGAATCTGTGCAAGTACCTACAGGCTATATTGCTACTGTATTGCAATTCACAAAAATTCCACATAGTTTGTACTGTTCCGTGGCGAACCTAAATTCAAAAGTCCAATAAACGAATATATTCATTCTTTGAAAAAAAAATAATCCATACATAGAACCTTTACAAATGTACCCACCGATTCGTGGACATTAAAGAGTCCAATAAAATTTCACGAAGACTTGCGATCTTTGATTGGAATTTATTTTCCACAAAGCTGTTTAAAATAAACCTTTCCCTTGACTTCCGAAACTTTCTCCATTTGCACCTCATATCTGAAATAAAAGTTTTCTGGTTCTAGCTAGCTATTAGCATGGAAACCCCATCATTGAACTTACTTATAAAATTCATTACACAAAAATTTCAATAATAATTTAATGACAGAAATTCCGTACGCAGTTAGAGAGAAATTCATTAAGCTGTTTAACAGCCAAGGTTTGAGATTTTCAACCCGATTTAGATCTTCAATTGTGTGGGCTCTGTGCACAATTACCCCCTCAACGGTAAGGAAGGGAGAGTTGGGGGAGGCATTGCCGATGATGCCTGACGCTCACACGAAGGTTTGAGCAATATTCAGAATAAAATAAGTCGTGCGTACTTCGCGTGTGAACCAGTACGCGCATGCTGTGTGTCTCATCCAAGGCTCTTAAAAGGGGTAAAAATGCGCCCTCTCTTGTTTGTGCACGGAATCCATACCAACTTATCACTACCCAGGCAACATACTTATCCCCCATTTGGAAGCAATTGTGGCAAAGTATCTTGCTTATAGACACAAGCAACACGATCCCAAGGTTGGGTTCAAACCTAGTCTTGATCAGACTGCAACATTTCATGGGAGCAATTGCGGCAAAGTATCTTGCTTACAGACACAAGCAACACGATCCCAAGGTTGGGTTCAAACCTAGTCTTGATCAGACTGCAACATTTCATGGAAGCAATTGCGGCAAAGTATCTTGCTTACAGACACAAGCAACACGATCCCAAGGTTGGGTTCAAACGTAGTCTTGATCAGACTGCAACATTTCATGGAAGCAATTGCGGCCATGAAAGCAATTTACGATAAATGCCTTGTTAACAGACACAAGTGTCACAATCCTTGGAAACTGATAATCCCACATTTGTGTACAGGAACCACACAGTTCGAAAAAGACTGAACCACTACAGTAATGCATCAAATGGCAAAAAAAAAAACCAAAAAAAAACCAGAGAGTAAAAATGCAGCTGCTTACAAATGAGTTGTAGTTGTAGGCCTAGTTGAATTCTGTTCACACTGGCAAGCAGTAAGGGACAGAGTTGTGGTAATCATTATTTCCTTAATTTAATGAAATTGATATCATGCACCAAAAATATATGTTGCTTCCAAGGAACGGTAGTACTTTTTCATGTACTTGTTCTCATCAAATGTACTGAAAAACACAAGAGGTATACATGTAGTCATATTGATGTTCAATGGAGTACCGAAGTGTGACGTCATTTAAAACCAGGAAGTGTAGGGCAAACGAATGGAGCACGCGCGCTTGATGGTTCACAGGCTGAATCACGCGCGTTTTGTGCGCGTGACGTACATGTATTTACTTCGGTACTCCATATTCTTTACTCAGGGACCAAACCCATACACTGGTAAAACTCTTTGTTCGTGCTCATAACAAAATTCATAATTGATGTACTACTGTTTGTACCATGCGTTTGGGCGTACAAAGTAACCATTGTTGATCCAGTGTGATTTAAATTCAATATTAGATAAGGTTTTGCCCTTCATGGTTTTTTTTTTTGAATTTTGGAATGTTCAATTATCCACAGGATATGAAAGCCAAAACAACACCAGGAAGCCCATGTCGAAATACACTCAACCAAAAAAGAAAGTCCCCCCTTCAAATACTTTTTGTCTAACTCAAAAACTACTGAGCACCTCTAGCTCAAATAACGACTAATCAGTACAACAAATCCTTAGCAATCCAGCCATACTCTTTATTTGGCCCAAAACAGTGATAATGTGTATGAATTTATGCAATTTATGACAAATGGTACCCAAAACAGTTGCACTTTGTATACGTGCAAGTTGTGGTTCACACTCACCTTGCACGTATACAAAAGTGCAACTTTTTTTCAGAACCATTTCTCATAAATTGCATAATGAATTTCTGCACTGATCAGTCATAATTTGAGCAAGATGTGCCCAGTAGTTTTTGAGTTAGACAAAAAAGTATTAAGGGGGACTTTCTTTTTTGGTTGAGTGTACTTTCCCAAAATATTTATTCAATAAGCTATAAGTACTAAATCATACATACATATGCATGAAGTATTTATTTATACCAGTACATTTACACCATGCCGATGCATTAAGTGTAATCATGCGTAAAGTAAGCAAATGCTTACTTAAAACACCTGTTCTTAATAATTTTATTCCCAACAGAATGTTCACATGTCCAGTCGTCATTCATTATGTATGTGAATACATCAGCAATCCCTGATCATCCCTAAGACTCCAGTCAAAGCAAAACATATTTGACTAGCCTGTATTAAAATGTTGACAATATCATTTGGCCCTCTTTTTTTAAACTCATTACGTCTCCTTTTTATTAATGGCAAGGTGAATCCTTTTTTTTTTCCAATGGCAACAATTGATTCCCATACATTTCCCACATTAATCACTGCTCACTAAAAGCCTATTGCAAAATAGTGCACAAAAAGAACTCTTATAACACATTTAGGTAAAGATCCTACCTTTTAACTACTTGGTAGTGGATTTTAAATATTTCTTTTCCTATAACATAGTATAATATTGCCTACTGAATTTATATGTTTTTGGTTGAGAATAACTTTGGAATACAGTGAACATATTGTAACATTCCAGTTACTTTAACCAGTTAATGCCGTGGGTCGTGTAAACACGATCCGGCAATGTACATTCCCATCGGAGGGTGAGGGGTTAAATCTCCGGCGGTAGACATGTATACACGGCAGTGGTTCCCATTGGTTTTGTACACACCATGTTTTGAACTTGAGCTTGGCCGCTATACACGGCCTGTCATCCTAGCAAATATTGCTTCGTGGCCGGGCCTTGGAGTGTTGCAAAATATGAAGTTACGGTGAGAAGTATCGTACAAATATTGTACACATGTCTCACAAGAGTCAGTATTTGTGATGTTTGACTTAACTTTAAAATTTAGCTGACATATCTTGTCTTTTTTTCAAAAATGGTGTTTTTCAGTCAAAAATAATCCCAGCATCAAGTGATTAAAACCGTCCTAAGCAAACATACATTCTGTACAAAGTTGTCCAATAAAGTCAAAATCGATCAAGTGACTGTTTTAACAGTTAAGAGCTCCCAGCCTACATACAGCAGGATTGACTGGCCGTGACTGTTTATGTAGCTTGATATAGCTATACTTTGACTGTAGGTGATCGATAAGCCAACTGTGCCTACCACTTGCCTGCTTTTGTCTGTTGACTGAATTTGACTAGTCACAGTGCTTGCTTGAATTGTGATCTGACTGTTGGTGACAAGCTTGTGTAAAAGGCACGGCAGGGGAACAGGATCGACTTTTTGGACTGTCTGTGGTTGTTCAGATCAGTGGGGGTTATAGGGGGAGGGGGGGCTAGGGGGTGCTTTAGCCCCCCCAAAATGTTGTCTTGCCCCCCAAAAAATAAATTCCATAAAAAAAAATGCACTAGAAAAATGTAACAATTTGACGTACATGGGAACGGTCTGCCCCTAAATGAGAAGGGTGCATTTGTTCACTTTTAGTTATATAAAGAGTGCCTGATTGTAGGATTTTATCAGCGCTCCCCATTGAAAATAGGGCACGAGGGAGAGGTAGTTTCAGAAATGAGAGGGCTAAATTAAAATGGAATATTGACTGAGTACGACACTTGTTTTCACTTATTTGCAGCATGCTCTGCTGATATACATGTAGCACGCCGACAACTGCATTTTGTTTTCAGATTTCAATATTTATCAAGGTCATTTTTTTTATTCATAATTACTGGAATACATACAATACGGCAGATAGGTGATGAGATTGTGCCTTTAATGATACAAGCATGGAATTTGGCGCACAGTCAGAGTATGTCATGAGAAAGATATTTGGCTACAGGGCCATCGCAGAGTTGTCCTTTGAAAAAAAATATACCTAGAACAACAAGCAATGGCAGCCATTTTGACAATTTTGAAAGTTATTCTACCGATATTTTCAAAGGACAAATCTGCGATGGCCCTATAGCCCAATATCTTTCTTAAAACATACTTTGACTATGTGCCGAATTACATGCTTGTATCTTCAAAGGCACAATTCCCCTAATATTTTCCCTATCTGCCGACGAACAATGCCCACTTAAGTGACTGATTGGCTGAAGTGATGATCCACCTATAGACTATATGCGTACAGCAGCCATCTTGAGGTTATTTATTTGACTATCAATGAATTCACAAGAGGTCTATTTAATTGCGTATCCAGCATTGTAAAGGATATATCCACACGCTTGTGTTTCCGACTCTGGTGAACAGACATATCTGTCTAACAACAATTGACCAATCGCCGTTTGCGAGTTTCCACGCCCCTGAGGCCCGGTTCATACTCTGCGCGAAAGCAAAAGCGAATGCGAATTTGTGACGTCGTGGCAAGTATTCGCGCTGCGAATTCGTAAAAGTTAAACATATTTCAACTCGGGCAAATTTCGCAGAGAATGTTTTAAGACGTCAAATTCGCTTCGCATTCGCTTTCGCATGAAGTATGAACCGGGCTTTAGACAACCCTATGAAATTTTTGTACGCTAGCTTTCGCATCCATTTGTTTATCATATAATTAGACATTATTTCACAAGCTGCGTTGACGCAATTCTAACGCGATTCTACTGCGACAGGTCAATTCACTACAGTCAGGCATGAGGCACGGGCTAATAGTGATCCTCATACACGTACCGGTACGTGCCGTTAAAAACAAAAAAGAATATACTGGCCAATGGGCATGTCATATTCACCAAGACAACGGGGCCCATTTTCGTGGAGCTCCTAATGTGTGCTTAGCAAAAATCGGCAGGGAACCAGTCCCATCAATATACTCTGCATGGGTTGAACCGGTAACCCAATCTCGCTTAGCGAATATTTTCTAAGCTTAGCAAGTTCCTGAGCTACGAGAAAATGACCCCAGAACTTGAAAGAGTGGTGAAGCCCTGTCTTTATGAAGGAATACGGACTTCATATGTGGGTACCCGCTCACAAAAAGATTATCGGTACTGAAGGTCACTTGTGAGCCACTGACACTATTCGCTCACACTCACTTGCTCTATCACCTCGCGCAAAAACGCCACAGCTTAGTATGCACACTGCAGTTGAACATTGGATAACAGTACCTCCGCACTGCACACACACACACACATGTACAAGTGTGTGCACAATTTTTATTATTAATTAGAAGTCACCTCTATAACGAGGTTAAAGCCACTCAGGGTTCAGAGACTTAAAAGCATTGAAACACAAACAGAGACGCAGGTACATATTTACAAAGGTGGCATCATAATGTCAATGCTGAGGTAAGCAACCACCTCACTGAACACAGACAGTACTGCTTAGGAAGGATTCAATATCTTAGTATTTCTAACGTATTATGGGCTCTTTAACTACCACAGACAAAACGCCTTTTCACACTATGAACGCCTGATCTGTGTCAAAATCTACGTGGTTCCAACCCGTGTCGACCTCTTAAAATTTCAGCACGGTTCAATTTCACTTCGTTTTAACACTACTCAACGCAACACCAGCATTTGTGCCACACATGTTATGTTTTGACCCATGTATTGTGCGATCGTTTTATACTACACACACGGCCGGCCGCCTCACACGGATCTGTATAAAGCTTCAATAGCCAGCAATGCCTACACCTCCTACTCACTAGCACTCCATGTGGGTCTTTTTTTCTGACCTCTGGCCGTTTTTCTCGGACATGTCGCGTCGGACGAAGAACGCGCGAAAAAGCAGGCGAGGGCGTAGCCGTGGCAGGGCAGCAGGTCAAAGGTTATTCGTTTGTTCGTTGCTAACAACTACAGTGTGTGATGCTGCTGTGCACTGGTCCGATCCGTGGTTACACGGGGCGAACTTAACCCAGAAGTGTTCATACTACGGCTTTCAACACGTGTCGGACGTCTCCACACGGATCGAGAGTTCTCAACCCACCTCCCGAGCAGTGTTAGTTTTGACACGGATCGAGCGCTCTACACGGTTCAGTGCCGTGTTAAATTTTGTAGTGTGAAAAGGTCAGTCTAGTTTACACGTGTCGGACCTGTGTACAACACAGAGATTTTTTGTAGTGTGAAAGTGCCTATAAACCTAGACCTGACGTGTGCCTTAACTCTCTAACCATGAATTTGAACGCATCAACGTGCAATACAGCAGTCTCATGATGCGAGGCATAGATAATAGTACGACATTCGCACAACATGATAAAATTACAGGACGCAGCGTTTTGTGGCAGGAAACACACGACATCCATGCACAGATAACCTGAGCATGGGCGTTTCACACATTGTCATAGTATCTACAGTTCATGCACGGAGCTTTCAGCAATAACCCAATCCTAAACACAGACAACCACTGTAGACTATATTATGCACAACTCTGACAGCCAGTGGTTAGACAAAAATGGTTGAAAGCCCCGTTAGGTGCAGGCAACTTAGCACCAAGTTTTCCATATCGCACCACTGCATAAGTGCGCCCTTATAATACAAACACTACCGGAGAAATAGCGCACGTGCTGTATGCATTGTGTGCCGTTCACCACATATGTAGAGTTTAACTTTCATGCCAACACTGTCAAGAAAGCGCCCTCATTTGGCTCATGTGAGTAAGGCACACACCGCCCTCTACTGTCCCTCCACATACCCTTTAATAAGCCAATTTGGCAACAACGAGCGTTTTCACTTTTACTGGACTTTATTCCGATTACTCTGTGCATTGTAATCTTCAACTTGATTTCCCACATTTTGCGATTAGACTGCTTAACAATTACAGGCTGTACTGATTTCTAACTTTTACAGGCACACCTGAATTTTTTTGTTTCGGCTCACCGTGAAAATATTCCCAGAATTCACTGCGGACTGTCAGAGCAGAGGCCCGAGGTTTCCTGGGATTCCGTCCAGCTGTTCTGGGGTGACACGCCGACGTGATGACACAGGGGGACTATAAACACGGAGATATCGTCGCCAGAGCCCTGTCGGCCATCTTTGGTCCGCCAGCCGTTGGCTTTGAGGATGCCTCTGGCAGCCATGATCAGCTCCTGGGCTGCAGAGGCGTACCTGACAAAACAAATAAATAAAAATTGATAACAACGCATTTTATTTATCTCCAAGCCATGTCACAGATCCTGTGCAAGTACTTCCTGCTAAACAGGTGCTATATCAGCTCAGAAAGCGCAGCAAGAAATAGCAGTGAAAACAGAAAATCTTGACGTTTCGCTGACGGCGGTGCTACGTGTATTAAACTAACACGGAAACTTCAGTTCCAACACTGGTTTTGGGCTTTATTTTGATAAGATCCTTCTTCAAAATGCAAAGAAACATGACCTCTCTAGAATGTGGATCGATGCTTCGATGAAATCGAGCTTTCCATCCAATTGTAAGATTGTCAATCTGCTCTAACTTTGCGAGAGTCACTCATTCATCGCACGCACCATTGACGCCGCCATGTTTGTTTGCGTTATATGCCTTTCTTTAGTTTTCAAGATGGCGTACCCAGAGAAACGTCTAATGCACTGAACAAAATTCAACTGCATGGGACTTTCAACAGTTCCAGCCAGAGAGCCCATAGCAGTCTAACTTGAAAGCCCGGAGAAGCCAGCTTACAGAAGACAAGCAAGAAAACAGGGGCCGATTTCACAAAGCTGCTAAGCGCAGAAAATATTCGCTTAGCAGAAACAGGTTACCAGCTAAAATGTCACACAACATATATTGCCTATGACTGGTTCTCAAATGTGTTTTGCTTAGTACACAAATTAACTAAGCAGATATTTTCTGTGCTTAGCCAATTTCTGCGTTTAGCAGTTCCACAAAATTGGCCAAAAACATTTTTTGTTACCTTTTGTAATCTCCTGGAGGGAAGCTAAGCATAACCTCCATGACAATCTCCAGCACCTTCTCATTGCTGAGGATGTCCCATAAGCCGTCTGTGGCCATGACTAAGACGTCGTTCTCGTTGTGTTCCTGGTCAAACAGGTTGTACACTTTGACCTGTAGGGAGTAAAAAGAAATTATACCGTGTGAAAAAAAATTATATCTTTCTTTGGCTATGGATGTTCAGTTTGGGGTTCCAATGCCAAAAATGTATGTACAAATCTCGTATGAGGTATTAAGCTGCCAATATATATGCCAGTTCGGTATTTCAATTGCGTATTCGCACACTGATATGGGTCAAAGGTCATTCGGGATAATCATGTGCTCATCAAAGGTGCATGAACACGCAAGGAGACAGTCGCATGAGGCTTGTGCGTTGATTACGAGCAGAATCACGTAACATTGCGTAACATCGTGTCTGCGATTTTATCCCGAATGACTTTTGACCTGAACTACTTGATCGAGATACCCAACTGGCTTATTCAACTGGTATCAAAGAAAGCCTGCAAGTTTTTCCTTTTATTACAGGATGAAGTTAAAGGATTTACCTTCATTAAAATCCTGGAAAACTCTACTATTGGAATTTAAAGCTACAGTCCATCATTTGCAGCTTTCCAAAAAGTATCTGATGTAATTATTGTTGAAAGGGGACTAAACTCCCTGTGAAATTATTCTTTCTGGCAAGCTGTCATTTTGAAGAAATCAACGAAAGAAGGCCTTTTCAATGGTGTATCTAAAGACGCACCGTTGGAAATTTCCATTAGTAGTTTGTTTTTTTTTATATTTGGCACATCGCACACGCGTGCGCGGTTGCTATAATTTGTCGGATCAGTGCGCGACATCGCGTAGCTGCAATCGGCTCAGTGAGAACGTATCTCGGACACTGAATTCAGGCCCAATTCAAAACATGATTCAGCAACTTTTGATTTAAAATCGAGATCCTAGAATGCTGTTTTTCTTGGAATATACAGCTGAAGCTGAGCTGAAACTTCATCAGGTTTGTTGTTCAGTATCCTTCTTTAGATTTTGAGCACCTTTGTTGCTTCAAATGAACAAAATGCACAAATTACAAATGATGGACTGTACCTTTAAAGGACCTAAGATTTTGAGGTTATGTAAAGAGCTACAATTGCTATAGCTACGCTCTATGAACAAGGAAGTCCTTTCCGAAAAACCAAGATCTGCAACAAGATATCTAAACTCATATCTAAAATCAATTATTTCCTTTAATTCAATAACCAGCATAAGTGGCAACAATGCAAAACCATGCAAACCCGTACGTAATTCTATAACCAGAGAATGCCAATATATCATCTCTTGTAATTTGACTATGGAGGCGAGGTCTTGGTACAAAGTCATTATCAGAGATGTAAAACCACCATTAAATCATTCAACAATGACACAAATAGCAATCTTAAGAAGTTCAGATGTTTAAAAGACTGCCTTGCGCTATTAACACACCACCAAGCCTGTATACAACCCCCCCCCCCCCTCCCAAGGGGAAGGGGGGAGGGAAGATGGATTCCAAGAATGATTCATAGAGCTATCGCTAATGCTATATCCATTTCAAGCAGTAAGCGTCATGCTTGGTAGACTCCAGTGCAATCAACACACATCTATTATTGATGTTGTTATGATGCCATATAAACCATCAGCTTGGTGTTTGGTCAGTATCAAATGAGGGGAATAATGCTCATTGTGATTCTGGTAACGTATGCATCCCAGTAGTTGGAAAATATGTGATAGCATTGCAGCGGGGGCAGCTTTTTCGGTGCTATCACTTTTTTTTTAAATGACAGTCAAAACATGCTTGTCACCACATATAATTAATCTGGTAACAAGCATATTGGCGGCCATTTTGAAAAAAAAATTAAAAGTTATAACACCAAAAAAAACTGCCACCGCTCACACTGCAAAGCTGTCACACATTTTCCAACTCTAGATGTGCATACCTTGCCAAAAAATGCTATGAGCGTTGCTCCTTTCGATCGTTTGATACTGGCGGCCCAATTTTTGGACCGAAGCTGATAGTCTAATACATTGTCTAACCTCTGGCACGGCCGTCAGGAAGGGCTTGATGGCAATATCAGTGCCGTGGACTTTGAGGTCGTGGTCTCCGAACCCTCTGGTCACCCCGATCGTGGCCAATAGGCGTGCCTTCTTGCCCTCGCCGACCACGAGGGGGAACTTCAGGTCCTCTTCTGTCACCAGTTTGTACGTCCTGGCAAAGAAACATTAATGTATTTAATAGTAAGAAATGTACTGACTTCAGTGAGCTTCAAAGATGAGACTGCTGTGATTAAAACACTACAGACTAACAGTTGCACTAACTGTAAAAAGTTGGAAAGGATGCTGAAGAATGTGCTTCTTCAGAAGTGTTATGTTAGAAATTTTATTTTAAAAAATTTATAAACAGAAGTATGAGTGACCACTGATAAAAATAACTGAAAACAGCTGAAAAAGGTGTAAAAAGCTAACTTTGGAAATCTCCTATTCTTATGTACACAGCAAGTGAGGGAAAAAAGCTGAAATCAAAAAAAAAAAAAGAGCTGAAATCAGCTTTAAAGCTGATATTTCACACCCCTGATAAAGCATGACGATCCACCAGAATTGGTGCTCAAGGCACTGCATCATTATTACCCTTGCTCATTGGGCCTGTCAAACATTCCAAAGACCAAGTGTTCACTATGTTTTATACAGGGAATCTGTTTTTTTTTCTCTTAAATATTTCACCTCCTTTGGAGACAAGAATTCAAATGGTTGAAGTTTTGAAATGCTGCAATACAAGGATGTTTACTCTCCGGAACTGGGAAACGTGCGAATGCCTCTTTAAAGGTAACGAATAGCATTTTGAGAAAGAATGTGTTACTTTGATGTAGTTTAAAAAATATCACAAATTATCAACTAATTGTGAGTGATATAAGAGTAACAAAATATGCCATGCTCTTTGCACCTCAACCTAAAATGACATTACAAACTTCGAAACAAATCTATGAATCTGCTTAGAATCAAGACACATTCATCAAGATAAGTATTACAGAACAGAATGAATTTAATTATCTTTTAAACGTGAATTATTACAATAATTCCCACATTAATTTATGGTATAAATAAAAAGAAAAGAAATGGATGGGTTGGGCAGATAGCTAGCGCAAATTGCATAGACCTGCTATGGTGTAATTCGCCGAACAAAATTAGGAGCCATTTTCGAGGGTGCACTACTTTTGCGCATGCGCATGCTGCACGCATTCTTAAAGACAAGGCGTGTGTGCATTTTGGTCAAACGAGTGCATGCATATTACCTGATGAGCGCAACTCGCGCGAACCTGGTGCCAACGCAGAAAATGGCTGTCGCTATTAAATTAGTCTATAACTGCAGAAAATATTGCTTATGTATGTGCTTAACAGAAGTGCTGCTGAGAAGCAGTGAAAGCAATGTCTATTGATGACATTTTGGCTGGTAACCTTTTTGTGCTAAGTCGAAAGTTCTCTCTGCTTAGAACATTTCTGTGCTCAGAATCTCCATGAAATGGAGATAACTAATGTTACTTATGTTTTTAGTGTAAACCTGCCCACAATTCAGCCTTCGGGCTGCGACGGGAGAGTTAAATAAACCATTTAATAAATAAAATAAAAATAAGAAATCTGCAAAATGAGATCCAATTTGAGAACACATGTACATGTATGATAGACCATTATCATGTTGCGGCCATCTTGATTTTTTCCCATTCAAATCAACATAACCAAAGCAAGGCTGGAAGGAAAAATAGTCTGGTTCCTTTTTGCACGAAAAATTATCATCATTCAGTATTGATATTGGGTACAGGGAACATGACTGAAATGGTGGCAGCACGATAAAGGTCTATACTCACCATCCTGTCATGGTGCAATCCCTGTACATCACTTTCTTGCCCAGGTCTTTCCGGTGGACCCGCTTCTGGAATTCCAAGGAGGAGAACTCACCGCCCAGCAGCTCTGGTTTCACAGACGCTAAATATTGCACTCTCTGTCTCTCGGTTACCGGGTTGAAGTCGGTCGTCATGGGAATGACCTCTGACCCCTTACATATGATGGCCCTGATGGGGGATTTGGGAAAAGTGCAGAAAGAGTGGCAATGTTTGATTAATGATAAAAATCAAATAAATAAAACCTTTAAACCATTATTCAAGGGGCCGTAAAAGCTGAAGTTGAAGGTTGCAGTGTACAAACAACCTAAGTTGACCTAAGGTTCTCAGATTGTTGATAGGTGTATGATACATATAGGACTTAGACCCAAAGTGCAGAAAAAAAACATGCAAAACAAACCTGGCCAACTTTACTTACTCATTTTTTGGCAAACAATATTCTCAAAAGTTTCCGCAAAAAAGAGATAAAATTTCATGAGTCAAATTGAGACACTGAGGTAATTCAAACAGTAAAGGAGTCCTTTTCTGTCAATCTTTTTGTACAAGAGAGTATTAAAAGCTAAGTTATTTTAAGTTGCAGCCTAAGACTCGACTTGTTCATGTCAATCTTTTGCAAAAGATGGAACACTAACAGTGGTATTACTGTGGTAAAATTATATAGGTACCGGTACCAGATTTTTTTGTTGTTGACATACTTTACTCAGTTACTATTAAAGATGTGTTGGACTGGATGTTTCATGTGCCAGTCTATATCTTCTTGTTTTGCAAGTTTTCCCCACAGCACTGTAAGTCCAACAGAATACATTATGTGGCTTGTAATCATTTGGCCTTTTTTAATAATCATATGAACATCTACATTGTAGTCCAAAAATTTGGGACTCTCGATACTGTGTGTGAGAATCGAAACGTTAGGTATTGAAAACATGCAACACAAGAAAAGAGACTGGCACCTGAAACAACCAGTCCAACACCCCCTTTAGTAATGCATCAATCAACTGTGTCAAAAGAATTGTCTGGTACCTACATGTAGCTCTATTTCTACACATCTCTCTATAGTCTGCCTCCAGGCCACTAAAGGGTGGTTTTCAAACAGTTGAACATGTGCCAGTCTAGTCTTAGGCTTCAAATTGAAATCACTTGGCTTCACTCTCAGGTGCAAAATATTAAAGAAAAGTCTCCTTTACAAATTGAATTGAGACTTCAAACTTGGCTGGTGAAATACTGAGGACCTTGTCTTTGCCTCAAGAAAAATTTGGAGAATTTTGTTGGCTAAAGAGTGAGTAACGTCGGCCTAAATTGGTTTTGCATGTTATTCTGATAAACATCCACGATGTCACTTGTAAACATGAACATAACCTATATTATGTATGATCACATACATAATGTATGTATGTGATCACATACATAATGTATGTGATCATACATAATGTATGTAACTATGATCACATAGACCTGGAGCTAATTGTTCTCAGATTTTTTTCGCCACTGTACATAAATTAGCAGAACAGGAACTGTAAAAATTTGTTTTTGTGAGGTTATTAGTGTTACATTGTAGGTTTACCATATAGAGTTATATTAAATTACTAGAGTATTGTATAATGCTCTCCCCTGTGGAGATACTTTGAAGCCGTCCTGGTGTGTGTTCGTAGAGCATAATGAAATCAGATGAAATGAATTTTCGAATAATGTACTCTAAATGCAACACATTTTTGTTTGTGCAGAGCAAAATGAAAGGCTCATTTGCTGATTGTGTGTTTTGGTTTCGGGCGTCTCGGCCTCGCAGATCAAATAGCCGTGCTAAAACTGTACTAATTATCAAGTTTCCCATAGGTTTGTGCACAAACATAGATGCGCTTAGCAGGCTTCACTTTAATATAGCTCTATGTGGTTTACATGTACCTACATGTACATGAATTGTTATGTGAGCACGTCTGTTGTATGCACATTTGGATGCACTTGAACTTTGCTTCATTGGAATGAAGGGCACATTTATTATCACCACTGATGTTATCAACTACATACTTATGAAATTACAAGCTGATATTGGTGCAAACAGAGTAAATATCTCACTGTAATGGCAAGAGTAACTAGACAAGTTACAGTTGGGGAAAAACCCAAATTTGTTTTGGGGTAAAAATATACTCCATGGTGGAAAAACCCAGAGTTTGTATCCAATGTTAAGGTATTTTGGCAAAGCTCATTTCAAAATAGTTATTTATGCTAAGATAAAAAAAATAAAAAAATAATTTTACTATGGTTGTCACCCTTGACAAATGTATGTTTTATAGCCATTGTCACAATGATATATTGGAAAAACCTTTTTAACATTTTAGACACTGTAGTGCTCAAAACCGCCCCGCCTTTTACTCACTGTAGCGCCCGAAACCGCCTGAACATGCACTCTATGGTTGTATAGATTCTTCAATGAATTAAACACAATGTAATACATTGGTTTTTTCCCCACCAAGGAGTGTATTTTTACCCAAAAACAAATTGGGGTTTTTCCCCAAACTGTAACATATGTAGTTACTCTTGCCATTACAATGTATTACAATGTAATACAATGTACAATGTAATACAATGTACTAGTGCAGGTGCTTGTTGTTAATTCTATGACTGCACTAACATTTGCCAAACAGTTGTGATAGAAACCACAAGCAATTCCTCACACTTTATTTTGGTTATTGTGTAGACTGTTTTGGTTTCATACTAGTTTTTTTATTGCACAGTTAAAATCACTACTCCAAACCCACCTGAAACCCTGAAAGTACATTCCATTTAAAAAAAAAAGAAAAAAACATTTTCAAGGTTGTCGTTAATGTACTACTCAAACATGTGTGTTGTATTTTGGAGCAGAGTATTTTGAAAAAGTTTAATGCAGTAACACATTTTGAATTCTTCAAACCAGACAATTTGGTTGTTGCTATGTACACTTGTTGGAAATCTTGAGAGAAGAAATTCCTTCACAACATTTAAACAAATTAATACTCCTATTTTTTCAATAATTCTTTTCAAACTTCTCATTGTCTGACAAGTTTCAGTGCACACACTAAGAACAACCAATTGTCAAAGAATGCTCATACTACAACGCGTCAAACTCCCAGTTCCACTTCAACTAAGGAATTCCTAAATTATGTCAACATTCTGCAGTAGTGCTAAATTCTTAGCCTTTAATAACCGTTTCCAAATCAGCTGGCTAGTGGCTACGACTTCAGGTTTTACTATTGATACTGCTACTCAGGGTATCCATAGCCACAGGGCAAAAGGTGAAATGGCTAATAATAACCGTTTCCAAATCAGCTGGCTAGTGACTACGGCTTCAGGTTTTACTATTGATACTGCTACTCAGGGTATCCATAGCCACAGGGCAGAAGGTGAAATGGCTAAATACCTGCTATCTCCTGCATTGGCTATGTACAGTTTTCCCAGGAGGAATAAAGCCACTAGTGAAGTGCAGCCTCCTGATACCGAGAAGTAGAGTTTCTCTTGCCTTATTTGGTCATCCTGAGTGTCAAAAAGAAAAAGTTAACATATTTTTGGTTTCATTCGCCAGGAAAATGTGGTTAATTGATTTCACTCTTGCAAAATCCAACACCATATGGTAAACTCTACACCCAAACTGTTGGACTCTGATTATGGTGGTATGCCTGACCCCATGTAAAGCGTTATCAGTTTACCGGTGCAGTACTAACTCCAACAGATTCCAACAAAACCTGCAGTTGGATTTTGAAGGGTTTTGGGTGGCTAGGGTTAATGACGAAGGGTTAATTCTCAAATAATGTTGTCATCAGAATTCAAATTGACTTCAGCTCATAGACGGGTCCCTTCCGAAAAAGGGCTGTTGTCAATAAAAACACCCTTAAATTACAATTTCAAACTATCACAGAACAGTGCCGAATGTATAGACATGGCAAAACTGGGCTTTGGTGACTTGGATGTTACATCTGGGCCAGAATTTGATGATAAATTCCACACTCAGCATGGAATATCTTTTCCCACTTTTTTTGAGGAATCATCTATCTAGGAGTCACTTCTAGTTCAAAGTGAGTCCAGTATAGGTGGCCACTAACAGGATCTGCAACGGATTTGTGATGACTTGTGATGGACTTGTGAGGACTTGTGATGGACTTGTGATGGACATGTGATGGACCTGCAAGGACGTGTGATGACTTGTAATTGACTTGTGAGGACTTATGATGGACCTGTGATGACTTGTGAGGACTTGTGATGGACTTGTGATGGACTTGTGAGGACTAGTGATGACTTGTGATGGACTTGTGAGGACTTGTGATGGACTTGTGATGGACTTGTGAGGACTTGTGATGGACTTCTACTGACTTGTAAGGACTTGTGATGGACTTGTGATGGAGTTGTGACGGAGTTGTAAGGACTTTTGAGGACTTTTGAGGACTTATGATCCGTGGACATGAGTACAGAACTGCACACACCTACCATATCAACAAACGATGCCTCCAGTGCTCCAGTCACCAGGCTCTCCACCGACACCTCTTTCTCCGCGAAGGGCCACTTGCTGGGTCTCAGGTCCCCCCGGCGTGAGAACTGCCGATGCTCAGGCGAACTGTTGATGAGGAGCTCGTAGACTCGGTCTAGCTTCTCTAGGATTTGGTAGTGGAGGGTGTTGACAGACATGAGGGCAGCCCCAGCCCCCGCATGGCCGTCGAAAATGGCAAAGTAGGTCATCGGGATGTCATCTGGGTCCTGGTGTTGGGAATAAATTTGAAAATTGAACAAAAAATACATAAATTTATTACCATGTCGGTTCAAAATCAAATATACCGGTGTGTGCAGCAGCAAGAAAGATGTGAACATTTAATAATAATAATAATAATAATTTGGGAGGCTAATCATCCTTACTCGCAGCTGGTATGCTGAATTGCGAAGGACGTGGCTACAACGTGGTCGGGCCGCTGGCACGTAAAGGCGCCTATGGCTGCCGGCCACATCGACCCATATATGACCACGGAGCACAGCCTGAGATCGAAAGTGTTTGATTTTTCCGGAGGGAGGAAAACCGGAGGGCCCGGAGAAAAACCCACGTGGCACAGGAGAGAACCAACGCACAACTCTACTCACATGCAATCTGCAGCCAGGATGCGAACCGTGGTCACCTTGGTGAGAGGCGAGCGCTTTACGCACAAGCCACCCATGCCACCCATGCCACCCGAATATTGGATTTGCCCTTAAATATTTACATCTCCCGAAAGGAAAAATTTCTTCGCACGTCTCAGTGCCAGGATCAGTAGAACTGAGTGTTGTAATCTAGTCCATGACAGGACCTCACATATTCCATCACAAGTCCAGACCATGTCCTCTGGTCTCAACTCACATCACAAACTATTGAAATGAACCGTGTCAAAAGATTCTTTTGTAATTGTTCAATCACCTGTTGCACGTGACTGGACTTGTGTTTTTGCATGTGACCGGACTTGTGATTGACTGGACTACAGCACTGGTGTCCATACTTACTCCAGTTGTGGGTCTATCGTCTGCCCCAACTTCCACTTTCTCCTGGTTGTGACCCTTGAGGACAAAATGTCCGGCAGCTGCTTGATCTTCGTTGTGTTTGCTCTTGCCTCCATTCATTACTCTGAGGAGATGCAGAGAAGGATACTTATATTTGTTTTCTTCAATTTTCCCCCTCTTTTAATACTAAAACAAACGAAGAGAGATAAGACTCTAGTACATCTAAGATTACATAATTCAGTGTTAATCAAAAAAAGATATAGATGTATATCAAACATACTAATTCAACAGTGACATTCCAACTGCAGGATGATCCCAACTACAGATAGGATCGTCCCAACTGCAGGCAGGACTTAGGGAATTCCCCAACTATTGTTGGGAACTTGGGACTGCCCCAACTATAGTTGGGGCAATTGCTATAGTTGGGTCGTAACACAACCCACTGTAAGTCAGTCAATGAAATATTCCTCACGTAGGTTCTCAAATATTTTTAAATTCTAATACAAAATATCCCTGGAAAAAAAATGTTGCAACCTGATGCCACCTCTTTTCTTCATAGGCCTATAATCATCTCAATGAAGGTCAGTCATTCCAAAAATAATGATAATACATGAATCTGGGACTGAGAAACATTTCCAATTTTGTTAGGAAATACTTTGAAAATTTTCGTGACTCTCCATAAGACTTTGTACACAACCGCTGAAGTGTCGTCAGGTTGCAACATTTTTTCCATATCCCTTACTCTGCATATCCACAATGCCACGGTAACTTGGATAGATCCCTGGGAACCATGATAGGTCTGATGATCGAGTCCGAGGCTATGGAGACTTCCTCGGAGCTCAAGTGGAGAAATTCGGGCCTGGTGTAGGAATACTTCTCCGGCAGGCCCCGCCCACTGGTTTTGTCCATATCCTCCACATCTTTGAGGTTACGGTTCTGTTGCATGTTAGTCATCACATTGTTGACGACTTGGCGGAAGCGGTTGAGCATGGCCATGATTACAAATCACTGGGTTCAAGCTCATGTTGCATTCACTAAGCCCACAAGAATCTGCCTTTCTCAAACATCCGCATCACTGTGATGATTTGTGGAGGAGACTTAATTGAGAGTCATTGCTGTTGTAAGGTGAAATTCAGTTTTGGGCTGAGATGATGCTGAATTCCTTTGAAAATAATTCTTGTCAGTCACTGAGTGTACAGTCATGACAGTACAGTTCCTCACTTTAGTACTGAAGCTGACCCTAACTAACACGCAAAGCACGAAGGTCAAGTCGCTATATTTATAAATAGGAGAAACATCTGAACATAACGAATAGGCCCTCACTGTCTCATGTGTGCATCAGCGCACTACGCAGTAACAAGTTGCTACATGTAAGTGTTTTTAAAGATAGGCCTAGTCGACGATCACTGAGTTTGCTTTCGACGTCAAGTCTGACTTTGTTATTGCACATGTAGCTCCGGCATGACTTATTTTTTTACATGATTTTTCAGACTTGATCGACAAGACATGACAACATATGCAAGTTTATCGGGGCATGACACTTCTCTTCTAAAAAGTTCTATCCTGCATCCGCTCACACTATACTGGGCGATACGATATCGCGAGGCCAGGCCGGCTGGCTGAGCTGAGCTGAGCTGATCAGTCGCGCAAATTCTGTGGCTGGGCTATAGATGTTGTGCCCATTCTTGAAAATCACGCATTCTCGAAAATGGGCATGCACATTCTCGAGAATGGGCGCGCATTCTAAGAATGAGCGCCCATTCTTAAGAACGAGCACGCGTTCTTAAGAGTGAGCGCTCATTCTTAAGATTGGTTGGGAATATCACGTGCACAATTTATGAATTTTGCCCAATCTTAACAAACATTGCACGACATAATTATGTTAAATGAATTGTATAGCGGTTAAAAGGGAAACAATTCATATAAAGAGGAAAGAAAATGTGCTATGCTTCTGTACTCGTATAATTACGATAATTTGAATCAAATTAAACCTGTTATTATTGCTTTTTTCTGCCCACTATGGGAAGTTTTGTAATAACGGAGGACTGGGAACTAGTCTGGGAAGTGCTTTGTTTAGGCTAGACAAGTTACAAGTCCCTGCATGTATCATATGCGTGCCACAAAAAAAAAAACGATGTCCAGAAGCTGCCAAAATTGCTCTTTTGACTAGATAGAATCCAGCTCTGCGACGTTATGGTGGGATGTGAACAATAAATTGGTGGCAATTTAAATGGGAAATAGCATTAGCACTATGGGATGTCGTAGTATCATTCTCATTCTTCACATTCTTCATTCTTACGTCCCCCCCCCCCCGCTTTTATTATCCCAAAAATCAGAATTCTTTGCACTAGTATTATTATGTCTCTTATATTTTCCCGGTCCCCCCCCCCCATATTAATACGCCTTTACTTATCATATCCACTCTACTTTTCAGAGCCTTGCGTTGCAACAGTATAATTATTGAGAATCAGTGAACGAGGATTCAGCTAGACTTGCCAAGCGCAGCCGGTGCTCGGCATCGACAAGACCGTTATCTTGTCGCGCATTCTCGAGAATGTGCGCTCAATCTGGAAGAGTTATTTTTTGCCAAGATTGAGCAAGGATCCAGTTGCACATTCTCAAGAATGTGCATGCCCATTCTCGAGAATGCGTGATTTTCAAGAATGGGCACAACATAGATATCGATGACATCAAGGATCGTTCGTGAGGAAGGTCGGACACTCGGTATCTTGTTGTACAGTGACCTATGAAACACAATGACGTCATTAATTTGGCCCGTGGGGAAGGACGCCCCTTAGCGTTGGATAGGTAAACACATGTGAGGCTGCGCAGCATCTCACGTCCTCCGGTGTAAAATGCTAGCGGGATTTTCACTGATGTCAAGGCGAAAAAAACTTTAAAAATATTATTATTATTATAAGTCATTTCTAGTAATGAAACCAATGATTCCTCAAAAGTGCCATAAGCACTGTAGCTCGCAAGCCTGAAAAACCTGTGGAGAGAAGACAATGAGAAGTTTTAGAGGTGAGAGGAAAAGCCCAGAAGAATATTCTGGGGGAAAACCCACGGAACCAGGCAGGGACTCGAACCCGGGTCACTAGCGGTGGAAGGCGAGGAAAGTTCCGTTATGCCAGCCTGACTCCCAAGCATTATATAAAAAATATAACTAAATCAGGAAATGGTGAGACGAATACAGGAATAAATACTTGAATGAATATCTGAATAAAAGGGGGATAAAAGTAGATGTGACAGTAAAACTCGTAACATGCGGAGATTTAGGAATAATAATAATAAAGAACATTAATATAGCGCCAAAATCCGCCTAAACGAGACACTCAAGGCGCTTTACAACTTTAAAAATAAACCATTACCGCTTCATCAATATCAGAGAATGCAAGTTTAATTATTACTGGGGGCGGGCCGGGCAATGTAACCAATGATATGCGGCGATTGTAGAACTTTCATGAAGTTGTTCAAATATTGAAACCAGCCAAGTTTTTTGCCTTGAAAAGAAAAAAACCTCAGCATGTTATTTTTTATTATGCATACAATCAGTTTCCAAGTATAGAACCCATTGCTCATAACATGAATAGAAATTAATGCTTGTATAATATGATTCCCCAGTCAAATTTTTTAATGGATAATAATTCATATTATTTTTTAAAACGCTTCAGCTGTACAATAATAAAAAAAAACTACTCAAATTCTTAAGGAAGAACAAATAAAATCATTAATAATGTAACGTTTGGAATGTTTGGCAATAGTATTGTGAATGTTTGATTATACCAAGGGCGGATCCAGGGGGGGGCCAAAGGGGGCCATGCCCCCCCCCCAAAAAAAAAAACGAAACCATTTTTTTTTTAATGTGACATCGCAATAAAGGCAGGCAATGAGTACACCACCATCTTTTCCTCAAAATAAATTGCTTAAAGTGGTCAGAAATTGCCTCAGATCGCACCACAGAGCCTCAGATCGCACCACAGAGCACCACAGAGCATCTTAAGCGGGCCCCGAAACCCCACGCCGTAATTTTTTAGACCCACTTTTTGGGCCCCCAAAAAAATGTGTTCTGGATCCGCCCTTGGATTATACTGATATTGCTATGTTACGGTAGCTGTGGCTTTGATGAGTGGGTTGAACGGTGAACACGGAGAAACGAAAACACACTGGTATGAGCTCAGCTATATGGAGAAACTATTTTATTCTCAAGAACTCAATTCTACCGGGTCTTGTATAATATAGAAGTATAAGGTCAGACCATACGGCTGCAACAGCTATGGGTAAGGCTGCGCTGGGTACCAGAATACAGAATATTAGGAGACAGAAGATGACTGAAGTGGAAAATGTGGACATTTTATACTGTTTAAGAGGGGCAACTTTGGGTGAAAATAGGATATGATGTCATATAGGGAAAACATAGCTTATATGATATCATTTCTGAGTAAAGGTAGACTGACCATGGACTGACGAAATGGTCAGTCTGGGGAATTACCCTTATGAGGTCATTTTCCCCTGTACAAGAGTGGAATCACAGTCTAGGTATCCTGTTGCTTGGAAAAGAGTGACGCGAAGACCTTGGGGTGTAATGTGGAACGTGGTAGTGTGGGTGCTCGGGGAGAGTCTAAATTTCAGTCTAATTTAATAAATTATTTAACAAATAATTGAAAACATGGTTTACCTAAAAACAACTTGTTGAGAGTAAGCCATCAATAATAATACACATAATGAAAAGTGGACGAAATTGTCCATATGGACCATCCCCATCTCTAAATCTTGCATAATTTATACAGGTACATACAGTTATACAGTCAGCTCATCATAATACTGCACACTCATATTTTTAATATTTTTTTCGGAGGCACCTTTGGCATTTCTCCATGAAGCACATGAATGGCGCTATTAATCAGAGAATAAAATGCTTTAAAATGTTACATAATCTGCATGATTTATAGAAAAAGAAAGTTTAGTAGCTTTGCACAACTTAATATCGTCCTTCCTTCCTTCTGTCCCTTGGCGTTACGGCGGTAGGGGCGACGTTATGATGGCACGGTCACACAGTTCCTCCATTTGTTTCGGTCTTCTGCAGTTCTAAGAAGATGTGCCCAGCAGTCCAATCCTTGATGTTGTCTGCCCACATTTTCTGCTGTCTTCCTCTTTTGCGGCTGTCCCACCCTCCAGGATTGTGTTTGCGAGACTCCCCTTCCATCAGACCGGTGTCCAAACCACAGCAGTTTTCTCTTTTTGTGACGATTGTGAATAATCTCTCTTGTTTGCCAGTAATGTACTGTCCCTTAGCTAACGCACAGCTTGGTTAGTGGTGTAGCTTGAGTAATGAACTTGTAGCAGTCTCCACGTACAATTCATCTCAAAGGCGTCGATTCTCTTCTCAATCTCTGCTGTTCATTGGTCCAGGTCTCACATCCATACAAGAAGATAGATGTTCATGATCTGGGCCCGCAGTAACTGCATTTTTGATGCCATCGATGTTCTTGTCACGCCAGATCGGTTTCAGTTTAGCTAAGGCTGAGGTGGCAGTTTCAATCCTTATTTTGATTTCAGCTACAGATCTTGCATCCTCCGTGATTGTTGAGCCAAGGTACTACAAACTGGGTGACGGAATCCAGCTTCTCTCTGTCTACTAAGACTTCGATTTCTTCATCTGGCCCCATCTTCATAGCTTTGCTCTTGGCTGCGCTAATCTTCACCCAATAATTCCTTGCACTTCGCTCCAACCTTGTTATCTCTCTCAAAATATCTACAGATGATGAATGCCGGTAACCTCTCTGTAGTACGCAACTATCAATACCTGGAGTTGAATGAAAAAGATTTGTTATGGTCTTATATCACATTAACCAAATAGCAAGCAGAGCTAGAACACTTGGATTTGTGAGACGGTAAACATCTCCAGATGTGATGCCCCCCAAAAAACAGTTAGAGAACAGGAGAAGCAGCCTACAAAACTTTGATTCGACCACAGAGCCACAGTTTGGTATCCCCATCGATCAAACCACATCAACAAACTGGAAAAAAGTTAAGGGGCAACTGAGCAGCAAGATTCAGGTGACCGCCGAAGAACATCCAGTGTCACAGACATGCAGCAAAATCTTCAATGACCATCCCTCCAACATCGCAGAAAAGTCAGTAGGCTCACTATTGTGACGGAAAGTGTAGTTTTTATGCCCTTGTTCATGTTATTGTATTCTAATCTTATGAATGAACTGTAGTATAGTACGCCCGTGACTGGGCGTGGCTTAGCAGTCAGGGTGTGCGTGTATGTACGCACGCGATTGGTTAACAAAGCCCCATATGTTTAGTGCATCATAATGGTTTAGTGCATGTGCTATGTATGCGCGTAGGTAGATTGCTACGTACGTACGCGCGGGGTTTCTGGCAAGTGGCAGCGAGCTGTTCAAACGTGAGTTGAGTGTGCTCTCGCTGTGGCGTGTATTGCTATATGGTGATTTGCGCTATATGCTAGCTACGCGCGGGCGAACTGTTGGACAGTTTAGCCGTACACTTGTGGGTGCATTGTGGTTGATTGGGGCTGGGCCCATGGTTTCATAGTGCTACGTGCGCACAAACCATATCTCCACAGTGGCACTGAGCTATGCAATGCGATATTGTTTAGGCAGTGCAGCATTGGTTGTTGCGTTGCTGTAGTGACTCTATATTGCAGCATCGGTCTGTGCATTGCTATAACGTTCATGTATTGCAGCATTTGTTGTGCATTGCTATAGCGTTCTTGTAATGCAGCATTGGTTTGTGCAGTGATTATTGGAGTGAGCAGTGCGATATTAGTTGTGTATTGCAAATAGGGCTCATATTCGAAAACCACAGGTTGTAATAAAGCTACCCAAGACAATTACTCCCAAATCATTGAATATTTTAATTGTTGTCTCTGAAATAAATCATCGTGTTACTTGAGATTACCGACCATTCAGTTGCCAGTTGTCCTTGTTACTGTGTTATTGCCTAGTTAACGGAAGGTTTAGGGATCAATTCCTGCGGCGCGGGTAGATTTCCACCCAAAACGAGCCTGCATCCTTAGCCTTTAGACTGCTTTGTGTAGTCCCTGGTCCGAGGAATAACTTGGTTCAGGAACAGTCCCGCCACAAATGGTGTCAGAAGTGGGATTGGAATTGATTAAGGTGACTTCTCTGTTGACTAATAGAATTGCTCAATTGGTCTTCACGTGTTGTTGATTTCGGGGTTGAGATGAGCGATCCAGGCTCGAAAGGTCGAATTGGCACCTCGAGTGCTGAGGTCGAGGTGCAACGACTGCGGATGGAAAACCAAATACTGCAGTGGGAAAAGGGCCTCACTGAAAAGAAGTTGGCGCTAGCTGCCATGGACTTGCAGTCGGGTGATTCCCCAAATGGAGGAAACGGGGGTACGCAAGCCGAGAGTGGGCGTGTGCGCCGTCGTGTTGATTCCGATGTTGAGTTTAGGTTGCCCGAAGAGACATCTGGGTATGTCTCTGGAGCGATGGGGAGAGAGTCAGATGCAGGTGTGGTGCCTGAGTTGGCCCCTAAAGTGGGGAGGGGGGTGAGCTTTATTGAAAGTACACCTCAGAAAGGACAAAGCTCAGGGGTGTTCCCCCGAGCGCAGTCGACGCCTATTTCTAGGGAGACGGAGGGTCCTAATGGGGATCTGTTGTCGTTCACGCCTGAGGTTGGTGTGAGACGGGGTAGGGCGAGTACCAACCCGTTCGTTGAAGATAAGGAATTGTGTACCCCTAAACAGGTTCATAGTGAACTGTTGAGTTTCGCGACTCGACCAGTCGAGGCAAAGAACGACAGTTCAGCTCAAGTTGACAAGTCGGTGGGTCCGTGGCCACTGAAAAGAGAGGCACGGGTCCATGGTGGTGTGGGTCAGATGGGTAGTTTGGAGCGACCAAATCGCAGGCCAAACATAACCCCTGATCGGTACAGTGGGAAGGTACTCTGGAAGGAGTACTTCCGCCATTTTGAGTCATGTCATGAGGTGAATATGTGGAGCGAGGAGCAGGCTGCGAGGTGGTTAGCCGCAAGCTTGCAGGGAGACGCTCTACGGTTGTTGGGTGACTCAGGCCACAAGTACAAGTACAGTGCACTTGTTAAGCTGCTGGAGCGCAGGTTTGGGTCGGCTCGACAGAGTGAAAATTATCTTGTCGAATTGAGACATCGACGCCAAAAGCCAAAGGAGGGCTTGCAGGAATTAGGGCAAGCGATTCACGAGTTAACAGCAAGAGCATACCCTGAGTTGCAGGAGGATGCTCGGGAGAAGTTGGCTAAGAACCACTTCATAGACGCCGTTGATTGTCATTCAGTCAGGGAGGGCATTCATCGGGCTCGTCCAAAGACTTTGGATGAAGCGGTCCAGGCTGCCCTAGAGACAGAGAACTTTGATAAGGTCGAACAGCAAAGGTTGTTTGACCGGAAGCCCGCCAAGCTGGCGAGAGCTGTTGACTCCGGAACAGAGCAGAGGTTTGAGACTTTAGAGAAAAATATCGGTGAACAGGCCCAGGCATTGAAGTCTGTGGCTGAATTGGTAAAGTCGTTGTCGACTCAGATTAAGGGTCAGGTTCAGGGCATGCCCCCCAAAACGAACAATCCCAGTACCCTGAAGTGCTTCAGGTGTGGTGAGATAGGGCATTTCGCCCGGGAGTGTCAGAGACATCCACAACAGGGAAACGGCAGTCAGCCCCCCGTAGGACCCGCGGGAAGGCTGAGTGGACAAAAGGGTCCAAAAGACAACAAAGTGACAGCGAGGGTAGTAGTAGAGCGAAGATGTCAAAGTATGGGGATGGGCAACGAGTAATAACTCTGCCCGACCCAAGTCGCGGCCCTCGTTATGGTTTATTTGTTGATGGAATGGTGAGAGGGACCAAGTGTCGGTTTTTGATTGACACGGGGTCCACCGACACCTTGATCAGTAGTACGGTGTACTATCAAATTCCAAAGGAGAAGAGACCCATCTTAGAGACGGAGGAGGTCCAGGTGAAGCAAGTAGACGGTAGTCGATTGCCCGTGCTTGGCATAGCTTGGGTGGAGGTGCAAGTTGGTCGAACCACGCACCAAGTAAGGGCGGTGTTTACCGAAATGAAGTATAGTGGCATCCTGTGCATGGATTTTCTCGTGCCAACAGGTGGAAACATAGACTTCCAGTCAAGAGATTGGAGGCTCAATGGTGAGCGAATCAGGTGCACAAACGGTGCCGGTGAGCCCTTTGTTGGTCGTGTTGTAGTTTCTAGAACTACGGTGATTCCGTCAGGTCATGAGGCCGTGGTCCCGGGTATAATTGCTCGGAAGGGTGCCGACTTGGTCGGGCCAGCCATGGTGGAACCAATGGAAGGTGGCGGTGACCTAGCTAAGAAGGGTTTGGTTTTGGCCAGATCTCTGGTTGAGACTGAAGCAGAGGTTATTCCGTTGCGGGTCTTCAATCCCGGAAGGGAGAAAAGAGTTGCACGTGAGGGGACGACAGCGGGAACGATCTCCCAGGTAGAGGTTGGTTCAATTCATGGTGAGTTGGATGTGGTGGCAAATGCTGGTGAGGAGTTACCCAAGCACTTGCAAGATTTGTTTGAGAGGGGTACAGCCAAGGTAGAGGCTACGTACCATGAGGATGTCCGGAAATGTTTAGTTGACTTTCAGGATGTATTGTCTAAGGGTGACCACGACATTGGTCGCACGGACGTGGTCCAGCATCACATAAGCACTGGTGATGCTAAACCGGTGAGAGAACGGATGAGGCGTCATCCGTATTGCCATCAGGAGGAAATCCAGAGACAAGTCGGTGATTTGGGAAAGAGGGGGGTGATTGAACCTTCCGACAGTCCATGGGCTGCAAATGTTGTTTTGGTTGACAAAAAGGATGGTACGAAACGCTTCTGTATTGATTATAGAAAGTTGAATTCCTTGACCATCAAGGATGCCTATCCTGTGCCGCGCATTGATGAAACATTCGATGCGTTGAGTTTTGTACACTTGACTTGGCGTCGGGGTACTGGCAAGTCGCTCTGGATGAGGACGCCAGCCAAAAGTCAACATTTGTTGTGAGAAGCGGGTTGTACCGGTGGAAATGCATGCCTTTTGGGCTGTGCAATGCCCCGGCAACATTTGAGCGGCTCATGGAAAAGGTTATGGCCGGCTTGCAATGGGAAATCCTACTGATTTATTTGGATGACATCATCGTGTTTGGTCGATCGGTGCCGGAGACCCTAGAACGTCTCCGAGTTGTGTTGGGAAGGCTTAGAGACGCTGGGCTCAAACTCAAGCCCAGCAAGTGTCATTTGTTTCAGAGGTCAGTGACTTACCTCGGGCACATTGTGTCCTCAGAAGGGGTAGCCACGGATCCTCAGAAGACCGAGGCAGTCGCAAAGTGGCCGGTCCCGAGGTGTGTACGTACGAGATGTTAGAAGCTTTTTGGGCCTCGCATCGTACTACCGGAAGTTCATAAAGGGGTTTGCAGAAGTGGCAAGTCCACTTCATGCCTTGACCGAGAAATCAAGAGAGTTTGTGTGGACTGAGAGTTGTCAGGAGGCATTTGACGAGCTGAAGGGCAGGCTTCAGGCCGCCCCAGTTCTGTCATACCCAATGCCCGAGGGCGACTTTATCTTGGACACTGATGCCAGCGGTGAAGGTATCAGGGCGGTGTTGTCGCAGGTCCAGGGTGGTCACGAAAAAGTGCTTGCGTACGCGAGCCGGAAGCTCAGCAAACCTGAGCGAAATTACTGTGTCACTCGTAAAGAGTTGTTGGCCGTGGTTGTGTACTTGAAATATTTCAAAAAATACTTGTACGGCCGCAGGGTGACGGTCAGAACTGACCATGCCGCATTGCGGTGGGTACTTAATTTCAAGAACCCCGAGGGTCAGCTGGCGAGGTGGATGGAAGTCCTGTCCCAGTACGACTTAGTGGTTGAGCACAGAAGCGGCAAGAAGCATGGTAATGCTGATGGGTTGTCGAGGCGGCAATGCAAACAGTGCGGCCGGGAGGAGGTGGTCGACGAGGCATTTGGTGTTCCTGTTCCTGTTCGGGAACAGTCCCGCCACACTATGCTTTATCGCGATACATCCATAAAGGAATTGCCGTTCACATCATCACCCCAGTAGAAAGTTGAGCTGAGAAAGTCAGTGCTACGCTTCCTTGCAATGCCGCACGCAATTCGCAAGCGTACCAAAACATTTTTTCCTATACAGACGATTGTAGACTGGAACAAGCTCCCTGATGAACTTATTCATCAAACATCATCATCCCAATTTAAGACAGCCCTAGGAAAACAGCGACTCAAAACCATGATTTCATGCTTGCACGCGGATCCTGCGTGAAGTCAAACTGGACTGACGATGATGCCTAGCGCTAGCGCTGTACTAGCGGCGATGTCCAGTAGTAATCAACTTTGTGAGATAGAGCTATATTAAATTGGTTATCGCGTTCGCTCGTACCCGTCCCGCCCTGCAAACAGGAGGGCGGGGGGTTCGAGCGAAGTTATCGCGTTGGGTGCAAGGAGCAAATCTGTTTTTTTACCTACTCAACACTAGGGGCGCCCTTCCCCAGCATTACCGCTGAAGCAAGTACTTCCTGTTCACTTTTTTTAGCAGAGTGTCCGATCTCTTTTGATTTACCGCAAAAAGAAATGGAGTCCGGGGAATCACAACAGGACGAAGGAGGCGTCGACGTTGATACGGGGAAGACTTACTGTGGCAGGTAACATAAGATTTCTTTACGAAATTGCATTTTGAAACACAAAAATGACTCTTATGTAAATGGGCCTACTTGTTATTTTTGGATTTTTGGTTGTAGGCTCCATTCTTGGGTTAACTTAAATCCCCTATTAAGATCGGAAAACTACATTGCATCTAATTCGTAAAAAATTATATAAAATAATAAAGAAATACTGGCCTAGAGGCGATCATGTAGGCCTAGTCAGTAGAGTAGGGCCCGGTTCCTATAAGGGAACAAATACATTTGGAAATTATTAGACCTACCAAACTAGTTTGCGACATTCTCATTTCTCAATAAACGGGTGGGCCTAGCTTGCTCATATTCATTCACATTCAACGACCCCCCTGGGCCCCTGCTACACTTTTTTCACCGTTTTTTTAGTAAGATTCCCATATCTGGACATCACTAATTTTTCCCTTTAGCGACCTATCAGCTATTAGAAAATGATAATATGCCCTATTGCGCATTGATCATTAATTTGGAACTGCGCTATATAAGCACCGGTATTAATTATTATTAAAAAGTCAAATTTAGCAGGGACAACATTGAAGGTTTTACTAAGAAAACACTTTCAGACCAGTCTCATACTACTATTACTAGGTTTGTGCAGAGAGTGACAAGTGATGGCCAGATATGGGAATCGTTTTCTTTCTTTTTTCTTCTTTTATTAATAGTTGTCCTTCATTTTATGTTTTTAATTCAATTGTTCTTTCTATTTAAGTTTATTTCTTTTTCTTCTGTGTAATTAAATCGGTGTCCTTTGGGAGGAATTTTTTTAAAAGGGAACTTAAGTTCAAGAACCATTCAGTTGATAGTCTGGTTCCAGCACCAGCAGTCAAAAAGGTTGACATTGAATACTTCCCTTTAAAAAAAAATCCTCCAGAGCCACGAATCAGAAAAAGAAAATACTCTGCAATTAAACATAGGAGTCAATTTCAAATAATAAAAGAAGAATATTCAAAACTTTTTGGGGGATGAAATAATTTGTCTTTGAAAATGTCGTACGGGCACAACATGGCAGCTGGAACCCGGAATCTGTCACTTACGTTACAGGTCAGGCACGCAATCCACTCAGCCACTCCGACTCGTGATCCTTAAAACAATGGTGGTCATTTAATACCTGGGCCTGTCCCAGCTTGGGCGATCAAGTTGGGCAGGCCCAACATGTGCAGCAACTTTTTTCGCACATGTATGTACGAACAGGTCAGTAGCAGCACCCAACCCAGGGTAGTCCTGCCCAACTTTGAACGATCTACTTTAGCCCAAGCTGGGACAGGCACATTACAAGCAAATCTTTCCTCTTCAAAGTTCTGTGTTAAATTTCCCTTTAACAGTGAAACCCTCGGAAAGCCGACAGATGCAGCCAATGTGAGCGATGATCATTCCCAACAGAGACCCCCTGACAGCAGACCAACGGACCAGCCCACCCCTCAGAGTCAGCCACACAAGACAACGCTTTTTGTCCAAGTGAAGGAGACACAATGGCCGATCATCTACTCGCCGGACTACAACATCGGGTTCTTAGGACTTGAGAAACTCCACCCCTTTGATTCGGGAAAATGGGGCAAAGTTTTCAACTTCTTAAAAGGTGACTTAAATGTTACCCACAGGAGTCTCTTATGGGCTCCGTGCACAGACAAGCGAGGGCGCTTCTTTACCACCGTTGCACCGCGTGCGCGCACATGCGTATATGGCGCGAAGTGTATATACGCGAGACTAACTTTATTCTGAAAGTACACAAAGTCATAGTGTCATCACGTGAGCGTCAGGCGCCGTCGGCAATACGTTGAAATGTGTCTCAGTGGTCTCACACAACTCTCTCTTCTGTACCGTTGAGGGGGTACTTGTGCATGGAGCAAATAAGGTGGTTTGGATAATTTCATGTAGGGCCAAGTTCGCGCAAGGACTATAGTTGACCAATGGTTAACTAACGTTTGCCCAAACTCTGTCTAGTCGATGGTGGTTGACTATGCTAGTCGACTATTTGGAACCAGCCTACTGGGGTTGGTTGCTTCGCTGGTAACCAATAGCTGCGCGCATTCATAACGCTAGCAGAGAGCCAGGATCCAGAAGTTTTGCGATGACATTTTGACCAGCGTTTGACTAGAGACGTTCGCACGTTGCTATCAGTGCGCAGGCGTAAGGTACGTCACAAATCAACCACTAGTCGACTAATGGTCCTTGCCCGAACTTTGCCTAATATTCAAGATGCATGTACTAGCAACATGATCTTTTTATACTATAGTTTGCATGGTTGTATGAAAAGTGTTTGTTGAAACAATCCTCAAAAATCCTCAATCGTCCAAAATCAACCAGGCGGTTTATGGTTTGGGTTTGAAGGATTGAAGCTGAAGTGCAAAATTGTGTCCACTAGCTCGACAAATTCAAGATATAGGCCTAACGGATGATGTTGGAAGATTGAGGCTGCATCCAATTTTGACATGGTGGCAGTTGGAGGATTGAGGATGGTTCTTAGCAAAATCGGCCTAGAGTAAAGTAGCACAGTTATGCATGGTCCATCTCCTGTTGTGTTTTCTTAATAGTAGTGTTATTTTTTGTTAAGCTTATTTCTTTTGGTTTGATTTTTTTTCACAGCGGATGGCATGGTGAGCGACGAAACGATAGTGCGCCCTCAAGAGGCAACGACGGAAGACCTACTAGTAGTTCACACCAAGAAATACCTGGACAGTTTAAGGGTATGCAGATTTTTAAAAAAGTCATTCTCTCAATTCTCAAAAATACACCCTCCGACTTACCCGTGTCTCCATCTGAGTTACTTGCTGTCTGTCTGTCAGTCTCCCTTTAATTTGTCTGTTGGTTGATCTGTCTGCCTTGCTCTGGGTTCAGGTTGATCCATTTTTTTGTGTGTCACTCATCGCATCATAATCAGTGTTGCGCAACTTCTTCACAAACTTTGTGAAAAGACACATTTGCTCTGAATTGGGTATACATGTATGTTGTAAAGGTGGGATTTAAATCCGTATTTTTAATATTTTGGTTTGAATTCCACTATTCGGTTTTCAATTTTGGAAACCGGATATTGGAAAACAAAGTTTAAAAAAAATTAAGCCTTCCATTTTTTTGTGACACGGGCTAAAAAAACAAAACAAATGGAAAATCCCCCAATTTGCTCCCTGGTCTCTGATTGTAACTGCATTCACTTGCTACTGGTCTTCTTGGTATATGAATAGCCTGCCCATTCGACTTATCAGAGTGTTCCCATCCATGTTTTCAACATTACAGCTCTGGAGTGTTTTTGTAAAGGCCCAGTGGTCATTGAATCCTGCAAACTATACCTAGTCATTGGGAGGGCATTTCATGCGGCACCTCACTTTTCGTTGGCATCTCTGTGACTATGGCTTGTTTTTGTTTTGTAGACATAAACAGCAATGCTTGTTTCAAACACAGCTGTATTGCCCTATTTATTTGGGGGTACAGAGGTTTTTTTTATACACATTGCCTCACTTTACACTCATTATTTTTATGGAGAGGCGCTCATTGAAGTTTTGGGTGAATTGAGGATTGGGCCAAAATAAAAAGTCTCCGGTTTCTGGTATGGAGCTTGTCCAAAAAGTGGTGCGGCGACGCGGCTTTTTAAAAAATTTTACCTGACTTTTTTGCTTCAAATGTCGACTGGTGACTGCAATTGGTGCCCGACTAAACTTAGTGCAAATATATGGGAGTCCAGAGAGGCCACATAAAGCTTATTCTCGATTATAACCCCATCTAAAAACACGTTAAAATTGTGCAGCAGCAGGATTCCAGTCAAACCAGTGAGTTTGGCGGTTTTGAGACATCATCTTTCATTGAAAAAAAACTTTTTCATTTTGCCGACGCACATGGCTACGGCGACGCGCGCGCATACCAGAAACCGGATACTTTTTTTTTTTGGCTTTGGGTGTAGTTTTTCATTGTTTCAATTCAGAGCACTGTTGTCTCTGGGCCTTTTTCTTTCATCATTATGTACCCTTGGAAAAAGAAAAATGATCTTATTATTTTTTGTTTCCATTTCAATTTCCACCTTCAACTGCTATCTCTCTCATTGCAACATAATCTCTCCTGTACTTGCACCCCATGTCGTATTGAGAATTCCCCATTATTTTTTTGTGCCACATGCAACTATATTCCAACATCTCAAAATTCTCAATTTTTAGATTCTGTTGAATATCAAAATATGTTTTCCTGAAAGCATCAAATATACAATTTGAATGAGAGCAAATGTTTTTTTTTTAGGTGCACAGTGGAGTTCATATGGGTTAGACTTGTCTACAAATAACTTTACTTGTGTAATCCGTCCTTGAAAATATGCAGTCCAAGTTTATTCTTATAAAACCATTTTTCTACTCAAAGAGGGTAAAATAAAATTAAACTGATTGTTCTTTGTTGTTTAAAATATTTTTTTGGTGGAGGAAGTTTGGCATGTGCACTAATTTTTTACATGCAATGAAAAGCTTCTGCAGTCTATGTTCAAAGGCTTTGTTTTGGCACTGGGGTTTCCCTTAATAGGCTGGCTTCTAGAGCTCCCAGTTAAAAACAAAAATGAACGATAGAGGATGCATTAACCAGCAGTGAAAAACAAACAGAAAGCAAATTGAAGTTTGTCACAAGCCAATGGCCCATCAGGCCGGCGGTTATCTCTGGTTTCAGTAGCATGAAACGTCTGAGAATATTTCTATTCCCCCTGGATGGGATGCTAGTCCATGGCAGGGTACTTCGCGGTTAAAGCCGGTGACCATTTACACTCCTGGGTGGAGAGAGGCAAGTGGAGGCAAAGTGGCTTGCCCAAGGACACAATATGTGACCAGCAGCTGGATTCAAACCCCTGACCCTCTGATCATGAGTCACGAACCCTAACTACTAGTCCACACTCCCCACAAAAAGACCGATTTAAAAAAAAAAAAATTTCCTAGCCACTTTTTCCAAGCTGGTCATTCTTCACTGCACATGTAAGCTGCGCACAACAACTGCTCAAAACAGTCACATTGGTGATATTTGTTTTCCTTTCCATTTTGGCTGATTCCATTGTATTTTTTTGCTTCAACAGGAAAACATTGCTGTAGCTATTCCTGAGGTACATGTACCATCTTCTCCCTTAAATACTTTGTGCTCAGTGTGTCTTCTTGTACTCTGTAATTTATTTATTGGTTAAATGTATTACTTTCGATTTTTCTTCTTCTTTTTTTCCCCTTTTGGCCCAGGAATACTAATTTTACATTAAGTAACCCTCCTTTTGTTTCATCAGTCACAGACAGTCAAAAATTCATTCCACTTCCCCTTCCTTGCCTTTGAGGCAGGCTAGTCACCAACAGTCAGATCATATTTCTTGTAGGCACAAGACAAATAAATTTATCATTTTTTTTGCCTCTCGTTTATAATGAAATTCAGCATTCTTCCTTGCATGCTGCTTATTAGCTACTGAAGCAAAAGTACAATCATTTGCACGACGTGCTCACTCATATCACAGGATAATCAACTTTCACTGGAACTGAAATTTGAAAACAACCAAAACTAAGTAATGAAACAATAATTGTAGTTGGCAAAGGTATTTCCGAGCCAGCTGTTATTTCTGTGTGTTATCTCGTGTACTGGTGGCTTTGACTGGTGTACCTGTCTTTGTTTACATTTGTGCATTTTTTAACCTTCCTTGCAGCCTTTTTGGTCAATGTTCTATCTTCAATGAAAATATCTCAAAACATTTTTGATTTTTTTTTCACAGAAAGAACTGGTCAAAAAGTGCATTACAACATTGTAGGGAAAATGACTTCTCAGTGCTAGCGAAGGTTTGCGGTGACACCATGTGGAAATCTCTTTTCGGAAGGTGTGTGGTTCTGAAAAGAACCGGTTGGTTGGTTGGACATTCCGATCAGTATGCTCTGATCGTCTTCAGGAGAATGCTTGATTTGTGGATGGGGCTCCACTTTGTGTGAAGGCGCGGGATGTCACAAGGGGACATCCTGTAGTCTGGCATCCACTAGTCTGGCATCCACTAGCCTTGCATCCACTAGTCTAGCATCCACTAGTCTGGCATCTGCTAGTCTGACATGTACTAGTCTGGCATCCACTAGTCTGGCATCCACTAGTCTGGCATCCACTAGTCCGGCATCCACTAGTCCGGCATTCACTAGTCCGGCATCCATAGTCTGGCATCCACTAGTCTGGCATCCACTAGTCTAGCATCCACTAGTCTGGCATTCACTAGTCTGGCATCCACTAGTCCGGCATCCACTAGTCTGGCATTCACTAGTCCGGCATCCATAGTCTGGCATCCACTAGTCTGGCATCCACTAGTCTAGCATCCACTAGTCTGGCATCCACTAGTCCGGCATTCACTAGTCTGGCATCCATAGTCTGGCATCCACTAGTCTGGCATCTGCTAGTGTAGCATCCACTAGTCGGGCATCCACTAGTCCGGCATTCACTAGTCTGGCATCCATAGTCTGGCGTCTTCTAGTCTGGGATCCACTTGTCTGGCATCCACTTGTCTGGCATCCACTTGTCTGGCATCCACTAATCTGGTATCCACTAGTCTGGCATCCGCTTGTCCGGCATTCTCCTGAAGACGATCAGAGCATACTGATCGGAACGTCAAGTTTTACAACCAACCGGTTCTTTTTGGAATCACATCACACAGAGATTTTTACATTACTGCAAACCTTCACTAGTTCAAAACACCATGCAAAGTTTCCAATCTTACTTACATCTCAGTGTCAAACGTTCTTTCGCTTTAATGCATGGTGCTGTACATATTGTTGTCATAAATTATTTTTATTTGCACCAATTTCCAAAGTAGCCCAAAACCTTTCATTTTCTTGGAACTGTTATTCTTTTGCTGGTATCTGTTCTGTTTTCCTGCTGAAACTATTATGTAAACATATCATCCTTTTGTTTCCTGCATATTTTGGCTTGCTGACTTCTTGTTTTCCCGACTTCATACATGTAGACTTTGCCTCAAATTGTAATTAAAGGTAATATACATGTTCAACATTTGCTTTTGCTGTAATTTTCAGAGAACTGGATAGATTTGGGGTTAGTATTTTAAAGCAACTTATGTTACACTGACCTGAAGTTTTGTGTTCATAGATGCTAGAAAAACCAAGAAAAAAAGTTGTTCTTGAAGTCTGGTATAGACGTCAGGGAATTGATCAGGTCAGGGAACCAGACTAGCTGGCTTGCACCCATTCATGAATGTGCAACCGATGGCAAATAAAATTTGGACTAAATACATTTGGTAAATTGGGGGGAAGTATTTGAAAAAGTTTCTTTTCCAATGATGGTCGACCATCGTTACAAATTGATACAAAATCCACTTTTCTTGGAAATGGCAGCACACCAGGTGCCATTATTTCACAGGATGCTTGAGACTATTATTCACTTGCAGTCAAGTAAGGTATTTCATAATAAGTTGGTAGTTTTGTGTTTTTGATGTTTGAATATGTTGTTTGTTACCTTTAAGTTGACCTGATCCCTTGGCCTTCCAATTTTTGCACAAACGTTTCCTGTTTTACCTGTCAGCCTGCTTATTGACAACACATACAGTGTACTTGTATATTGCCATGACTTTGTTACTTTGATATCAATGTACTTAATCTAGTCAGGAACGGAATCGGAATATCATTATTTTTTTATGAATTTCTGTGGGGGAAAAAGCCAAATTTTTGACAGAGCTGGTTTTTTTTACCCCCTCCCCCCCTCCCAGGATCCGCACCTGCCAGTATTCATGAATACCTAAGACAGTTTACCCATTCCCATTGGTCGAGAGCTGGTCAGGTGGCCGGTTTTTAACGGTTGATAAAGACATGGCTGGCAGTAGTGGCTGGTCTTAAACACTTTTCCAGTGTCACATGAAATTTGGACTTCTACGAAATCCGGTGCCAGCACCGTTTTGTTTGTTGAACGTTCACAATCCAGTCCTAAATTCACACTTCACTGGTACATATCTGCATTGTGGGCCACATCACACAGTACGCATGACGCGCCTGTCAATCTCCACATAAGTTGTTGTTTCCAGAGGGCATTACCATTGTATAGCTCGAGAGGTGTTCCCAAGTTCGCATTAAACTAAATGGAAAATACAAGTAAGGCAGAGATAAACCATTTGATAGTTTAGAAATTGGACACTACTCTTTTTTATTTATTTATATAAATCAAGTTGTTTTTGCTCACGAAATAAATAAGAATGTTTAATTAACATATTGTTGTTGTTTACATTAATCAGGATTACTTATTTCCAAGATTATGCCCTACAATTTGTGAAATAATTGGAGAGGGACGTTTGGCGACAGTGGCATTTTGGTAGTGTTGATTTTCTGTGTTAAGCAGTATATCCGTTTATACTGGCAAACTAGCAAAAGTTTCTTAGCAGTTTTATCCTGTCGAAAAGTTGCCCCGGTTCTCAAAAATTCCAGATTCATTTCCCCCACTGCTATTCCCTGTTTTTGTTTGGAGGGGGGGGGGGGGGTGTCTAGAACCGATGCCATGTCCTGAACTCTTGTATACATGCTCGAGTAAACCAACCTTCTGTGGTCTACATGTTTTGCGTTAATCACAATTTGAAAGTTGTTTTCTGCTCCCGCTGTTTGAAGTTGACTTTGTTTTTAACTATTGGTTAAATTTATATAGGAAGGCTCTACTGAAATCTGTACAGTCAAACAGCCTGGGGCACTTTCAAAATGACTTTCTCAAAATTAGTTTACATGTACATGTATTTGGTTGAAGCTAACATGCTGAAAGTGGGGGGGGGGGGGGGAACCCCAAAATAACGATGGCAAATAGTGGCAAATTCTCAATTCTTCATTCAATCAAGTGATTTTTAAGATACAGTGAAATCTTGACAAGTCAAACCTCAATTAACAGGTTTAAAATTTGACTTAAGCAGAGTTTTGAGTTAAGCAAGGTTGTATACATGTATCATTGTTATACTACTGAAGGGAATGGATTCTTTGTTTGAAAAGTTGTTTTGAGTTCTCAGAGTTTGACTTATCAAGATTTCACTCTGTATTTCCAGAAAAGTCCATAGAAAGGCTCTACTGTAAAGTCAAGCGACCTGCGGCACTTTCAAAATGACTTTCTCTAAATTAGTTTACAAATATTTGGTTGAAGCTAACATGCTGAAAGCAAGAAAAAAAAAACAAATATAACATTAACAAAAAAAGTCTTTTAATACACAACATGGCTAATACTTGATTTCCATTCAATCAAGGGATTCAGGTATTTCCAGAAAAGTCTGTCAAACTCAAGAAAATGACTAAAGAAGAAATGAGCTCTAATATTAATACATATTTCTAGATTTCACCAATCTTTTCCACTCACATTAACCAAACACATTAGAAACAACCAAAGGAAAACTAAATGTCTTGCTCATTGACGAAAAAACATAATGTCGATGTTTTTCAAAAATTGAACTTGTTTGAAATTGATTTCTGTCTTTGTTTCAGTGGAGTGTGACGGTCGCTAGCATCACTGAGGTGCCTCCTGTAGCCCTCCTGCCAAACCCGATCGTCCAGAGGAGAGTACTCAAACCGCTCAGAACGCAGACAGGAGGAACAATACTGGTGAGCAGACGTCTTCAACATATTACTGGTGAACTTTAGGGAAATAGCATGTCATTACAAGTCTGTGTAAAGTTAAATGGAAACAGTCTGTCTTTTGACAACGCAAACAGAAGTTTTGAACCCAAATTTATTCAGTTTCTTTCTCTGTGACCCTCTAGCGCAAAACCAGTCACTTGGACCAAGTTTTGAAAACTGGGATTTTGGGCTCATGGGAAAGGACATTGAATAAGCTTTCCAAATATGTGTAGAAAATGGGAATCAGAAAGAATCGATCATGGATTTTCAGTTCCCGAGTTTCGGGCCTCGAAATGGTTTCAAAAAATTTAGGTGCCCAAAATGAACTCCCTAGGAAATTTACAAAGTGTCACATATTTTCCCTTACCAGCTAAACTAAGAGCTTTTAGCTAATACAAAAAGTACAGTCTGTCCCAAGCTTTTATGGCTCATCTGGTTGAAACCTTGGCATGAAATGACTGAGAATATTTCTGTTCCCCTGGATGGGATGCCAGTCCATAGCAGGTTACTGCCAAGCTAATGCCGGTACCCATTTATACTCCTGGGTGGAGAGAGGCAAGTTGGGGTGAAGCGGCTTGCCCATGGACACAAATATGAACAGCAGCTGGATTTGAACCCCTGACCCTCTGATTGTACATGTAAATCAGGAACCCTAACCACTAGGCCACACTCTCCCCCCCCCCCCCCCCCCCCCATTGAGCTCATTGCTTCCAAATTTGTCATGTAAATGGGTGAATTGATCTGAAAAACTGCAGACAGTTTAAAAGCCAGGCATGCCATTTTTCCTCAGATCAGCTGATTTCCTCTTTTTACTTCCCACGTGCGTCAGTGAAATAGAAAAACACTGTACAAAGTCTTGGAAAGATTTGAATTTCCTCTTTTTTTGTAACTTCCCAGTTGCATGCCCGAAAAGTGTTTTCTTCCCGATATTTTACACCTAATATCTAAAAAGGCATGTGAAAAGTTGAATCTTGTACAGTATTACATGTTGTATACTGAGATGACCAATTTCTTCATTTTCTTACAGGCAGGCAAGTTAGCCATGGAGCGCGGCTGGGCTATCAACATCGGCGGTGGCTTCCATCATTGTTCAAGTGAGAGAGGGGGTGGCTTCTGTGCCTTTGCAGACATCACTCTTGCCATAAAGGTACAATCAGAACAAAGTTTTCCTCGTTTTTTTCGGGGCAGGGGGACGTAAGAAGTCAATGGCTTCATTAATGCTGGCATTGGGGATTTGTTGGTCCTAAGTCTTATATAAGGGCCCAATTTCAAAATTTTTGTTTAGCAACAAAAAAAGCCTGACTTATAAAAGCAGTTTACCAGCCAAAACTCCACGTGATTTTCATGCTATAGCAAACAACAGCTGAATACTAATCACGAGCAATATACATCGCCTGGAGTTTTGGCTGGAAATCTGCTTTTATAAGCCAGACTTTTTCGTGCTAAGCAAATTTTTGTGCTTAGCAGCATCGTGAAATTGGCCCCAGACTCCCTGCACCTTGAGTAACCCCTAAAATATTGTCAGTATAAAGACAATATTGGACACCGTCTCTATAGTAACAGCATACCGAGATCAGTGGAGTGGAATGAATTACAAAACTAGTACAACAAATGACATCACATTCTAAATGGGTTTTCGTATGCTGTGTTGTCTTCCTGTGAGACTTAAAGAGGAAATCAGCAATCAATTTGCTATTGAGCGACCGTAGACATTAAAATAAAGGTTTAGCAAAACCAAAAAATTTGACGATCAATTGGTTTCTATTTTATTTGAAAATTGGCATGGCTTAGAGACTTTTAAAACCTAAAATTACTGCAGCTTTAACAGTTTCTGGTTCTGCAATATTTCAAAGAGACAAAAATAGGGTAAACATCTACGCTGTTTTTATATTTCCAGTTTCTCTTGGACCTTCGTATGGTGGAGAAGGTCATGATCGTGGACCTGGACGCTCACCAGGGTAACGGCCATGAGAGAGACTTCATGGATATGCGGGAAACCGTCTTTATCCTGGATATGTTCAACCGAAGTATCTACCCTCACGACGGGTACGCCAAACGTGAGTATCAACGGATGTTTAATATTATAAGCTATCCCGCAAGCGCGAGTGGAACACGGAATAATGTAGTGCGTCTGTGTCTTGTCCTCGTGGTATGTTGGACACAGACGCACTACATTATTCTGTGTTCCACCAGCGCAAGTGTGCTAACAAATTTATCTTCAAGCAAACTTGACGCACCGTGAAGATGAACTAGCACGCTTGCGGATGCGATATGGACCGTGCGATACAGTATAATATCACACTGTTGTTGCCATGGATCAACCAATCAGCATCAAGGATACAAGTTTGCTTGAAGTTAATGGCTTTTGTATTTCACCAACTGAAAGGGATCATGACACGAGTATTTTTTGTGTAGCTTTCTACTCCTCTTAAATGTATGAAAACTATTTGACATCACTTCTTGGTTTAACTTTATTGAAAAGTACACTCCTTTCAACATTGTCCATGCTTTTCTGGACAACTGAGGATGCGCTGTTTGCTGTGATGTCATTTCAGGAAGACAGTGTTCAGTTTAGAAAGTTTAAGGTCACATTTAAAACAAACACTTGCGTGAAAAGTTTGCTCATTGGCCTACTGTCATGTGCTGAAACAACAACAAATCGCTGAAAATAGAAAACTTGCAAAATTGAAATTTCATTCCCTTGCAGTTGGCTAGTCAATGCAATATGTTCTTCTTTTATTTTTAGGAGGAATCAGTCGGAAAGTGGAGCTGGATTTTAACACGGAAGATGGACCATTCCTGAGAGCTGTTGAAAGGTAGCTATTCAGACTCTGAGTTAATGGTACCATTGATCTGTTGACAATCACTGCTGCTTATGTTTTTGTTGCATCTTCGCATATAAATGTAAGAGGAACACTAAGAATGAGATTGCAGTTGCACTGTGTGACATAATAAACCATAGAACGCCATGGTCCAGTGATTAGGGTGTTTGACTCATGTACGATGGTGCTTGGGTTCGAACCCTGCCAGGAACATGGTGTTTGAGCACTTGGGCAAGACACATGACTACAATTGGCTTTCTCCACCCAGAAGTAGGTAGAGGGTAGAGGACCCCTGTTTTGTGCCCTGTTCTCGCAATCTGATTCTACCCATCTCTTTCTGTTTCAGACATTTAAAACAAGCTTTAGAGGAATTCCGACCAGATCTAATTGTCTACAATGCCGGCACGGACATACTCGAGGGAGACCCTCTTGGAGCGCTGTCAATCACACCAGAGGTAAACTTGCTACTTACAAAGCTATCTGTGTTCCATTTACCCTCTTTCAAATTTCTTCCTTCACCTCAACCCAAAGTAGTCAGCGATTCATTTTTTTTTTATTTGTAAGGGGGCTCAGTCTCTTGAAGCCCTGATCACTTTTACACAATACACTCTTATACGCTGAGAAAGTGTGACCTCACCTCCTCCCCAAGCGCATTCCATTACGACAAATTTCATGTATGTTTAACTCGCACAGTCTCAGACATCAATTATACAATCCTACTTTTCTTGAATATTTTTATTAAAATTAGCAACTGAAAATGGTTCACTACCTTTCAAGGGCGTCGATTGCTTCTCAATAGTGGGGGGGGGGGGATACCTTGATCAGCACTGATGTGATAGCAAAGCGCAAAGCCCTAACGGTGGGGGGTTGGGGCCTGCTTGAGGGCCCCAAAAAATGTTTGGATTGTCAAGTTTGGAGTCTTTGATTCAGGTATTCTGAGCTATGAAATCATTATGTTGGCTACAATATTTATTCAGGTACGAAAAAAGTAGAAGGGGGGAGGGACAAGCGATATGACATTCCCCCCTCCCCACTTCCCCCACCGATTGTCACCTATGCTCTTTTTCCAGCAGATTGTCACAACACCAATTACTTTCACCGTTGTGCTTATTTTTTTTGCTTCAAAGAGGAGAATCCAGTAATATCAAAGCCACAGTGTTCTTTGGGATGTTGCTGTGTGAGCGAACCAATAACCATAGTTGCACTGAGTTGACCTCTGAGTGACGTCAAGATTATTTCAGCAAATTGTAAACATGTTTCCTGTATATTTAGAGCTCACAATGTTTCCTAATTTTCCACACAGGCAAAATTTGAGATTTGTGTGGATTTGTGTTGGTTCTTTCCTCAGGGCATTGTGCAGAGAGACCAGATGGTCTTCGAGATAGCAAAGAACAGAACGAAACCCATTCCAATCCTGATGGTCACATCCGGAGGATACCAGAAGAACAATGCTCGCATCATTGCAGACTCCATCCTGAATCTAAAAAAACAGAGGCTTATACAATGCCAAGAAGCTGAGGAGTACCTCAAGAACAAAGGTAATAAGAAGCTTGACAAGAAATCGCTTTTGTGAGTTTGTGCGAATCTGAAAAGAAACGGCGAAAAGTCAACGTTTCGGACAGTGTGCTCTGCCCATCGTCTGAAGATATTAATAAATAAGATGCAGGTAAGAGGTACATGGATTGCAACTCTTGCCAGGGAACATGATGTTTGTGTCCTTGGGAAAGACTCTTTACTACAGTTATTTCTCTTCACCCAGGAGTATAAATTGGTACCTTTGTGGGTAGAGACCGGATTGCACTGATTTTAAACAGACTTGAAAACGTGAAGCACTCTGAGACATTAGTATGAAGAGATATACATTGCATGAGGGCCTCATTATTTTATTATTATAATAATTACAATTATTTCAGCCTTACCCTCCCTTGGTTTATTTTTTCAATTCTGCCCAAAAGGGTACAATGTATACATTTTGACAATTTAAGAATGTACAGACCAGCAGCTTGATTTGGAACCCCCGAAAGTTGAAATACACGTTCAAAAAATGAGATTAGGTTGATGAGGATTTGAAGAAAGCTCCTGGCAAAAATGCTTTGGGGAGGTATGGGTAATTATTTTATAATCCTTTGGACCAATTGCAGCTCCTGCAGTACAATATAACTGGTTTTCACCTTTGCTAAGAATATTGTACAATTTACTACTGTCATTTATACCTCTTGAAGTCAGTGTATACTATGCTAAAATGTGACTTGTTTTTGCGTGTGAATATTTGAAGACATTTTGAAATTCTTGTTGTCTTGCTTTTGATAGCCAAACAATCTCCAAGTCAAGAGTCCTCTGTTGATACCGGAGCAGCCAACGCAAACCCAACAAGCAGGAGATCCTGGAGTTCAATTTTCGGTTTCAAGAAATAATACCATTAGATAGACAACAGATATTTTTCTAATCTGCTGTTGCTATTTTTGCGGAAGTCAACTTTCGCGCGCATGCGTCAGTTGGTAACCGATCGGTTCTCAGACTTTTAAAACTACCCTTTAAAAAAGCAGTTCTTCCGAGCCATTGATCGGAAAGAAAAGTTAAATCATCTTTAATAAAAAGTGGGATTTGATGTAGAACAATAAAAGTAAGAAAAAATATTTTTTGGGAAACTATAAAATAAAATGGTTTCGGCGAGATTTAAACCCCGCTCCTTCGGCAGACGAAAGCACTTGTTGATCTGATCTAGCTGCTGAATTTTTATTCAATTCCTGAGGGGATTTAAAAATTGTTTTGATTCGAAAACTTTTGCAATTCTGTGACTACATGATGAAACATGTGCTACCGTTTCTGTAAAAATAGCTACTGTGTTTCTTGCAAGTCAACACAGGTGAAAATCAGAATCTTTTACTGCATGGAGTTGTAGAAGTCTTTTGCTGTGGGTTGCAGGATGTGGGATATTTATGCACACTTATTTGCCTATCTGGTGTTATAAATGTGAGAAATAATTGACATAAATATCCCACTTCCTGTTTGTAAATAAGGGAATAAAATATGTGCTTGGCTGGGTTTAACCACTTCGCGCCGGGATTATTTTTGCTGAAAAATTCGATTTTCGCAACAGGCAAAATTTTCCAACCAACATCTGATATACAGCCAAATGCCACAAATACTGAATCGCAAGAGTCATTTCAACAGTATTTGTACGATATTTCTTGCTGAAACCTCATATGTTTCAATACTCCGGGTGTGCACTGGAGCGTTAACTATAGAACAATAGGCCATGCACAATGGCCAATTCAAGATCCACACATGGTCCGCCTCCACAGACTTCACGGACATTTTGTGCGTGTACAAAAGACACCAGGGATTAGCGTGTTTAGAAGTCAACCGGAGGTGAGTGGAGGCAATCTTAACCTATCAGCCGTGTCTGTGTATAAAAACAGCCAGTGTGTGCTATCACGTCCTCCAACGTGAACTGGTTAAACAAGTACGTTTCAAACCTGCTAGGGGCCTGGTTGCCGATATTTGGCTCGGGCCATTATCCCCGGCCAGGCCCCCAGCCGGTTTTTAATGTACTCGTTTAAAACCAGCTGATTAATCACATATTTATTCCAATTCATAAATACCTTGCGGTCAAAAAGTCAAAACAAGTAAAAAAAAATCACAAATTTCCAACGATTTTGTTCAACAATTTACGGTGTTGTGAAACACCCCTCTTGCTATTTCTATGGTATGTGCCTCGTGCACATAGTTCTAAAAAATCTCCTTATATGGAAATTGGCGCACGCGCGGCGTGTATTGCGTGATGTGGCGTGGAACGCAGCGGTACAGGAATAAAGTGTTTAAAACTAGTTGGTGTTTTATCAACCGTATAAAAACTACCCATGTGACAGGCTCTTGACCAATAGGAACTGTCCAAGCTATTTATGGATTATAATTAATACAGGATATTACTCAATTTTTGAACACATATATACGCCTTGCTTTATAATTTACATTGGGTGAGCATTTTGCTGGTTCGCTTTGCAATAATCATGGTCTCTGTCTTAAAATCAAATTCAGTGTGTAATTATGTAATATAATGATGATCTTCTCCTAATTTACAAATTTTCCTATGCACGCCGCTTCTCTGCCTGTAACATGTCAACTCAAATATTTCATATTGTTTTAAGATTTTTTTAAAGGAGGGTGTGGTTGAAATAACAATAGTTGCAGGTACTTGAATATATAATGAAAGAAAAAAGCCGCCTCCCCGCATAGCGGGTGAGGCAAGGCTTCCTTGTATTTAAAGGGAATGTACAGCATTTGCTTTTGCTGCAATTACATGTAAATGGATTTGGGGAATTACTGTGTTATAGCAAATATTGTTAAAATGACTGGTTTCATGTTTTGGGCTGGTACATGCTGGAAAACCAATGATGTTCTTGTATTCTGGTTCCCTGACCCCACTTAAGATGAAACAGAGAAATGTATAGACTTTGGGGAATTGTAAGGTCAGAGAATCAGTCTGGCAGGCTTGTACCCCTTCACAAGTGTGTAATCAAGTGCAAAGGAGATGCGGAACAACTGTTATGAAAAATTCAGAGCGGTTTTTGAAAAAAAAGCCAGTTTTCTCCAACACTGGTCGGCTGACCAGCGTTGGCAAAATAAACATTTTCTTGAAAATGTCAGCACACCAGGAGCTACGATTTTACAGGATGCTTTAAACAGTCATTCCCCAACAATCCATTAACTTATTTCGTGATAATTTGATCATTTCGTGTTTGATGTTTGCAAATGTTGTATCTTCCCTTTAAACTAAACATGTTGATAATGTTGACTAACTGATAGTGGATGTGGATAGGTGTATGAAATATTATAGTCACATGTAAGGGAATGTTTATACATGTACATGGATTTGTGGAACCCTTTCGTCCCTGTATTGCCTCAAACCATCCTGCCTGTTACTCCATGTAAAACCCAAAACTGCCTGAGCACTCTGTGGTTTTACTGATTCATCAATGTATACATTGTATACATTGTATACAGTGTACAGGTGTTAAAGGTAGAGTACATGTATATCAATTGCAGCTATCCAAAGTAACTGATGAAATTATTGTTTAAACGCTCACTTGGATTAAAGATAGTAATGACACTAAACTCCTTCTGAAATTATCCTTCCTGGCAGCTGTCATTTTGAAGAAAACAAAAAAACTTGAGAAGGTCATTTCCAAAGATGCGTCTAAAGACGTTTTTGGGGAAATTTCTGAGTAGTTCTTGTTTAATTCGGTAAAGCCGTGAATGGGTGTGCGTAAGCGTTGACACGAGGCACTCACGCGCACAGTTGCTATAATTCGTCGGTTCAGGGCGTGACATCGCGTACCTGTAATCGGCTGAATGACAGCGTGTCGCAGACACTAATTTCGGGTGCAATTCTAAACACAACTCTGTAAATTTGAATTGAAATCGAGATCCTAGGATATTGTTTTCTCGGAGTATACAGCATTCACTGAGCTAAAACTTCTTCATGTTAGTTGTTAAGTACCCTTCTTCAGATTTTGAGCACTTTTGTTGCTTCAAACCAAAAAAAATTGCACAAATGATATACTCTACCTTTAATGGGTTTATAATAAGATTTTGAGGTCAGTGTATACATGTACTTCACTGGACAGTGGAAGCAAACGTTCACGACATCGGTTGATGAAGTCAAATTGTGTACAATTCCTTGTAGCTAATTCACTCTGCTTTATAAACAGGGCTTTAATCTTGCCATATTCAAGAAAATGTTCTGAGAATATCACAAATATCAGTAACATTTCAATTGCTTTGTGTTATATATTATGTATCAGAAGAAATTTTGTGGAAAATTGTATAGAGACGTAAACATGTAATGTACATAATCTAAATGTAAATTATTTAATCGTAAATCTTAAATAAATAAACATGGTTTACTTGGGGAGGTACTTAATGATGTTGTAACTCATACTGGGATCGAGATATAAACTTCTGTTTGTGTTTTGCCATAATTTGTTTTGACTGCAATATGTGAGAATTTTTATCTTTTGTGTTTGTGGTCCATTTGTTAATGATCTTTTGTGCATGATCATTTGCTATTCCTGCGATCATTTAAAAATAGTATACAAAGATTGAGTGGCTCAGAGTGGAATGGGAGGAACATTAGTGAAATGGAAAAGTCAAGATTTCACCAAGCGAAATATTCCTCCCATTTTACAATTTAATCAATATTTGTGTTTTTATCACTGACATATACATGTACATGTAGATCCTTGTCATTTGATATACAGTTAAAATGAACTTCTGTTACAATACAGAATTGGTGGAAAATGTATTTCTCTCTTCCAAACCAACCCCTTCTCGAAATGTTTAAACCCAACTCCATAGCTACTGGCTCTTGGGAACAACATGCTCTACGCGCAACGCTCAACATGCACACCAGCATGCACTTGCACACAAATACCGCACCATGGGACTAGGATGATCCTAACTGTTGAATTGTAAATCCCATTCACCATGGGCGAATGGGATATTTTTAGACCTGGCATGAATGGGAAAAATAATGAATGTCACGTGATGTGAGTTCCACCAATCAAATGACAAGGATCTGCATGTCAGTTATGTAATAACTTATCATTTTATGCTAATTTTGAGACTCTTTACAATTGTGTATGTCCTCAGACTTCTTTCTTCCTTTGCAATAGTAAATCATTTTTAGTGGCTTTTAGCATCTTGCGTCTCCACATTCTGTGCTTTGTAGTTCAAATGGTCATTTTACTTTCACAAATTTGAGATTTAATTTCAGTTGTGAAGTGCAGTACATTGTAAATGCTTTGTGCATGTTAGTACATGTATGCTTTTGTACAAAATACATGTAATCATGAGAATAAAATTTGTGATCCATACAAGGCATGTACTATCATCTGGTAGTGTTTGCATTTTTGCTGTTAAATATAAAAAAACAACCGAGGCTTCACCTCACCCATTGCAGGGAAGGTGATTTCACTGCCCCTCACCTACGAAGCAGGCGATCAACTAATGAATACATGTACTCAACTTGTGAACACAACCACACACATGCGTCTTGGTAAACGCCTTCAATCGTGGACCCCCTATTGTTCCTCTTTTGTTAATAACTTTTTAGAAAAACCTCCCATATGTTTTGTACACACAACTCAAAAGTGGACCTTCGGTCAGCCATGGACCCTACTGTCCTCTATTGTTCAAGGTCCATGATTTGAATATGTGTACATTGTACATGTACGCACATTTTTTTTGCTGCAGTTGTGGGGACTACACACGTGTTGTCCCATGGTACTATGGGGACCGAAGATGCTTTAGGGACCGCAGAAAGTCCCCACAACTCGGTCCTTATTACCCTAACAATGAAAAACTTCCCCATAACGCAGTGACGGCCCGCCCACATGTATACACACGGGTTGCCCCATGGTACCGTGGGGACCAAAGACTGTGGGGATAGCAGAAAGTCCCACTAACTCGGTCCTAATTTGCCCAACAATAAAACACTTCCCCATAATGCGGTGACGGCCCGCAGGTAATGGAATACTGTACATGTACATGTAGACATTCATCCAAATTTTCAATAAACTTTCACAAGATTGCCTAGACCAGCCAAATTGCATGTGCAACAAGAATTGATACAAAGAACAAAACAGGAAAAAGACTTCAAACTTCAACATTTGAACATTGTAAAGTATTTTACTGTTTGCGTGTTCTTCAGAGAGTTGACTGGACGGTGTTTAGATTAAATAAACAAGGACACAATGCATTAGAATCTTTCATCACTTTTACTTTAATATGCTTCTATTTACAGAATACGAAGACTTGCATTAAAAACTTATACATGTACATGTATTAAAATTACAACGTAATGGAAAGTATACAGTTGTAGATGGACGATACAGCTTTGAAAATTAATTTGGGACGGAACTTCTTGGAGTACACTTATATTGTACAATGTACATGTACGTATTTGTGTTAAGGTTCAACACGTCTTTTTTGGTGATGACAATTTTACAAAATCAACTTTCATCTTAAACTCGCACCGTTGGAAGCAATATCGTATTTCAATATTCAAACTAACATACTTTTAAAAAGATTAACGGCTGCTAACCAAATCTAAACTCCACATTGTTCAGTATTGGATCTCATGACCCCACCTTGAGCTTCAACTACTGTTCATTTTTACATTGTTTGTTGGAATACATTTTAAAAGATTTATTTTGAAACAAGTGGATTTTTACAGCTTGGCCTTTATTGGGGAAGAAAGTTGTGAACCCTAAAATAAAAAAAAAAAACATTTTGGGTCGTCAGTTTGAGGAAATGCCGACTTTTCACATTGCTTGCACTACGTACTTCAAAATGCCAACAGAAATTCCTAGAAAAAAGTCTTGCAAAACAACTTGTTGCTTAACAGGTCTGTTATTTCCTTAAAAAAAAGTCCTGATGTGAAACACTTCTCTTGAAAATGAATACAGTGGAACGCCACTATAACGAACATCGCAGGATCCACAGAAATTGTTCGTAATAGCGATCGTTCGGTATAGTGATTTTAAGCTGCCGGTGCTCTGGTACTCATTTTTCAATTAATAGCGCCCTTCAGAACTTAACCCTGCACGTTCTGGTACTTCTAGTTACTGAAAGACGACTTTGAACACGTGCTGACTATTGAATAACGTAATTACAGGTACATGTACACAGATTGTGAGCTTACTACCTACAGCAATGGGTGGCTTTCCTTGGGGAAATAAAAGCCACTTTTCGCTCTTCTGTTGATATTTTTCAACAACAATATTTGTACACAAAAATCGAGAGCCAAGGACGATGTTTGGTATAGCTGAATGATCGGTATAGCGGTGTTCGGTATAGCGACGTTCCACTGTACTGAGATTTTGAAGATTTCAAAGATGAGCTTCATGTGTTTGTCCTCCACACGGATACAGTGGGTGGGGAGGTCTGTCCAGACAGTGTACACTTTGCATCTACGTTTGATGAGGATTGTTGTGCTGGCTACTTCTACCGGCTTGTTGTGTTCCACTGCTGGAAGTATGCCGCCGTTGGTCTGTTGGTGTACACCTCACTGTCCATGTACTCTTGACTGTAAAGAACACGGTAAAAAAAAAAAAAGGAACATTTTAATGTCACTGAAAATTACACAGTATGGAGTTAGAGCTGTAAAGAGAGCTGGCTTAATATTGGTATTGTAAAACCTTCCTAACTGAGTGCGAACAGACAAAAGTGAAAATTCAGGAAATTAACTTCGTAACCAGGATTGTTCTTCAATGAAGTAATTTGTCTGAACTGCTCAAGACTTCAAAGAAAACATCTTGGTATTAAACCAGCATGAAAGACCTTGCATATATGACCTTATGAAATTTCGTAGAAACTTTTGTTCTTCGAAATTTTTAAAAAAGCATTCAATGCTTTCACTTGTGAGATAAACATTTTACTCGGGTGGGACTTGAACCCATGACCTCCTCCATGACCACCGAGCTTGCTGGGTCAGTTAGCTGATTCAATTCTGATAGAGCAGTGGATATGACAGGTTTTGCAAGAACTTACTTTGATTTTTGTTCGGCGGCAAGTCTGGTGTTGGAAGCAACCTGTTCCTTCTCCAGTCCCTTCCTGATTCTGTCCCCTTCCCTCTCCATCAGCAGACCGCTCCTGGCATCAAACAGCCGTTGTTTCTCCCACTCCTTATCCCGTTCCTCCTCGTCTTCCTTGATGCGCTTCTTCTCTTGCCTCTGCAGCTCTTGGATGCGGCGGATCTCCTCCAGTTGCTCGGGGGACATGCCCTTCCAGCGGTCGGTGATCACGCGGTGGGGGCCGAAGGCACTCTCGGCCACGTCCGGGTTCTCGGTCAGCATGTCCCCGTTGACCTGGTTGGCCATCTCGGTGAAATTGTCGTCCAGCGCTTGCTGCTCTGCTAGGCGGGCTTTCTCGGCCTGTTCATCAGCCTAAAACAAATTCAAGATGGGCATTAAACAAATTAGCTGTTAAAAATGATCATCACCAAGGATCTATAGGGCAATACGCTGCTCTTGCTAATATAGAGCTAAGCTTTGCACACAACTTTGCTCAGCATAAACAAAAACTTCTACTTAGAAACACAACGTTACCAACCAATATATCATACAAAGTACATTGGTTGTGACTGCTTCCAAGCTGATTTCGGCATGGTAAGAAACTTGGCATTCTAACATTTCTGCTCAGTAGCTCCAGGGTGCCGCTCCATGCATTTGCCCGGATCACAAATCCAAACTCCTGAAGGGTTCTGGTGGGGAAGGGTCATGCTTAAATACTCACCAGTGATTTGTTATAATCCCTCATAGCCTCATTGATAGCTCGGCGACAGTCTTCTTCAGCCGTAGCCAGAGCCATAGCCCTTTCGTCTGCCTCCCGCCGGTGCAGGTCATACAATCTGTCGGCCTCTTTCTGATGAGCCTTCTGCCTCTTCTTTTCCTCGGCCTGCCTCCGTGTCCACTCCCTCATCTGCTCCTGCATCAGCTTCTGGCGGGCTTTGGAGTTGAGGTCCTCCCCGTCGAACTTCTGAGCACCCGAGATGCCGCAGCGTGGGTCGTCGTCGGATACTCGGGCGGGCTTGTCTTTCTTCTTGGCCTCCGGGTCGTTCAGATCCCATTCCCGTCTTGCGTCTGGCTGCTGATGTAAATCACGGAACTCATTGAGGGCCTTGTTGAGGTTGTGTTGGTCTTGCTCTCGTCGGCGTGTTAGGAGCTCAGAAATTTTGTCGTTGCGGATCATATCACTGGCTGTAGGGATAAGAAAAGAAAATTAATGGGTTAAAATATAAAATAAACATAGGTCTTCAGGAAAATAAAAAACCGTTGATGCCTGTAAAATCATGAAAAAGTCCTGGCAATTAATTCACTTAGAAGTTCATACCAAAAGCTTCATGTCTATGTTGTTCCCTTTGCTCCTGCAGACCTCTGTCATGGACTTGCTCTTTGATGGCTTGAACATCAATCTGTGTAAGAAAAAGATACATATTCTTGATATTGATACTCTAATAAAATATTACCTGCAAGGCTACATTCCACTTTAGGATAATTTTAGTTTAGTAGGCCAACACTCCTACAGTTTAAACTTTAATTTGGCATCATTTTTAAACATTACAAGGTTTTTTTTATCATTCAAATTCATACTGCCATTTCTGGTTTTCACAACACAACTTTTTTACTAAGTTGGTTGATTAAGACAGAAAAAAACTTCTTTTAAAATAATTAATAACCAACATCATTTATTTCTTGGGTTTGAAAATATATTTGACCTTTAATAAAAGTATTTTTTCCGTATTTTATTGTAATTTTAACAGTGACAACATGGAACCAACTAAGTTTTAACAAAAAAATAACTGCGGTTTCGATAGTCTCAATCTGAACTCACCCCGATTGTGCGAACTTTGGAGTTGAAAATTCTGTTTTGGCGTTCCAATTCCTTGTTTCTTCTCCGCTCAATCGCGGCTGCCTCCTTCAGATCGATCGGTAAGTCAAGCTTATACATGTTGATTTGTCACAAACGTCAGATTAATACAAGTTTTCTGTGTAAAAACGTGGACGGTGAAAATCCGCTGCTTGGCGATTCGCGGACGGATTGTGTATGCGAGTTTTGCTATGGGACGTCATGCTTTATGCTGTTGTCAGGGGCGTTGCTACGTTCATTTCCGATAAACAGTCAAACATCGGCCCAAGTCAACATGCGGCTCAAGTGAAACGGGTCGTGATTGGATAGATCTCGTTCCTTTTGCTCAGATAAACCAATGGACGTCGATGTTCTATAAAAAAAACAGAACAAAAGACGACGGCGCTATTTCGATAGGACGCCCTCTTGTGAGTGAAAAAGAGGCAAATTGTTTCGCACAAATTTTGGTTCTCATCGGCGCTGCGCCGAGTGAAAAGCATGCAGAGAATGGGATCGGTTATGTTAATATTGTAAGCCCTAACTTTAGCTACAACGTGATTTCAATACAGAGCAACATGCTGTTGTTGTAAAGGCTTCATATTTAAGTGGTATGTATCGGGCAGGTTGCCCCTAAATAAAATTGCCGACACTGACAGTGAACCACAAGTCAAGAGCAAGTTGATGAGTTGTGCATCTGTGCATGTGGGATGGGCTGGGAAAAAGAAGGGGGGGGGGGGAGGCAGTTAAACGTCACACTGTTGTGCTCCTCCCCATGCCACTCCCCCCCCCCCCCCTCCCCCTGTTGACATGGTTGAGGAGGGGTGAGCATGTCTGGACTGGACACTGGAGCGCTAATTGTAAATTGGTAATCAAAGATTAGGCGCTTCTTCAGTTCTTTTAATTTTAATTTTTAATTTATAATAAATTAAAAATTAAAATTTTAAATTTAAATTAAAATTTTAAATTATAAATTTTATTGGAATTTTGGAAAGAATGTTGCATCCTGACGACACTTTTTTCATCATCTCAATGAAGATCTGTCGTTGCAAAAATGTTGAAAAGACATGAATCTGGGACTACAAAAATATTTTCAATTTTGCAAAAAAATTCTTTGTTGAAAAATGCACTCAAATTAATCCTCCATAGACTTTGTACACAACCCAGCCCAGGTTGGAGGACGTCTTCATTGCATTACGACACCAAAAAAGTGGCGCCAGGATACTACCTGTCCTGGTAACCAGGTACATTCTTTCCAAACATTGGGCACTAACGACTACGAGCAATGATGAGTAACGTTATTTAGCCTTTAGGCCTAATTTATCCATTTATTGGAGTTAGAAGATTTTTTTTTTCTTATGCACTTTGAGTGGTGTTCAAGAGTGGTATTTTTACTAGGCCTAATAAGAGTTTTGTGCAGCTGAACTTGGTTGGACAGTTTTTAAGACAAATTACATGTACGATTAACTTGTTTGAAAAATATACTTATTCATAAATAATTTTTTTATTTGATGAGTTGATGTGATTATTTTGGCAGAAATACAAGCTGACTTTGATGCTTTGCTTGTGTCCCTGGTGATCCTACGTCAAGATGTTGGTTCCCATCTTCACCCTGAAGCTCAACCACAAGATCAACCCTCGTATGGTGACACTCGGCAAGTATGACGGCAAACATCCAAATCTCACAGCAGCCACCACCGCTGGAAAGGTAACGAAGAACGCAGAATCCAGACTTCGCTTTGCTGCTTATTTTTCTGTACCTAGGACATGCAACGTCATGATTCACAGCTTTGGATACCTCTTCTTCTTTGCAAGTGCTGCCTTCATGTGGTTGAAGATAAATGCACTGCCAGAAACATCGGACCAAACCCCTTGCATTACACAACGCACGGGACCTAGGGCTTTACATCTTATCTGAAGGACGGGAAGCAATAATGGCTGGAAAGAATGTTGCAACCTGACGCCACTTCAGCGGTTGTGTACAAAGTCTATGGAGAGTCAAGAAAATTTAAGTATTTCCTAACAAAATTGGAAAGGTTTCTCAGTCCCAAATTTATGTCATCATTTTTGCAATGACTGATTTTCATTGAGATGATATGCGAAGAAAAAGTGACGTCAGGTTGCAATGTTTTTTCCTAATGGTTAAGTGTCTTGCTTAAGGACACAAGTGTCAAGACCGGGACTCGTACCCACACTCTGCTGATCAGAAACACCAGAGCTTGAGTCGGTGCTGTTAACCACTCGGCCATGACACTCCATACTGATACTTGGATACAGAGCGGCTTCTAGAACACAGAATAGTCCGAGTAACCATGACTCTTCAAATTGCTTTTTATTAAACATTTGGTCAGGCCCCCTTTGCGACTGGCCTGGGCCTTCCTCAACTTTTATTACAGAAAAAAATTTACTGCAGAGATTTTTTAATGCTAAACAGACTTTTTCTAGTTCAGGGAAGCCTGCCTGAACTGATCACACGTCCTTTATTTCCAGGTTTTTGTCCACAACCCCCACACCCGTATGGCCAACGCCAGCGGCCGAGCCATCGAAGCCAGTGTCGACTCGGACGTCAGCTTGCTCAGCATCAACCAGCAGGTCAGCGCGGTGTGCGCGGGGTCACTAGACTCCCTCGGGGTCAATGATGTCCTGATGGTGGGGACCCAGACCAACCTGCTGGCTTATGATGTGCAGAACAACACTGACGTCTTCTACAAAGATGTGAGTTTATAAATTTGTCGCGTCAGTGCAACAAGGTCGTAACTCCATTCTGCAACAAAGTCGTATCTCGCGCGAATACACTCCGTGCAACAAGTTCATATCTCGACATCCATTGACTTTGTGTGTACGTCCGGGCTATTTTAAGTGAGATACGACCATTTGACATTCTGAACTCGCGTTTCACGTTGGAGATACGACCTTGTTGCACGGACGCAACGACTTGTGAGCGTAGGAGTCATCGCATCATCACAGATCGTCACAAGTCAATCACAAGTCTGTCATCGGTCAAACGCAAGTCATTCAGTCTCAAGTCAATGGGAGACTTTTGAGACGTTGGTGGCAGCAAACACACTGGTCATTTTTCCATAGTTTGCGTCATATTGAGCATGAACCCTTCAGCTTAAACATGACGTAAACAATTGAATAGGACCGGTGTGTTTGCTGCCACCAACATCTCAAAAGTTTCCCATTGACAGTCTATTAAATGAACTGAGTCAGAGGCAGTACGAGTCTTGGCAGAGGTCGCCCTAAGCAGCGCTGGGTAGTCAATGTGACAAAGTGGAGTGGCAGAAGTGTGGAAGAGCTGAGAACAGCAGCTATTGAAAGAGAGCAGGTGATGGCAGCGACCCAAGGGATACGCCCCCATTACAATCTGAGGAAGAGTTGGCCACGGACGCAAGTCTATGCCAAATGATGATGATGAGAGGCAGTTCTTGGTGTTCGTACCTGTTACTTTTGACGTTACTTCTGATGGTTTTTGACTTTCTTTTGATTTGACTTGTCATTGACTTTTGAGTTTAAAATGGCAAAGTAATTATTCCATAAACATGGGCCAATTTGTTCTTTCAATGTCTCATTCAGAAGTGAATAACTTGACTATTGCTAGAAAAACTGCAATTTTGAAGAAGAATCTCACAATACATCTTAAATACATCTTTTCATTAAATCAAAACTAATGCAAATGTACTTCTGTGTCTAATTTAAAGTTGACCCTCTTTTTTTCCCCATCTAGGCACCAGATGGCGTGAATGCCATTGCCGTTGGACAGTTAGGTGACATTGAGACGCCATTGGCAATTATCGGTGGCAACTGCTCACTACAAGGCTATGACAGTGAGGGAAATGATCTGTTTTGGACGGTAAGTGACCAACTCTTTCCTTGGAAATTCTGTAAGAGGTGAAAAGCCTGCCTCGTGTTCAAACTGCCTTTAAATCCGTGGTAGCCAACTGCAACTGTGGCATTGTTCAATGGGACTAGCTCCCATTGTTTCAGAATTGTTTGTTTATGTTCTGGTGTTGATGGCCCAAAGCAGCAAGGTCCCACAGACTTTTACACCTGAAGCACTGTGTTGTTTCTGGCAGGGTTAGGCCGATAAACCATTTGTCCGTCTAGTAGCGGATCTAGAGGGGGGGGGGGGGGAAGTGGGGTTCGGCACGCCTTAAGCCCGGTTCATACTTCATGCGAATGCGAATGCGAAGCGAATTTGATGTCATGAAACATTCGCTGCGAAATTCGCCCGAGTTGAAATGTGTTCAACTTTTACAAATTCGCAGCGCGAATACTCCCCATGACGTCACAAATTCGCATTCGCTTTCGTGCCGAGTATGAACCGGGTTTTAGACTCAACCCCCCCCCCCCCTATATATCAACCCTCCCGTTTCCTGAAAGCAAGATCCACCCTTGCCGTCTTCCCTTATGTGTAGAGCTTGATGTAAGCAATCTGCTTACATTCATGAATCCTGCATTGTGTATTAGGTTATCTGTATAGCAGTATCCATTTAAATTTGATGACGGACATCACATCCATCAGACGTACGGTTTTTGTGTGTAACTTAAAAAATACAATGTAGTGGTGGGTTGACCAGTACGTGCCGGATGACGTGTATACACGCAAAGGTTTTTCGGTATTCGGAATGGATGATGGGTAAACACGCAGGGAGCAAGGCCGGAAATATCAGTCAGCGACCCGCTCGCAGCGAGCGAGGCAGGAAATATGAGGGGGCTGCCTGAGGGTGATGGCTTTAACCCGCCTGGCTTGAGATCGAGATAAAAGTAATCCTGCGCCTCGTTCTGTTTTTGTCAAAATAATCACGGCGCAGACTGGTTAAAAAGATAAACGTTAATGGTGGAAACCCATTTGTAATTGCATTATATTGAAATGTACTTAATAACGCTAAAGTCTACCTCGCTATTAATCTTTTGGTCTGTTACATTGGTATTCTCAGGTGACTGGAGACAATGTCTGCTCCCTGGTTCTCTGCGACGTCACCAATGACGGGGACAAGGAACTCATTGTCGGCTCGGAGGATTTCGACATCCGTGTCTTCAGAAAGGACGAGATCATCTCTGAAATGACGGAAACGGAGGTGGGTTGATACTAAAACGTGTCACTTGACGCATCTTTGGAAATGGCCTTCATGTATTGCTTTCTTCAAAACAACAGCATGCCAGAAAGAATAATTTCACTGGGACTTTAGTGTCATTACTATCGTTAACCCAAGTATGCTTTCCAACAATAATTTTGTCAGTTACTTTTTGGATAGCTGCAAATGATCTACTCGAACTTTAATACACAAGTGTAAGTTACCTGACAAGTCATCCACTAGTCAACCAATGGTCCCTGATCGTACTTGTACCTTACTGCAGTGGTTTGTATTTTGTTTTTTGTTTATCCAGGCAATCACAGCTCTGTGTTCAATGGCCAACAACCGCTTTGGCTATGCCCTGGCCAACGGAACTGTGGGCGTGTACGAAAACAACTCTCGCTACTGGAGAATTAAGGTTGGTTGTTGTTTTTTCTCGGGTGCTTTAAGTTATGAGGTATTGTATTTTCCTACTTGAGAATTTTAGATTTTGGATAACGCCTCTCCTGGTAAGAAATCCTGAAATACCTAATAGTTTTTTGTATCTACAGTGTTAATTGTTTTTAGTCAAAATTTCACATTTCTTTTTTTCTTTTGTATTTGAGAATAATCCTGCTGAGTTTGAAATATAAGGCCCTATAACATTTATGATTTGAACTTTTCATTTAACACAATCTTCAGAAAGGATGTTTTAGGCAAAAAAGAGTCCCACAATTTTTATTTTAGGCCAAAAAAAAAATTAGTCGGTCTCTGGTCAGACCGAAGTTCCGGAATTGATGCGGCGACGGGTTTTTTTTTTTTTTGGGTGGCTTTTTTTTTTCAAGCTTGTATTGTACAGACAAGGTGGGTACTTTTTGGGTCCTCATTATACATTGGTGTCCTCCATAATTTGCCTTGGTGCCCTTTATCATTTGCCTTGGTGCAATTCCCCCATTCCTTGGTGCTCCTTGGTACAAAAATTTGAGACGGCGCGGCAATAGAGGGCGCTGTTGTAGCTTCCGTGTTAATTTGAACAAAAAAAAGGTTGACGCGCATGATTAAAATCGACGCGCGCGCTGACCAGAGACCGAGTTTTTTTTTTTTTGGCTTGTAGCAAGGCAAAGAACATGAACACTTGTGATCCATTCTGTTAATGTATTCTGGTATGTCTAAAATGGGTTTACAGTGGCCTCTGTATAGAAGTTTTTAGTTTACAATAGAGTTATATTGACAACTTTTCTCCATTTAGTCCAAGAACCAGGCTGTTAGTATCCATAGTTTCGACCTGAATGGAGACGGGGTACCAGAGCTGATAACTGGATGGAGCAATGGCAAGGTAATGTTTTTTTAATATGTGCATTTTTTTAACTTGTATTTGAAGGTGGCCTCTGTACCCATCCAGACAAATAAAACAGATACAAAATAACAATTACTTGAAGTAATTGTTCATCATATCCTTTGAATAGTCGTGATTTGTGGCTCGGTATACCTTCAAACAGTTCATGGTGTGTTTTGTATCCTAAACCATCATAATGTTTTGGCTAAAAAGATTTTGTCCTATCTAATAATCTCCAGGAAAACTTACAAAAGGTGCATTTATCAGTTTTTATGGAATGTAAAAGAAACATTATTTGAGGAGGAATAAAATCTTCAACCTCTTGACCACGTGACCTATGCTTTACCTAAGTAGCCCAGTAGGGAGTATTTTTGTTTAGGAGACATGAGTTTTAAAAAAATTTTGCTTAGCGAATTTATGTGCTAAGCATGATGCAACTGGGAACCAGTCACACACCATAAACATTGCATGGCAGTTTGGCCGGTGACCTGTTTTTGCTCAGCAAATTATTTCTGTGCTGAGCCAAACCGGTGCCCGAATATGGGTTTAGATTTATAACGCTACAAGCACAATTTGGATAAATCAGGATTTTGACTACAAAATTGCAAAGTTTTGGATCTTATTTGCATATCTGTGTCAGGTGGACGCCCGTAGTGACCGGACCGGTGAGGTCATCTTCAAGGACAATCTGTCCTCGTCTGTGGCCGGAATCGTGGAAGGAGACTACAGAATGGATGGTCACAGTGAACTCATCTGCTGCTCGGTGGAGGGAGAGGGTGAGATATGAATATTCATAAGATCAATGGGTCCAATTTCGTAGCACTGCTAACACAGCCTCCCTTCATTTCAGAGACTGTAAGCAGTAAGCACAGTAAAGAGCATGCCAACTTTTGAGGAAGATTGGTAATAGTTTCCCAATTATAGAAAATTTCAAGGCATTATCTCTGTGCCAAGAAATATCCTTAATGATAAGTTTTCTGCTTGTTAAAGGTACTACAACTGTTTGTCCACCATTAAAAGGCACATTCTTTATACTTTCAAGGGGCATCAAGCCATTTGTTAAGTAAAAGTGGCTAAAGTCTACCTTCCCTAGTCATACAAACTCCTCTAAAAATCACCCGATAGATTTCAGAATTTTGCTGCACTTGTTGCTCGCGGCCTTCGTGAAAGACTAATTCTTTTGTGAGTGGAAAAATTGTACTTGTCGTCTAGTTTTCACACGTCATCACAAGTCTTTACAAGTCAATTACATATAGTTCAGCGTCAAGTCCAGGCACAAGCTTTTAAATGAACTTTGACAACGGCATTCCTTCTACATTGTCCTGTCCATCCCTGTTACTTGCAACCTGACTTGTGATTTGACTTGTGACTGATTCATTTACAACTCTGAGCAGTGCAGTGAAACTGGCCTAATGACTTACGAAAACGGTGAACATTTTTGGTCCTATAGTGCGTGGTTATCTCCCAGCATCGCAGGAACAGAAGGGTAACCTGATGGACACCAACGTGGAGCAGGAAACCATCCGAGAACTGAGTCAGAGGAAACAGAATCTCCTACTGGAACTCAAGAACTACGAGGAAAATGCCAAGGTCTGACCAAGGAGAAAATTGAATTATATTTTGTTGATTTTATCAGTTTTTCAATCCTCAATTCTGATGCTTGTATTAAAAAAACAAGATTTACTGTCTTGGGCAGGAAAGGTGCATGCCATTATAAATCATAAAAACGGGCACGGACCACATACCCTTTTTCATTTCTGTACAACAATTTTTTTTTAAAATTGGCGCAACTTATTCTACTATCAGATTGTGATACTAAATGAGATGGCACTAATATGTCAGTGACCTTGTTAACCCAATGACTTGACTCAACTTGAGTCACTACTTAAGAATTACTCAACTCGACTCGAGTCACACAAAAAACAGTAACTCATTACAACTCTTGATTGGGGAGGATTAGAGTTGATCCTAGGCTTTTACCGATTGTTGTTCATATGTTTGTTTGTTTGTTTGTTGACAGGCAGGGCAGGCGGAGCGACCGTCTGGCATGGGGGAGTTAGACAAGGCCCAGATGGGTATCATACCTGCCAATACACAGCTACAGACATCGCTCACGGTCAATCCTGGGGATGCTAACAAACCTGTGAGTACAAAAGGCAGCTGAAAGTTCCCATCCTTTTGATTGCATGAACAATTACAGAGTGCAGATCAGATTGCCACTCTCTCCCATAGACTTGTGTGCAGTTTCTGCTGTGTTTATGCCAAAGTAAAATGTTGGTTTGCACATGCACAGTTAGAATATTAAACTGGCTTAGTAAAACAAATGCACACATAAAAGCATGGCAGAGTACTGGATTTTGTTTTCCCAGTATACGTTCCCAGTGTCTGCTACCCAGATTCCACGTATTGCAAGATGGACGTTTTTTTTACCCAGGAGATGATAATATTAATATTGATATTTCCCCTTCAATGATGTAATTCCCTCTCTTTTCGTTTTTCAGCCCCACGTGGAGTTATCAGTCTCCACCACCAATGACACCATTGTCAGGTCTGTGCTCATCTTTGCAGAGGGAATCTTTGAAGGAGAGAGTCATGTCGTGTAAGTTGAACCGACCAATCGAGACTTAGGTCCAAGTGTTTTCAGATATTTATTGCTTGTGTCAATATTAACAAGGCTTTGTCTGTGCGAGGACTTTAGCATTGATATTTAAAGCTTTAGGTACTCCAGGGCCTCTCAAGTAAATTAATACGATAAAAACAAACAAGCAAATACATCTTTCTTTCTTGGTTGGTCTGGTCTGCAGTGGTACTTTTCCCTTGTTTTAAAAAAATATTTCCATGTTTATTTTCTGATTGTAACTTTACTAAAAGAAAAGTAAGTGAAGTCTTTCAAGAGTCAGTGTTGCCCATCAGGCCGGTGTTTATCTCCGGTTTCAGTAGCATGAAACGACTGAGAATAGTTCAACTCCCCCTGGACGGGATGCTAGTCCATCGCTGGTTACTCCCCAGCTAATGCCGGTACCCATTTATACTCCTGAGTGGAGAGAGGCAAGTGGGGGTGAAGTGGCTTGCCCAAGGACACAATATATGACCAATGCTGGATTCGAACCCCTGAACCCTAACCACTAGGCCACACTCCCCACGATTGTAACGTTAAAGCAACACTAACATAAAGTCCAGATCGTACAGCACCACTTTCCAGATGGTGTTGCAAATAATAACGTTTGTTGTTAAATGCGGCCCTCCTGCGTTAGCACAGCACTTACATATTGCTTACATGTAGGTGTACCATGTCCATGCACATCAATTTTGTACAAATATAATCAGACTCGGACTTGAACCATAATGACTCGTGACTCGTACTAGAATCAAATGACCCGAGTCACAGACTTGACCCAAGCGACTCGTGACTTGGAATTGGACTCGACTCAAGTGACTCCACTACAACACTGTTAACTGGCCTCTGGGAAATTTCAATTAGCGGTCACTTTCTACCTTTTTGTACATGCAGAACTACTAGGAAACTGACTAGACCAGATCAGTCTTATAATGTTGTTGCTTCTTTTTTCTTTGCCAGTCATCCGAGTGTTCAGAATCTCAGCAACTGCCTGAAAGTGCAGGTGGTGCCTCCCAAGGACGTTCCCGTTGACTTGCACATCAAGGCGTTTGTCGGCGGCAAATCAAGGTCTGTTTGTCCAGTTGTCATTTTCTATACAAAGAGTCTGTATATGTAATGCAATCAAGCTAAATGAGTTGTTTTGTCAGGAATTTTCATTTGGAGATTCAGGCCAAAATAGGTCCACTTCATTACATCACTTCATCACGTCTCTTGGTGTTCCAACTTGAACTAACCATGGTATCAGCATCGGTTTTCACAGCAGTAATGCTGAGATTGTGCTCTTTTCGAATCTATAAAAAATAAAATTGACCAGGGTCAACAAACGACTCCTTTAGCTTGATTGCATCACATATCTTCATAAAACTAACAAACAAAAACCAGAATTTGGTGTGTTGTGTATCAGTTTAGTGTAGAGGAAGTTCAACAGAGAAAGAGCATCAGACGGTTTCCTTGTTTTTTTTTATGGAAGTTGCATTACGAGGCTGCAAGCCACTCGACTAATTAAATGGCTTAAAAGATGGGTGCAAGTCGAAAGGGTCAATTCCCTGTACCATCCCCCCACCAAAAAGAGCACCGCCTAAGTGGCCCAGTAAAGGTACATGCTATATTCGTAAGTACATGAGACAGTTTACCCGTTCCTATTGGTCATGAGCCCATCCCATGGGTTGCTTTAAACCGCTGATAGAACACAGCTGCGTTATGCGCCACACAGCACTGTAAGTGCTGCACGCGCCAATTTCCATATAAAGAGATATATTCATAGCCAAAGGGTTGTTTCACAATACACAGTCATGAGATTTTTCAGAGTTTTGTCTGAAATCAGACTTTTTGAATCTGAGAGAAAGAGAATGAAATGCACCTTACAGACCTTTCATCCAATTTACAGACTTTTTTATTGAAAATCTCATCCCTGAAGTAAAATCCCAGAACAAAATTGTTGGAAATTTGAAAATTTTTGACTTGTTTTGACTTTTTGACTGAAAGTTATTTATAAATGGGAATAAATACGTGCTTAGCCGGTATTCAACAAAGTACGATCAAAACTGTCTTAGGGGCCTGGTTGCGAATAACGGCCCTCGCCTATGGCTCGGGTCATTACCCGCGTCCAGGCCCCTAGCCGGTTTTAAACTTGTTTTAAAAATGCCTAGCACTTATTTATTCCTTCAGAACTAATCCAAAATCATCCACAGAGCTTTCACGACAAATCCTGTTCATAACAGATCATGTTCAATGAAGAACCACTTGGTCAAGGACAGGGAGATCATCTCAGATGTGATATGTGTACCTCTACTACTCCAGTTGAGGAATTTATAAACATGTTGTGATGCAATTTTTGTTTTTGCAGTAATCAGTACCACGTGTTTGAGCTGACGAGGCAATTACCGCGATTCTCCATGTACCTGCCATGCCCTGACGACACACCGGAGCCCAAGAGCAGCGTGGCATTCACAGTCAACGAACGAGTCCAAAGGGTAAACTTATCTACTGGTGTTCTTTGGGGGAATGGGTTTTTACAGTCTTTACACAGTTTTTTTTATTCTCTACATTGATTTTTTTTATAGCATGCAATTGAAATGTTTTGATGTTGTGGCCTGTCAAGGCATCAGGGGACTTGCACGCACAGTGGATAACTGCTTTTGAAAGCCTCAGTGGGGGAACACACTGTGTGTGTGTCCATGTATGGGTTCACGATAGAGGACAGACACACAAAGGAGAGCAAAAGATCCTTTCAGTCCTCGAGCGTTGGGTCTTTTGTTAAAAACGGTCCTCGATCATACGGTTATGTGCTATGGGAGAGTGTTATATTACAGGGACAAAGGGAAACACAAAGCATTGTCCTCAAGAGTATAGAAATTCACGACTGTGTACACAGGTGCATGTTTATGGTGTAAATCGAGGACACACATGTGAAGCATCATCGAGTAATTGACGACAGGAGTCAAATCGAGGACGACCTCGGTTAGAAAACACGTACAAAACCAATGTGAGCTATTGCGATGATAAGGAACAATAGAAAATCCTTGATTTACACCATATACAAACCTGCTGATTTGGGCATTCGTGTGGTGCAAAGTACACACAGCTATTTATTTTCTGAGGTTGCACAAGCCTGAAGCGTCTTCACGTGAGCTTCAAGTGCCGATGGTAATATGTTTGACTGTCCGTTCCAGTGGTCTCCCCCAACTCAGAGGGAATACTTGTGTAATGGAGTCGAATTTGACCATAGAATAAAAATATTTTACAATTGTTTTGTTCCAGCGGCTGTACTCTGAAACATATTAGGGGTGTGCGTTTACGGGTAGTATCGGAACCAGTTACCCGATTGAAAACATGGGTACCCATTAAAGAAATCCAATGCCAAACATGCAAACATTCAAATCTCGGAAGTTGCTGTTGAGATTGTTTACAAAGGTCCGCACGATAAACTACCGCCTCGGTGCATCAATACAGCAAGGCACAAGTGTGTACAGTGAGCTTTATACCTTAGTTTTCACGAACATCATAAATGTGAAATATTTTTTGTTTTCCCATGTGGCCTGGTTTTAATTTTGAAAATTGCCCACAAATGACTTCAAAACCTTTCTTTTTCATTGTCTGAGGAGTAACTAAGTAATTTTTGAAGTTGGTTATGGATACCCGATCCCATAATCTAGAACTGGCTCCTGACATAACGGTTGGGTACTCGGGTAACCTGTTCCAATGCACAGCCCTAAAACATATTTCAAAGTAAAAGGCAAATCGTTCTTGTGAATATAGAGTGTATAACAATGTCAACAGTAGTAGGTTCATTCTGATGTTTCCCTAAGTGCTGCCTTAACATTCCCTTTACTCTAAATTTTGTTCAGTCTAAAGTGTGAACCTGCCTTTAGATGTACTGCTTATGGAAATGGACAAAGGAAAATGGGCATTTGCTTATAAACCAAAATGTATGGGTAATATGAGGTTTGAAAATGAAGGGAATCAGTGCAATTGAGGGATACAGTTGAAAGGATGTGTCCAAAATGGTTATTTTTTTGGCTGTGGATTTGATGTTTGCCATTGGGGCACTACAGTGAATAGCCACAGCCCCTAGCCTGATTGCAGATTAACCTTTGACCTTTCCAGGTGTTGATGTGGATCAACCAGAATTTCCTGCTGAATGAGGACATCACGTGTAAAGGTGACCTGAACATCGGCTTCATATCGCTACGTGGCTCGGGACCGGTGTTCATCAACATGCAGGCTAACGGCCAGGTGAAGACCTAAAAATCCCAAATAACAAAATCACTCATTTGTAGTTCCATCCATGTATGCTCTTACAAGTTGGAAAAATCTGTAGAATATCAGCATTGCAATTGAAATAGACAGATCCATTAAGGGTAGAGAAGATCATTTGCAGCTATCCAAAAAGTAACTGAGGAAATTATTGTTGAAAAACATACTTGGTTAAGAGATAGTCATGGGACTAAACTTCCTGTGAAATTATTCTTTCTGATATGCTGTCAGTTTGAAGAAAACAGTTCAAGAAGGCCAATTCCAAATTTTATTTAGTACTTGATTTGTAATTGGGTGCGCGCTAGTGTTGACATGATGTGCGCGCAGTTGCTATTATTCGTTAGTTCAGTGCGTGATGTGGCGTAGCTGCAATCGGCTGAATGAGGGCATGTCCCGGACGCTGATTTCGGGCGCAATTCAAAATACGACTCGGCAACTTATGAATTAAACGCGAGATCCTAGAATATTGTTTGCTCGGAATATACAGCATGCACAGAGTTAAAACTTTACCAGGTTAGTTGTTAAGCACCCGTCTTTAGATTTTCAAACGAAAAACATGCACAAATGACAAATGATTTACCCTACCTTTGAGCCCTGGCCTTTTCACACATCAGCAACATCACATGCGCCTCTCCATTGCCGCACTGCACGTTCCAGATGTATACAACTTTTTGCGCACGGCGCATGTCGGACATTAATTACAGTTGTGATTGGTCAAACCATCTTTGGGCAGGGCTTAAAGGCACAGTCCATCATTTGTAATTTGTGCATTTTGTTTGTTGAAGTAACAAAAGTGCTCAAGATCTAAAGAAGGGTGCTGAACTAACCTGATGAAGTTTTAGCTCAGCTTTAGCTGTATATTTCGAGAAAAACAACATTCTAGGATCTCGATTTCAAATCAAAAGTTGCTGATCATGTTTTGAATTGGGCCTGAATTCAGAGTCCGAGACACGTTCTCACTGAGCCGATTGCAGCTACGCGATGTCGCGCACTGATCCGACGAATTGTAGCAACCGCACGCGTGTGTTAGTCATGCCAATGCTTGCGCGCGCTTTGCGGAATAACAGAACGAACTACTAATTTGAATTTCCTACAGCTGCTTCTTAAGAAGCACCGTTGGAAAGGCCTGTTGTTGATTTCTTCAAAATGACAGCTTGCCAGAAAGAATAATTTCACAGGGAGTTTAGTTCCCTTACTATCTTTCAACCAAGTATGTTTTTCAACAATAATTAGGCCAGTTACTTTTTGGATAGCTGCAAATTATGGACTCTGGCTTTAAAGGTACAGTCCATCATTTGCAGCTTTCCAAAAAAATAACTGACAAAATTATTGTTGAAAAGCATACTTGGTTTAAAGATAGTAATGATACTAAACTCCTTTCTATTTTTGTTGCTTCAAACGAACAAATTACAAATGATGCACTCTTCCTTTAACCCTAGCTCCCTACTTAGTTTCACTAAGTAGAGGATCAGTCCGTCACAATCCATCACTCACTCTGCTTCACATAATGACCAAATCCGTTGAAATCCACCACTGGTGCTGGTGGATTTTGATGGACTTGGTACTCATGGCTTATCTGCCTAAATCCCCTAAAATGGGGGTATGGATTTTGATGGAGTAGGGAAGGTTATAGGTTGATATAATGGATCGGTCTAGTGGCTGTCTCTAAAAAGAAATTACAGTCAGCTATCTCTGAAAGGATAGTGGTTGGAAAATTGGTTCTGAGAAGAACAGTTTTCCTTTAAATCTGGAAAGTCTGCCAAGGAAAGGATCTCAATGAAGCAGCTAGATTCTTTGAGCATTTTTTTTTGGCAAATGAAAGGTCAGATTCCCTGACTTCTTTTTCCACAACACCAGGTGACAATCAAGACCGATGATCTGGACCTGGCAGGGGACCTGATTCAAGCCATCGCCAACTTCCTAGGAATTGAAGACCTGCAAGTCACCGCCGATTTCCCCATGCACATGGAGGAACTCAAGAACGTGCTACACAAAGTCAGTGAAACTTGCATTCCTTGTGGTGTATTTTTGGGAAGAAAGTGTAGGATTTGGGGGATTTTTGGACTATATATTTCTAAGCAAATGTGCATTATGTTGTTGTTGTTTTTTTGGCCATGCAAATATGTACAGAACAGACGGAAAATATTTAAGTGTTTGAAACCAAACCCTACTGAAAGTGAGAATCCTCGAAAAAGTAACATTACAAGACCATTTGAAGGACGCATGTTGTTCGGTGTTTTATATAGTTTACATATACTGGCCTGCGCTAGGCAGGATGATGCCCAATTGTCCTTCAGTATTTGGGGTGCATTCCACTCAAGCAAACGTGCCAACGTTCATGATCTTTTGCTGCATAGCCAACGGGAAATCATTGGCAGCCTTTTGCGTTGTTCGCATAAGTGGAATGTACTACTGTGCTCTTTGCCAAAAATCGTTAAAAAAAATAGACTGTACCAGAACCACTGAGCCACAAGTTGGAAGCCAGGAAGGTCCTTAATGCCAAACCATTGTAGAAATCTTTCACATACAAAAACAGTTCCACTAAGTCAAAGCAGTCAAATCATAGTGTTCTGGTATTCTTTTGGAGGGGAGGAATATTAGGAATCTTGCCTTTCATTCAACCCCCTCCACCTTCACGTTGTTTTTGCTGACAGGTGGATGAGTTTCACTCAGTGAGGCAGAAGTTGACAGCAGAGATGGCGGATCATTCTAATCTGATCCGAAGCCTGGTAGTCAGAGCGGAAGACGCTCGTCTCATGGGGGACATGTAAGTTAATGGTTCGGACATTGTTTTCTGAAGGTAGAAGATGAAACACATTGATAGTGAGTCGAGTTGGTCATGCGTTACGAGCTTATTACTACAGTGTTATGGTGAACTCGGCAGGAATGGCACGCCCTGCTTTGGCAAATAATTCCATCCAAAATTATGTTTTGCTTTCTAAATAAGAATCTACTGCAATAGGGTACATTTCAAATATGGCTGATACTATGGAAGTAATGACATGTGTCGTGTGAACTCTGAAAAAAGGCTGTTCATGTTCCCCTTAGGGACTTTTACTAGGAATGTATGGCTTTGTGAAAGATATGCCATTCGTCCTTTTTAAAAAATATATATGGTTTTTAAATTGCTATTTTGCCAGCCATTGATTCAGAAGTTGTTCGTTATAGTACAACTAATTTTCAAATTTCATACTTGTTGTAGCTCGACAATAATTCCGTTCTCACCGGGTAGACTGATACTCGCCCCTTCTCAAGAATTGATAATGTAGGGACCAGGAACCAGTCTACTGGTAGTGTGGATTTAATTGTGCATAAAAGCAACAATAGAATTAATATTAACCTTCCTAACCAAAAAAAATATTCTGTGCAAAGTTGTCCTTTCAGTCAAATCAGTCAAGTGTTTTTATGAGAGCTCCCTGCCTACATAAAGCAGGTTCGGACTGTTTATGTAACTTGATACAGCTATGTTTTGACTGTAGGTGATTGATAAGCCAGCTATGCCTACCACTTGCCTGCTTTTGTCTACTGACTGAATGTGACTAGTCACAGTGCTTCTTGAAATATGATCTGACTGTTGGTGACTAGCCAGTGTAAAATGCATGGCTGGGGAAAAGGATAGATTTTTTGACTGTCTGACTGTTCAGACAGGAGGGTTAAAAGGTCAAATTTGTCAGGAGAGAAAAAAAGCTCCTACAGTGCATCATGGCAATTAATAGCATGGACTACCGGTATATAACGTTGCAGGCGGAACATGCGACGGGGCTACATGGAGCTGTTTGACCTGAACCGTGACCTGATCAACGGTTACAAGATCCGCTGCACCAATCATCAGGAGTTACTGAACTGCCTCAAGCTGGTCAACCAGACCATCCAGAAAGCTGGCCAACTCAGAGGTCAGTCAAGTCACTGCTTATTTACCATTAAGCCCTGTTCATACTTCATGCGAATGACGTCATGAAACATTCGCTGCAAAAGTCCCCCGAGTTGAAATATGTTCCCCATGATGTCACAAATTCTCATTCGCTTTGGCTTTCGCGCCGAGTATGAACCGGCCTTTACACTTCCAGAATTTGTAGCATTGAGGAAGAAACTGCATTACTGTCAAATGCTGTGACTTTCTGCACGTGTCATTTTTTTCACCGTAATATTTAAGGCAGTTGTGTAAGGTGCGAGAAAGGTTCTCAAATTTGTTTCTTTTGGAAAAAATTTCCTCAAAATCCAAAATTAGACTGAGAGAAATTTTTAAGTTTGCTAAAAAAAAGTGTTGTAAAAAAAAAAAGGGAAAGAGAAACATTGTTTTAAAAAGGGTTTTGTAGTGGATATGTATTTGAGACATAGGGTAAAAGGGGAGTATTCAACCACATGGGGAAAACTGGCACTGCCTAGTGTAAATCAGAGAATGAGATCTAACCATAATCACACATGACATGATCATGTACTTGCTATGTTTGCAGCATAGCATCAACCCTAGTCAGACCCAAGGTTTTTGCTTGGTAACGATTGGTGGGATTCTGCCTCCGGTCGAATATAGCCCCACTTACTGGCAAACAGATGGGATGGGGGAGGATTTGACCAGATAAGGAAAACCAGCACTGCCTGTGTAACTGAGACAGTGAAATGTTAACTGTAACTACTTGTAATTGTAATTACTTGTAATTACTCGTTTGCATCATCAAGTTGCCTGCTTCAAAGAGAGCTGAGAGGTGTTTCTTTCTTCAATTTTGTAATAAAATTCGGAGGTTGAAGACCAAATTAAAAACTTAAAATTAGCATTTCCGTAATTTCTAGATGACGTCTAACCGTTTTCGTTTTTACCTTTTGTATTCATCAGTTGGGAAATTCAAGACCCAAGTGGTGTCGTCCTGCCGGGAAGCCATCAAGACAAACAACATCAGCGCTCTCTTTAAGATCATCAAGACTGGAGCATCTTGAAAATAGAAATCAGGTAGGCACAAGCTAGATTGGGCAAAAAGGGATAATGCCATATCACTTGAAAGGAGGTTCCATATTAACTGGATCGAAGGGTCTTTATTTAAAAACTCAATGCCTACAGTACAGCAGTTTTCTCCAACTTTTAATTTGACATCCCTTGACACATGAAGACACTATGCAAAACTATGCATACTAACTAGTGCATACTAAGTACTATGTAACCACATTTTCCCAAACAAGGTTATTTCGTGACCAAAGAAAGTTTTTTTGAGAGCATGGCATATTTTCTATGGTAAACGTGAAGTCCATTTTTTGTTTTAAATTTGCAGCTTGATTTGAAAGCTTGGCAGCAAATGTCAAAACGCGGTGGGAGTCGCATAAAGCTTTGCGATCCACCAAGCTAGAATGTTGCTACAGGTAGATTGAAAGGAGCCACAGTGGCTAAAACTCGGACACAGTGGAGGCCACGGTACCCGTAACATTCCAAGCATGAATAGAACAAAATTGTATAAATGTAACTATGTTTTCAAATAGAATGTGTACAAAAGTGTTTTAATTATTAAGAGATATACATTTTTATTCTTGAAAGGCAGGTATATAGGTCTCTCTCAAATGACGTCACTTCATACAGATTTGCCGCATGCATCGGCATTTTGGGCGTCAAATTTTCATGACGTGCATCTGCTGCGCCATATTTGGAAAAAATTTCGAGCACCATGCGCGCGTGTTAAGAAACATTTTGCACACTGTGCGCACACGCACCTGATGTAATTTTCCTACGAAGATGGCGTCCTATGAGAGAGATCTATTTAACTGCATGTATTATTGTCGCAAGCTGGAGTCATGGATTATTTTTGTTTTGTCAGACTCAAGTCTGTTTGAAAAAGCCCACAGGGCTTTTCAGAATGTGGAATACCTTGTCTTTAAGTTTGGTTTTAAATTGTATTTCGTATTGTGCCTGCAGTTTATATAATGAGATATATCAAGGCTCAGAGTGTGTGCATTACTTAGATTGTATTTGTTGTTCAATTAGGATGAGATGGATTCTGATTTTGATATTATGTAAACTTTTGTAGATAAGGGGGTGGTCCTACTAGGCCATGGGCCAAAATCTGTATCAGGTCTAGAATTTGAGGTTCGTCTTAACTTTCTGGTGTCAACTTGCAATAAGTTCAACTTTACTAATTTGATAGTGCTGAATCTGAATCTGGTTGTTCACAGTTGCCCAAATTGCACTTTAACCTTGTGAAAAAAATGTTGTCATTATTTTGCCCATTTTTGGTCAAAAATAGTATTTTTGCCATAACTTCTATGTTTTAAGTTCAAATGCTTTCCAGCTTGACACAACAGATAAATAGGAAATCGGCATGAACAATAGAAGTCGTTATTTAACGCGTGACACGGAGCTTAAATTTGTGAAAGTTTTTTTTGTAGAATCAATCAGACAACGCGCGAGGGCATATAGGGCGCACAGTCTTCGAAATACGCGCGCAGTACGCTCTGAGTAGCCAGTCAGCATCACCGCTTACGTATTCCCCACGGCCAGGCGTTGATGGAGGAACGCGTACGCGCCCATGGAGGCAAGGCTGGTGCGCAATAGCAGGGATGCATCGTGATCGCCCTCATGTAGTATAGTAACATTGGGGAAACAGTCCCCTTTATTTCTAATTTGTGCAAACGATGTGATGTGCACATTGTAAAATATCAATTAACATGTTCCAAACTGCTTATAACTGAGAAATGAAGTTGCCACTAAAAAGTTAAGATGAGATTGCACGTTACAGGCTTTGGCCCATGGCCTATAACCCTAACTCCCTAGCATAATTTACTAGGAACCATACCCATCCTGGCAAATTCCAACACCATTTGGGAAACTGCACACACATATTTCTGACTTTGATTCTGGAGGTGTGCCAACCCAATGTAAAAGACTGTCGGTTTAGGGGTACTGTACCCATCCTGACAGATTCCAACAAAACATGCTGCTGGGGTTTGGCGGGTTGAGTTCCGTTAGGGCTAATGGCTCAGTCCATTCTTATTATAAGTCTCTTCTTATGACAATGCAGTTTATTATTGACCTCCCGACCCACACGTTCAGATGTTATCACTGTAATTGTTTATACTGTATGTGTTTCCTGGTCTTTCATCAATCCAGGATATTCGTTCGATATATCTCCCCGTCCCTTTTGGGCTTATCTGGAGTGTGTGTGTATTTTCATATGTTGGTAAGAAAAATAAACAGGAAACCCATCCTGTATTGCACAAATTTAGAAAGAGAATTTGCAAACGAAATAAAAGGAAGCAAGTGAAAAGAATCTAAGTCTGTGTAGAGGTAATTATATTTTGTGCTGTTATGATTTTATTCAGATTTGAGTGAGTACTCCTTTCGGTTGTTGTAGTCTTGATAAATTTGCATTCCCCTCGCTCCTCAACAGATTCAATGTGTTTTTCTATTAATACATTTTCAACTTCTATGTTTTATTCCAACAAAAAAAAATCTGGTTTTTCCCGCTTTTCTTTTTTGGACGTCTTCACTTCTGTCACAAACAGATCCACGTTGCGAGCAGACTGGTTCCCGGTCGGTACATTATCGATACTGATTGTGGGGGGCTGGAACCAGCCTACCCCATGAGAATGGAATTATTGTCTGGCGGCCAATAATGCGAAATTTAAAGTAATGATTCAATAAATAAACACTGGCCGATTAGTTTTTTTGGGGGGGGGGGGTCGATCGATGTCTCATTTCTAAGTGAATACCTTTTTTTATTGCTAGAAAAACAGGAGTTTAGAAAGTAATATATTTTGGGGGTGAAATTTTAAAAATAGCACGGTAAAATTGCATTTTTAAAACCCAGGATCAGCAGATTGGTTGATTCATGGATCACCTCGGGAGGCTAGTTTTACTACACCACTCGAAGCAGTCAACATTTGTATATTATGGCATTGCTGTAATAGTTTTCCTTGCTTTCAACCAATGTTCATTGGTAGGATAGTTTTCTAGTCCAGTCCTTTTCAAGTCGACCAAGTATACTGATATATTACGTTACTTAGGAATTAAATCAGAGATACTAGACTGTGTGGTTTGATACTTAAGCTTTTGGTTGTAGTGGGAATCTGGGGAAAAAAACGGAAAAAGAAAGGTGTGCTGGAACTTTCCAAGCATTTAAAAAAAACTTGGTCTCGATTTTGAGACTTTCCTTTTGCAGGGATTTGAAAAAGAATGTAGTATCCAGACGCCACTTCAGCGGTTGTGTACAAAGCCTATATATGGAGAGTCAAGAACATTTTCTAAGTATTTCCTAACAAAATTGAAAATGTTTCTCAGTCCCAGGTTCATGTCTTTTCAACATTTTTGCAATTACTGACCTTTATTGAGATGACACATGAAGAAAAAAGTGGCACCAGGTTGCAACATTCTTCCGGTATTTGTGATTTTGTTGCATACCTGTGACATGCTTCTGCTTATTTAATTTACTCTGCAAACAAAGCCTTTTTTTCTTAGCCTTGATTTCTGCTGCTACAACCTTACATTTCAGTTTACTTGGGGATTTTGAACAGGGCTAGATTTGGATAATTAGTCCAGAAGTTTCCTCAGTACATGCATCACTTTTTGTGGCAGTGAACCACAGACATTGAACACAAGGACAAAACAAGGAAATCCTTGTGGGACATCCCCCGAACTGTCTGCCAATCAACTATAACTTCCTTCCTCCACTAAAAGCCACAGGGTTTTTGTGGCAGCGTGCCATTTGGCATGTGTCAATATTTCCACCAATACAACTTTTCTTGTGCGCCGACAGTCAAAAGTCGTCTTCGAAATTGTGCTGCCAAGCAAAAATTGTGACATACCTGCTATCATTTCTCCCTGATAAACCACAAAGTTTATCACATCGGGAAAATCATGTTTCAGTTATTATTCAATTGCTGTCTCTTAGCCAGCTTTCTGTTCCTGACGACAGCAAATGTTGGCATGATTAGACATATTCTGAAACGACAAACTGGTAAGTGTTTTTAATTCTGTCTCTTAGCTTTTATTCAGTGGAATTTTTTTCTCCAAAATTCTTGATTCCAAATACAGTTTTGCATGTTTGGAGAAACTTACAAACACAATCAAAAGACAAGAATTAGCATGAATGGTGGCAAGTTTTGCTCTTTTTTTGGCAAAATAAAATATGTACCTAATCAAAACTGAGGTGCCTGTACAAATGTGATGCGATCAAGCAACATGAGTCGTTTGTTGACCCTGGTTAAAAAAAAAAAATTATTACAGATTTGAAAAGAGCACAATCTCAGCATTACTGCTGTGAAAACCTCATGATGATAATATTTTTAGTTAAAAAATTATGGAAGTTGGAACACCAAGAGATGTAAATTAAACACCAAGAGATGTAAATGAAGTGGCCCTATTTTGGCCTGTATCTCCAAATAAAAATTCCCGACAAATGACTCATCATCACAAATATTTATTTAAGTAGTGCTGATTAAAACATGGGCCAGGCCATACTTCGTGCAAAAAAAAAGAGAAAGAAAAAAGAATTTAGTCCTGAAATGTTGGTAGCTATAATATCAATATTGGGTTTTTCCCTTCACCAACCTAAACATTATATTTAAAAAGTGACTGATGGCAGAACTCGCAGCTGTATATCAGATTCGAACCAGCCAACTGACACTGGCAAGCACAGTGGTCGAGTGGTAAGACTTCTACACTAGTAAGCAGGAGGTCATGGGTTCGAGTCCCACCCTAGTAAGCTGGTGAATATATTCTTGCAAGCCTGTGGACTTTACTGATATACTGAATTCACATTTCCTCAACACAAAACTTCCATCATAAATAATGGTAGCTATAATAATTTTTAAGACATTTTATCTTAGACAAATTTAACAAACCTCTGCAAATTCCAAGTGCCAGTATTATATGTTGGCCTTGCATGTGAAATACAAACAAGGAATATTTTAGAGAACACACTCTTTTTGATTTCTTACAGACCAATTTTTATCTGAACGTTGTGGATTTGTTCCCCCTTTGCAGACACCTGTGCAAGTGAATTGGTTGCTAGGCAACACGCCCAATCGTTCACTAGCCCCGGCTTTCCATCGGACTACCCCAACAATGCAGACTGCAGTTGGAGGATGAGAACGTCACCTGGCAACCAGATCGTTGTCAGCTTTGTCTCAATTGATGTGGAGTTTGAACGGAATTGCCAGTGAGTTTGTATTATTTTTAAAAATGTATTTGCAGTATTGTAGTACTCGTACTCGGTACTCGTACCCGAGTACTACTCCAGTACTTTTTTTTCGAGTACTCGTACTTGAATGTCAAAGTACTCATACTTGAAATGAAGGTACTCGTACTCGGGCAGCAAAGTACTCATACTCGACATGTCAAAATTGTACTCGATCATCAAAGTACTCGTACTCGAATAGCAGTACTCGGGGAAAAGAATGGTAAAGCTCGACTTACCACGGCCATATTTTTATTGATACTTTCAGTTTGAAATGGTTGATTGACTTGCGGAGAAATCAAAGCGTCCTGATTTTCCTCTGTGCACGTCCGTCCGGACAAACACATTTAACAACTAGCCATGAGTGGGTCTGTTTATCGGTCTGACTGGGCCTGGGCCAATTACGCACAATGAACCAGTTTGCCTTTTGGCTGTATTCGGAAATAAGGGTACTCGTACTCGTACTCAGAAGTACAAGTACTCGTACTCGGAGACCTGTTCTTGTACTCGGAAGTACAAGTACTCATACTCGTACTCATACTCGTACTCGGTAATAAACCTAAGTACTCGGCAGTACTCGGTACTCGGAAAAAGTACTGGACTACAACACTGTTTATTTGCCCTTGTATTTTACCAGGGTAGCCCAATCATTTGTCTTAGAACTGTTCTCTCTAGGGGCCCTGGGTGAGAACACAAAAATTAGAAAGTTAAACAATACATAAATGTGCTGGTTTAACAGACAGCAATGATTAGATAGAAACCAATACACAATGGTACAGTGCAAACAAAATCACAATATCGTAAACCAAAACAACTAAGAATACTCAGTTTTTAGCTTTTCCTAGTTCACAGTAATCCCCATGTTTTGGGTGCTGTTGCATATAGGTACGATTATCTCATCATCTACGATGGTCCTGATGACACAAACCCTCAAATCGGACGTTACTGCGGGCGCGCCTCACCGGCAGACTTCACTTCAACCAGTCCGCATGTCTTCGTCAAGTTCCGCAGCGATTCTTCGGACACGGGGGGAGGTTTTGAGATTCACTTTCGGGGAATTGGGAACTTTGGGGGTGATGGTGGTGAGGATTTACAAGGTGTGGATGGTCAAGGTGGTGACTTGGGAGGTGTTGGTGGTGGTTTGGGTGGTGGTGGGAGTTTGGGTGGGGGTGCGGGTGGGGGTGCGGGTGGGGCTGATGGGGGTGGGGCTGACGGGGGTGGGGTTGGTGGGGATGGGGGTGGTGTTGATGGTGATTTAGGTCATGGTGGTGATGATGGTCGAGGTGGTGAACCAGACTGGATTCAGAATGGGGGGATTAGTGGTGATGGTGATGCAGTGGTGATCAGTGGTGACAACTCCGGAGGCGAAGTCGCGGTGCGAGCGGACAGCAACAATGGCAACACAGATCCTGCAGTGAATGCAGACGATGATCAGCAGACTGTTGAAGTTAATGGTGAGTTGGTCAAACAGCTACTTTAAAGATGTACACCCGTTATTCTCTTGAAAAAAAATTGATTTTCTTTCTCCATAAAGAATGTTCAATTTGTATGTTTTGTTTTAACAAAAAAACTACTGTATTCCAATTTTGGGGATCCGCAACCCTCTAAAAAGGACTTTCATTTTGCGCACCCATGACGTGCCCTGCGAGAGCCAAATTATTTGTCTTATCTAACTTAACATTGGTGCATTTTATCGTTCAATGATCTCATTTAAGAGTGAATATCTTTTATATTTCTAGGAAAATAGCTATTGGAAAAAAAAAAATCTGTTTTTCGAGATGAAACTCGATATTAGAATGGGGAATGCATCTTTAATTACCAAAAATTGTGAGTATTCACTGACATATGATTATGAAGCTCAAGTGCAAAAAGATCAGTTCATCTATATCCAGGCAAATGGTCTTACCTTTTTTAATTTCTTAGTTTTGTTTCTTCATATCTTGATGATGCAGGCTGCAATCAAGTATGGCACAATGCTCGTCATGGCGACATCACTTCGCCGGGATACCCTAGCCCGTATCCTAGCAACGCTGACTGCACCATAGTGATCAACGCCCCGTCCAATCATCACATCGACCTTACATTTCACTCCTTTGATCTCGAGGAATTCTTCTGCGTCTTCGATTATGTTCTGATAAAGGACAGCACTGCACGTGGTATGTTTAGCATTACAGAAAAAATAGTACATCTTCCTGCAAAAGTGATTTGCTCAAGTGATTTGCTCAAGTTAAAATTTGGCAAGAACTCAAGGTTTCCTTTTGAGATAAGGCCCTAACTTCTGAAGGAAGTTTTGGAAAGAAGTTGATATCCTTTGAATATGACTGCAAAACATCAAATGAATTCAGCACTGAATGTGCATTTTAACAAATCCAAATCTCAAGCCGTTTGTGAATTGTGACACTTGGAATCAGTGGCGTACGCAGGACTTTTTCAAGGGGGGTGTTTCAAAATTGGATGTCATCATTTGTGACGCTAGAAATGAAGATGGTACATTGTGTTGTCGCCCGAAATAAAAATAGTATCAGTGGGCTAAACTTAACGCTAAAATAAAAGTCAGGAGTTTGTGTTGGCGCCAAACATAGTAAATTGAAAAAAAAAAACAACATGTTCTGTGTCTTATGATGAACATATGAGTACGGGGTCAATGTGGGCAGTCCCCTCCCTCAACAGCATTTAAACAAAAAAAAGAAGAAATTCAAGAAAAAAAGTGACACGGGCTGCGGAAGTGCTAGGATCTGTTCTTGTAATTGGCTAAAATTACTCAGCTTCGTCCCCTGGATCTCATGATTCTCATCCGTTGGAAATCTAATTCTTTGTGTAAACCGCCCCCACCCCTAAGGCCAAACTCCAGATACAGGATACAAATGCGCTCTGGTCACAGGGGCGGATTCAGACTGCCATTTGCCGGGGGGGGGCCTAGAATTGTAATGAAGCCCCTACGGCGTGGGGTCCGGGGCCCGCTTAAGGAGCCCGGGGAAAAAATTGGATTTTAGATGCTCTGTGGTGCAATCTGAGGCGATTCCTGGCCACTTCCACCGTTTAGAAAACATTTTAAACATCGAAAATTCCATTAAAATTTGTTATTTTTTTTTGTTCTTCATAAAGTTTGTTATGTACTCAAAGTTGAGAACCATGTTCCATCTCCGTATTTTTTTCACAATTTTCTATTTTGGAAAGGGATTTAGGCCACTTGTAGTCCGAGCCTCAGCCATTCGCTGAATGAGGTACAAATAAGGTGGGGGCACCGCTAGGGTGAAATTAGCATAGAGGGAATTTGGCCGGAGGACTAATGCGAGCGCGGAGCGCGAAGCACTTACGGCGTGGGGTCCGGGGCCCGCTTAACCCTAAAGGGGCCGGGTGATTTTGACCATCTCTCAGCCGGGGGGGGGGGGGGGCGGCCCCCCTAAAATCTCGGCCATCGAGTGACGAAAATTTTGAAACTCGGCACATGCATAGAGCAACTCTTCCTAAACATACCAAAGAAATGTCATGACTATAGGTCAAAGGGTTTTGGAATTATGGCTAATTAATTATTCATATGTACGAATGGCAATTCTGCTCTGTGTACACGACGTATATGCGAAAATTCAATTTTCACGGCGCGTAGCGCCGGAAAATTTTTCGCTACGCGGCAACACGTTGTCCGATTTTTATGTTTTTGGTATCAAAAGATGCGCAAAGCTCGAGGCTAAAAAGTCATAACAGCTCGGGTCGCGAAAAAATTTTTTCAGAGGCTATCACGGAAAATGTTGAGGGGGGGGGCGGATTCCGCCCCCCCCCGCCCCCTTTAGGGTTAAGGGCCCCGGGAAATTTTGGATCGTAGATGCTCTGTGGTGCAATCTGAGGCGTTTCCTGGCCACTTTTCCCCTGATTTTTTTAGCAGAAGTTTTTAAAATTGAGGGGATAGTTTGTTTCATTTGTTTCAAATACATATAGGCCTATGTATTCTTGCTCTTATAAAGTGTCTTCTGTATTCAAAGCTTAAAGTTGAGAACATGCACATAATTTGTAACTGTTCCGCGCTCGGTCACATAACTCTCTTTTCCCTCCATATTTTTACATGGCAAAGGGGGGTGTTTAACAGCCAAAACACCCCCCCTGCGTACGCGCCTGCTTGGAATTGACACACTTTGATTTTTTAATATTATTTTTTTGTAAAAAAACTGTCAATTTTTGATGTTGGTATCTTTTTGTTCCCACACATACAACGTTTGCTTCCACAATGCTGATTTTTATTTCTTATGAGCAATGAATCAATTATCTCTATCTGGCTTTGTTCCCTGGAATGTTACTGCAGTTTTATAGGAATTCTCTAGCAAAGGAGCTAAAGGAACATAGCCGCACACAAATTTAAAAGTGTTGGCTAACAAACAGTGTTAATAAGGTTTTGATTTGTTGTTGGTATTACATCATCTTTGGAGTGACATTTAGCATATGCCTGTACCCCACATACTCACATGTGTACTACTTTTTGTTCACTGCCCTGCAACTTAACATGAGACATAACAATCGATGCGACACTGTGAATTTCCATTTGTAGACGCTGATCCTCTAGTGAGGCTCTGTGGCGCGGACCTCCCGGATGACGTCCAGTCAACCACCGGTGTGTTAGTGATTAGTTTCGTCTCTGATGCTGCGGATGAGAGGGGCGGCTTCCGTGCATCATTTGTGAGTCAAGGTAAAATTAGAAGCAATGCTTATATAGCGCTCTTTATAAACCAAAGGTCTCAAAAAAAGTCTTCACAATTATTACCCCTGTTCATCAGGCCTCAAGACCATTTTTCTGCAGCAGTTCGAGATCAGCCCAATGTGGTCTCTTACATGTTCCTCACAGATACCAATTTATACTCCCATTCACAAATACCTTTTCGGTCCAAAAATCAGAACTTTTCCGTCCAAAAGTCAAAAATAAAATGTTGTCAACAATTTCGATCAGCAAAACATCCCTCGGCCATACAATGGTAAGGTCCTCTGGTAAACAACTCCTTATATGGAGATTGACGCACGTGTCAAGCGTGCTGCGTGATGTGGTGCACAGGACTAGAAATACTGACTCACAGGTAGTATTGGGCATGCCTATGTGAGGACTGTGAACGTTCAACCAATAAAATAGTGCTGGCACCGGATTTCATAGGAGTCACAATGTCATGTGACACTGGAAAGGTGTTTAAGACCAGCCAGCTATGTCTTTATCAACTGTTTAAAACTGGCCACGTGACAGGCTCTCAACCAACTGTCTTAGGTATTTATGAATAATTTTTAAAAGTTGAAAAAGAAATATTGACTAGAGCTGGGTTTGAACCTGCGACCTCTGGATTGCCATTATAGCTGGTGCTCTTATTAATTGAGCTATCCAGCCCTGTATTGGCAGTTCCCCATTTTGTCAATGTCTTTGTTCAAAAGGAACGCTAGTCAGAAGCCATAAACATGATGCATATATGCACTGTATGCCATGTAGCTTGGGATCACGTCCAAAGTCAAAATGCTAGTATTAACTCTAGTAATCCTGCAAACCTGGGATATAACAAACAAGGATCACTCAGATGCAGAAAGGATATGTATTTTAAAAACAAAGTTTCAAATAAACCAAGAAGAGGAAAATAATTAGGTTCATTATAAAAATTTTTTTAAATGAACAATTTTTGTAGCTTTAGAAGTCAGCACAGCCAGCTATGAACCAGAAGTGACCACTGCTCCAGCGGCGTTACTGGAGTTTGTCAACAAACCCGTGGACGTGACCAACTTACAGCTAGGGGACCCTGTCAAGCAACAGTGCAGCGTCAACCTAGAGGGCGCTACGGTCAAGTGGTTTAAGGAAAACAGAGAACTACCAGCAGGTATGCCAAGAAATAATAACCAACAAATTCAACTTCAATATTGCATAATACAAAATTGCAGACTGTTATTGTGCATTGACTTTTTTTTTTTTATGAACAAACAAATATGAGACCATTTTCTTCCCCAGTTTTTTATCCATTTTGCCCCACCTGGACTCAAAAGCAGGTAATGCCACTGTGGCCTTGTGTGATGGTAAGGCCAAAAAAAAAAAAATATTCGGTCTCTGGTCAGACCAAAGTTCCGGAATTGACGCGGCCACGTGGCTTTTTTTTTTTTTTTTGCTTTTTTTCTTTTTTTTCTTCAAGCTTGGATTGTACAGACAAGGTGGGGTACTATTTTGCTTTTTTGGTGTCTTCATGTACATTGGTGTCCTCCATAATTTGCCTTGGTGCTTTCGATCATTTGCCTTGGTGCAATTTCCCATTCCTTGGTGCTCTTTGGTAAAAAAAATTGAGGAGGTGCGGAAATAGAGGGCACTGTTGGAGCTACCGCGGAACATTTTGGAAAAAAAAAAGATCGACGCGCATGATTAAAATCGACGCGCGCGCTGACCAGAGACCGACTTATTTTTTTTTTTGGCCTAATACTAAATTCTTAATTGCAAGGTATATGTGTCAATATCTGTTAAAGGGAATGTACATCATTGGTTTTTGCTGTAATTTTCAGAAATGGAGTATTTGAGGGGTTAGTTTAAATCAAATATTGTTACACTGACATGTTTGAAGTTTTATGTTCGGAAATGCTGGAAAAACCAAGAAAAACAAAATTTTTCAAGTAGTCTGGCTCCCTGACTCCACTAAAAATGAAATGGATCAATTTACAGTTGCTAGAAAATTGTAAGGTAAGGGAACCAGTCTAGCTGGCCTGCACCCGTTCGTGAACATGTAACCAATACCAAACAAAATTTGGACTGAAAAAGGGTAAATTTGGAGCAGTAGTTGAAATATAGCTGGGTTTTTCCAACGGTGGTCGGCCGGTCACCGTTGGAAATTTATACAAAAATACCATTTTCTTGAAAATGACTTCACACCAGGTACGTGCCATAATTTTACAGGATGCTTTAGACTCGCGCATTTACCAACATCCTATTAAGCTATTTCTTAAAAACTTGGTAGTTTTATTTTTCGATGTTTGCAAATGTTGTATATTCCCTTTAATGATTACAATTTTTCTTTTATCTTTATAATTATTTACTTAATCTCTTGATTTGGAGTTAAAGCATAAATCTGGTTCAAAAAAAGACAATTCTATTTAATGATTTGTGTGTTTTGCTGATAGTCACGAATGCATTCAACCCATTATGAGTTTCGTGTAATTGTTTATTTAAAGTTGCCATAGTAATGAAGTTACAATAAATTATCCACTGTAAGTGAGTTTATAATGTACCCAAGGTAAAATAATTAATAACTGAATACCGTCCATCAAGGAATCTTTGCTCCAGCGCAAAACATCATTTAACTCTTATGTCTTATGGCCGACAGACGTTTCAATATGCAGCACCGAAAGAATGGAATAACCTCCATCCTTTTTGGAACATTTCAAATCACAGCTTAAGACACACTCATGTTTGTTAATTTCTCTATGTACATAGAGAAATTTTTGTATAATGCGCCATATAAGAACTGTTTAAAGGGAATATACAACATTTGCAAACATCAAAAACAAAACTACAACATTTTTACAAAATACCTTTTACTAGGATGTTGGTAAATGACAGTCTAAATCATCCTGTAAAATTATGGCACCTGGTGTGAAGTCATTTTTAAGAAAAGTGGTAATTTGTATAGATTATCAACTATTTTTCAACTACTGTTCCAAGTTTACCATTTTTTAGTCCAAGTTTTGTTTGATATTGGTTACATGTTCACGAACGGGTGCAGGCCAGCTACACTGGTTCCCTTACCTTACAATTTTCCGGCATCTATAAATTGATCCATTTCATCTTTAGTGGAGTCAGGAAGCCAGACTACTTGAAGGTTTTTTTGTTTTCTTGGTGATTCCAGTATTTTCGAACTCAAAACTTCAAATATGTCAGTGGTTACAATATTTTATTTCTTATATTAACCCCTCAAATAGTTCATTTCTGTAAATTACAGCAAAAGCCAATGATGTACATTCCCTTTAATATTATTGGTAAGATTAACCCATCAGCATTCAGCACCTGTAATACATTGTATTACATTGTATTTATTCCATTATGAATCCATAATATGGATTCATGATAACCATAGAATGCTCGGTTGGTTTGAGGCAGTGCATGGAATAACCAGCTTGAAACAGTACAGGGACTATAATAAAAGCTAGATCTGTAGAAATAATTTCATTCACAAACTTACTACTTTGTTTTGTTTTTGTTTTTTATTCAGGTGAATCCACTGAGGGAGTTTACATCGCAGAGGTTCCCGGGGGAAGCACCCTGATTATCCCAGTCTTTGAGGCAGAACATGAAGGCATCTACTCGTGCCAGGCGCAACTGCATGAGCAACCCGCCATAAAGGCTCCTATAGTGCTTCGAAGTGAGTCAGCTGGTAGTCTTAAGGTCTTTTCACAATTTTGTCTTTCCTGGCAGTGTGGAAAATAAACACGGGTCAACCCTGAGCAGAACCAGGTTAATTATGTCAAACATGGGTAGGCAAGGCATATCGTTCACGCTTACACCGGTGTGTGCACAGTTCGGCTATAGATTTTGTATTTTCTACCCGAGTACAGCCTCTTAACCCTGGGCCCATACAGGGTTGGATTTTACCCATGCATGTACATGTAAGCACTGGATCTGCGTATAGACAGTGGTGGATCCAGGGGGGTGTGAAGGGAGTGCCCCCCCCCCCCCCATGGCAGTGACCAATTTCTCAAATAAGGTCACTTTTCACTTGAGAGAGCCCTTCCATCCCCCCAGCACACCCTCCACTCCCCCGGCAGTAACCTCTCTGAATCCGCCCTTGATGGAAGCTGCGTTGGATTCTTGCTAGTGTGAAAAGGGTTCCCGAAATTTGTGTGTTGGACCTGGGTCCAACACACAAATTTTGGACAGCACTGGGTGTTGGCTCTGCATTTTTCTCACAATTCTTGCCGTCCATCACAACTTTGAAGGCTTGCCCACTAATGCCCACGGCACTATACGATCTTTTCCTACTACAATGGCTTTCCAGAGGCCAAATGTAGGCTGGGTCATGTGGGTCAATGAGAGCCCTCTACGTGCACAAGAAATTTGAATTGAAAAGAACAGCTCATTTGCAGAAACTAAAAGTCTCTCATCCAAATTGTGTATGTCTTGTATCTCGAAATACTTCCACGTCGTTATTTGAAATAATTGTCTGTGATAATTCTCTATTGCTGTAGTTGGTGAAGAGTCGTCAAACGTGGAGTCCATATCCCCAGACTACATCAGCAGTGAAGCCGAGGGATTTGTTGACTTTCTGACCACGCCTGAGGACGCTACCGTCACGGACGGCGCGGATCACGTCCTGTCCTGCTCAGCCGCAGGAAGTCCTCACATCATCTGGGAGAAAGACGGTACGGGAGTCGTCTACAATGAGAGAATCTACCCCATCTTCGCGGACAACCTGTTGGTCGGCGACGCCAGGGTGACTGACAGTGGGACGTACTCCTGCGTGGTGTACAGCGAAGAGGATGTCAAGCTCGGCTCGGTCTCGGCCCAACTGACAGTCAGATCCAGTCTGGATGTGTCAGATGGTAAGTTAATTGTTGTCTGAGTGGCAGACATATTGGTCAAGTTTCCTTTTCAAGACGTGGCGAGGGATGGAATAAGTGAGCCAGTACCCAAGACACCAGTCTATTTTAGATACAGCTTTTTAGGAATTTTTACAATATGATTCCATGCTTGTTTTAATACAGTTACCTTGCAAAGATGGATTGGGTTCACTACAACATCTTAGAAACCCCTGGATCCACGACTGTATTTAGTATACAGATGAACAATCACTGTACCAAAAAATTTGATGCTAAGTTGCTTGCAATATTATTGTTATTTTTAATGTGGAACAATTGTTATCATTTGTTTTTCCTTTCTGACTTTCAAACAGTCTGTGGTCTTGTGACGGCCAGGGAGGCTGCAAACTCTACAAAGCCAAAGGACAAATTCCGTATCGTAAACGGCGAGGTTGCCCAGAAGGGATCATCCCCATGGATTGCCCGGCTTTGGCATCGACATCATACCGAACACTTCTGCGGCGGATCCCTGATCAACTATCGCTGGGTGGTCACTGCAGCACACTGCATCAAGGGGCCAGATCATTACTACCAGGCCGAGCAAATCGAGGTCCGTTTGGGCGATCACGATTCGATGAATATCGAAGACAGTGAGATGAAGTTCCGAGTCTCTCGGATTGTGCTTCATGAGGACTATCGAAGGGATTCCTTCGACAACGACATCGCCTTGCTGGAGTTAGATCCAAGGGTACCAGAGTTTACGGAGTACGTCTGCCCGATTTGCCTGCCCAAGTTGCGGCTCTCGGAGAGGTTACTGGTGCCTGGGGAGGATGCCCGTATCGTTGGCTGGGGTAGGATCATCTCTCGAGGAAGTTACCCGAGGTATCTACGGGAAGTCTACGTTCCCATTGTCCCTGAGGTGACATGTCGAGAGTCAGCAGGCAGTTACCTGACTGGTAACATGTTCTGCGCCGGGTTTCGGCAGGCTGCGCAAGGTGACGCATGCCAGGGGGACAGCGGGGGACCTCTGGCAATGAAGAAGGGCAACAAGTGGCACCTGCTGGGGGTTATTAGCTGGGGTGAGGGGTGCTCCCAGGCTGAGAAGTATGGATTCTACAGCAAAGTCGTCAATTATGTCACCTGGATGAGAGATGTTATGACTGAAGGCACGTAATCATTCCAGAAAGGAAAGTTTGCCTTTTCCAAAAAGAATTTTGCCTTATATTGCCAAGCTAGGTTTAGTCAGCGTTTCAGTATGCCACCGCCTCTAGTTGCCAAAAACATAACATGGCCATTAATGGAAAGCGCGCTTTATTTTCTTGAACAGTTTAAAAGACTGTTTTCCCAAAACCAATAGTCTGTCACAGGTTCTGTAAAAATGTCAGTCTGAGCTTTATGAAATGGCCCACAATGAAAGAGAATTGAATCAGTTACGTCTGTGCCCATGTTTTGGGAACTGCTTGGCAAATATACACAGTCAAACACTGTAAATACAAGCTCAATCATATTATCCTGTACCTTATAATATGTGAAGTGATGGTTCCCATTCCAGGCGGTCATTGTTATTAAACCGCAGCACAGATTAATGAGCAGGTTAGTGTTTTAATAGCGCGACATTATTGGCACCTCTCTCCTGGATTTAGAGAGAATAAGTTATGAGGTCTTGAGGTCTTTTCATACTATTGTCTTTCCTAGCCCGGGTTGGAAATAAACACGGGTCAACCCTGAACAGGAGCAGGGAGGTTATGTTGAACATGGGTAGGCAAGGCATACCGTTTACGCTTACACCGGTGTGTTCACAGGTTGGCTGTAGATTTTTTATATATCAGCCGTGCAAAGCACGCTGATATACTGTGATCGTCCAATTTCTTTCTTTCTTTCTTTCTTTCTTCGGGCAAACGGTCACGTGACCAATGGAAAAAATGGCCATAACTCCTCAACTATTCAGCCGATTTCAAATAAACTTGGTCAAATCAAACATTGACACATGCCCTACCTATAGCCATGTTCATAAAATCCAGCCAATGGTCATCCACTGGTCAGTATATAGTGGTCATTTAATGAACTAAATGCTTCTTCTCCCACAGTCTTAACCCAATTGATGTAAAAGTTGGCCAGTTGCCTGTCTTTGGACCAAGCCTCACAAAAGTTGTTCACAGAATTTTGCCAGTGGTCACCTATTGGTCAGTAGGGGTCATTTTAAGAAAAAAATTAAAAAGCTGTTTACATTTTAAATCTTTGCAGCCCTGTTTAGTGTATTTTTTTTCTCTTATTCTCAAATTTTTATATTCCTGACTTATTTGGTTGTCGAGTTATTTCAAGTTTATCATTTTGTAAACGTACGTAAAAACAATATAAAAACATAGGAATTCTGAGGTTTTAAACCACCATGCATGATACTGTGGATGTTTTGTGGCATGCAAAAACGATATCACCCATGCGCACATCCTATGACAGGCAATTGCACGCACAGTGCCGCACTCTTCATAGACTTTCACGCAACCACTGTAGTGGTGTTTGGATACTGCATTCTTTCGCTTTGTTTAACGGCAGTGCCACCGTACCTGCGTAAAGCTGGCCGTGTATTCGGCCAGATACTCCGCCCCGTATTCAAAAGCACGGAGGCCAATCAACACCACTATTGCTGTGACTAATTTTTGATGTTTAATGCGGATTCATCTACAGGCATTATCTATTGTTTCATGTATTGTCTAGGCGGCTATTGTATGTCATGTTTCGGCGGACCTTAATGTCAAATGTTCATAGTAATGCTTCTCATACAGTCTTTTGCCGATTTCAGCCACATGTAGCAATGGTCACCTTGTGGTCAGTGCGAGTCAGTATTCAGACAAACCGTTAAAACGGCTATTTAGGCTGATATCGGTGCTTTGGGAAGCACATTAGCTCTAGTGGATTTTCTACCCAGGTAGAGCCTCTGAACCTTGGTCCCGACCAGGCTTGGATTTTACTCATGTATGTAGCTAGAGCACTGGACCTGCGTATAGACAGACGATCCAAGGGGTGCGAAGGGAGCGCCCGCCCCATGGCAGTGACCGAGAATTTTCTTTTCACAATTGAGAGAGCCCTTCCGTCCCCCGGCACACCCTCTGCTCCCCTGGCAGTAACCTCTCTGGATCCGCCCTTGATGGAAGCTGTGTTGGATTCTTGCTAGTGTGAAAATTAGTGTTCCTAAAATCTGTGTGTTGGACCCCGGATCCTACACACAAGGATGAACGTCTCTGCCAAACTCCTGGTTAGACGCTTGATAACGACCCGTACAGGTGGCAATTACCATGAATATTTTGTCAACAAAGACCCAGACAGCTTAACCGCTTCACTGCGCGTGCTAGCTTTCAAATTTGCAGGGCTCTGCGCTCGATCTGCTGTCGAGTTCTGTCAAGCCAGCTACCTATATTTTTGAATATTCATGATCCTACGTTTTTGGCCTTTATTATTGAAATCTGATTAGTGATAACTACATAACCATGTTAACGCTGAGCACAATATCTTTAGCTTTAAAATGAACTATGAAATGTCGCATATGTTATATCGGTTTGGGACCATATCTCTCTAAAACTTTTTAAAGAAAGCCTAATTAAAAATGAGATTTGGGTATAAAACGGTGTTCTCCTCGAAAAAGGTGTTACATTTGATGTTTATTTCCTGGGTAAATACTTCATCCATGATGACAAAACTGCACAAGTTTGTTTTATCCTGAAGTATTTATTTGTAACAATTTTGGAACAAGTCTATCTTACATATTAAGGAGTGGTTTTGCTTAAAGGTTAAGACTATTTCCGTTTTAGATGTCATGGGGGCGAAAACCGACAAAATGGCACAACATGCGAACGGGCGGGGTCTTGCCTAATTAATCAGCGAATCTGCTCACATTATCATAGACCCATGGCATTGGCCATGGGTCTACTACATAGACTATGCATTTCGTATAGGAGCTCAGAACAGTCGTTCATCCTTGTGTGTAGGATCCGTGGTTGGACCTCGGTCCGACACGGAGAGTTTGGACAGTGCCGGGTGTTGGCTCTGTGTTTTTCTCAGTTCTTGCCGTCCATCGCAACTTTGAAGGCTTGCCTACTAATGCCCACGGCACCATACGATCTTTACCTACTACAATGGCAACGCTGACTTTCCAGTGGCCCAATGTAGGCTGGGTCTCGTGGGTCAATAAGAGCCCTCTACATGCACAAGAAATTTGAATTGAAAAGAACAGCTCATTTGCAGAAACTAAAAGTCTCTCCAAACTGTGTATCTCTTGTGTATCTCGAAATACTTCCATGTTGTGATTTAAAATAACTGTCTGTGATAATTCTCTATTGCTGCAGTTGGTGAAGAGTTGTCAAGCATTGAGTCCATACCCTTAGACTACATCAGCAGTGAGGTTGAGGAATCTGTTGACTTTCTGACCACGCCTGAGGACGCTACCATCACGGACGGCGCGGATCACGTCCTGTCCTGCTCAGCCGCAGGAAGTCCTCACATCATCTGGGAGAAAGACGGTACGACAGTCATCTACAATGAGAGAATCTACCCCATCTTTGCAGACAACCTGGTGGTCGGCGGCGCCAGGGTGACTGACAGTGGGACGTACTCCTGCGTGGTGTACAGCGAAGAGGATGTCAAGCTTGACTCGGTCTCGGCCCAACTGACAGTCAGATCCAGTCTGGATGTGTCAGATGGTAAGTTAATTGTTGTCTGAGTGACAGACATTTGGTCAAGTTTCCTTTTCAGGACGTGGTGAGGGGTGGAATAAGTGAGCCAGGACCCAAGACACCAGTCTATGTTAGATACAGCTTTTTAGGAATTTGTACAATATGATTCCATGCTTGTTTTAATACAGTTACCTTGCAAAGATGGATTGGGTTCACTACAACATCTTAGAAACCCCTGGATCCATGACTGTATTTAGTATACAGATAGATAATCACTGTAGCAAAAGTTTGATGCTAAGTTGCTTGCAATATTATTGTGATATTTAATGTGGAACAATTGTTATTATTTGTTTTTCCTTTCTGACTTTCAAACAGTCTGTGGCCTTGTGACGGCCAGGGAGGCTGCAAACTCTACAAAGCCAAAGGACAAATTCCGCATCGTAAACGGCGAGGTTGCCCAGAAGGGATCATCCCCGTGGATTGCCCGGCTTTGGCATCGTCATCTTGCCAAACACTTCTGCGGCGGATCCCTGATCAACTATCGCTGGGTGGTCACTGCAGCACACTGCATCAAGGGGCCAGATCATTACTACCAGACTGAGCAAATCGAGGTCCGTTTGGGCGATCACGATTCGACAGTTATCGAAGACAGCGAGATGAAGTTCCGAGTCTCTCGGATTGTGCTTCATGAGGACTATCGAAGGGATTCCTTCGACAACGACTTCGCCTTCGACAACGACAACGACATCGCCTTGCTGGAGTTAGATCCAAGGGTACCAGAGTTTACGGAGTACATCTGCCCGATTTGCCTGCCCAAGTTGCGGCTCTCGGAGAGGTTACTGGTGCCTGGGGAGGATGCCCGTATCGCTGGCTGGGGTAGGATCATCTTTCGAGGAAGTTACCCGAGGTATCTACGGGAAGTCTACGTTCCCATTGTCCCTGAGGTGACATGTCGAGAGTCGGCAGGCAGTCTCCTGACTGGTAACATGTTCTGCGCCGGGTTTCGGCAGGCTGCGCAAGGTGACGCATGCCAGGGGGACAGCGGGGGACCTCTGGCAATGAAGAAGGGCAACAAGTGGCACCTGCTGGGGGTTATTAGCTGGGGTGACGGGTGCTCCCAGGCTGAGAAGTATGGATTCTACAGCAAAGTCGTCAATTATGTCACCTGGATGAGAGATGTTATGACTGAAGGCATGTAATCATTCCAGAAAGGAAAGTTTGCCTTTTTCAAAAATAATTTCGCCTTATATTGCCAAGCTAGGATTAGACATTGTTGTGTGCGTTCTAGTATGCCCCCGCCTCTAGTTGCCAAAAACATAACGTGGCCATGAATGGAAAGCGCTTTTTTTTCTTGAACAGTTGAAGAGACTGCTTTCCCCAAACCAATATTCATGTCACAGGTTCTGTAAAAATGTCAGTCTGAGCTTTATGAAATGGCCCAAAATGAAAGAGAATTGAATCAGTTACGTCTGTGCCCATGTTTTGGGAACTGCTTGGCAAATATACACAGTCAAACACTGTAAATACAAGCTCAATCATATTATCCTGTATTTTACAATATGTGAAGTGATGGTTTTTCCCATTCCAGATTTTCATTGTTATTAAACCGCAGCACAGATTTATGAGCAGGTTTGCGTTTTAATAGCGCGACAATTATTGGCACCTTACTCCTGGATTTAGTGAGAATGAGTAATTGAAGAGACACTTTCAAAATGTACTCATTGTAACGTTGTTGATAATGCTGCAACCAGGCCGATGTACACGCTCGTCGTACTCATGCTACCACTGCTCGTATTAAGCAGATTTCCTCTCATAGATATGTGTACGTTTTGGTCGGGACTGACGAAATGTGTACGTTGCAAATGTTATCTCGTTCAAACCACTTTGTGTAATAATTGTGCTTGACTGTAATGCTTTTGGCAATTTTGACAAATTTAGTAGAAAAGCAGATATCATTTTGGCTTCTTTTATCCTAAAATCACATTAACTGTATCAATATAATAAAACTAGTGCGTGTATGCTTATACTGCTTAGGTTTTTTATATACATGTACTGTAAAACATGCGCCAAAAATATGTATTTGTAATCTGCAGTTGCTTTACATGTCTTGCCTTCTGAAAGTGTTATTTCTTTGTACTAGAATACACGTCAACTTCTTGTGCATGTTTCTTGAAAATGTTTATAATGTTGAACACGTGGAATAAAATGCAATTATGGAAAGAAAACTTTAGGCATGTAGAAAGTATATTCCGTACCCGTTTGGACAAAATTAAAAAACCAAAAAGGGAGAAACTCAAATTTGTGTTCATATGTTCACTTTATGTAAATTTATTCAGTGTGCATGATTGACCAGTAATGCGAACAGGTTTGTAATTGTATTATTAAAATAAAATTATGAACAAAGACATATTGTAAGCAGAGTTAGCGTGAATCAATTGAATTTAAATATATCAAACAAACTTTTCGCTAGCTTCAGCAGTGTAATAATTACATTGAATGAACTCAAAGTCAAATTCCTAAAAACTACTGTTTCCAAAAAGTCTCTTTGGCATTTTCAAAAATAAAAATGCAGCAAATGCTTTTACATCTGTTTGTAAATTTTTTATATCATATTTTTGTTGTCATACTTGCTCTTTACCTAGGCAATGTTAATGCACTTTCCTCAGTGCTTTTCGAGATCTAGTGGGACGAATATCGGAGTAATTGCAGAATACCCCGCCACTAAAATCTCTGGCTATGCAGTTGGAATCACTGGAAAAGAACAACTGAAAAAATGCCAAGTTAAAACCAACTACCCTGTTGCCGGCTACGCGGATACTAAGTGGGAGTCCCCTTGACAATGATTGATAACGAAGCATTACAAAAGGAATGGGAGTTGCTGAAAAAATTCCGAGTCCAAACCAACTACCCTGTTGCTGGCTACGCGGATACGGAGTGGGAGTGCAGTGGGGCATGACGTGTGTATAGGCCAAGTACGTACAGGTACATGTAGCGCTGAGAAGGTTTATTGAGGGCAATCAACCGTGACTCCGTAGCCGGCTATGAGGTGCATAGATTGAGTGGCGGGGTATTCTGCAATTGTGCCCAAATATCCACAGCCGAACTCAGATGGGACTCGCCCCACATTCCTAGCTTACTAGTGCAAAAGTCAAATCCTTTTTAATTGTTTTCCTGAAGAAGTCTTTTTTTTTTTTTCACGTTTTTCCAACAAGGAAATTCCTGTTTTCCTACAAATGTTTTTTTTGTCGGGTTATTAAAGGCCATAGGATCATTTGCAGTTTACAAAAATATCCTACAGAATTATTGTTGAAAAACTTACTTGGGTTAAAGATTATACTGGTACTAAACACCCTGTGAAATTATTCATCTGGCTTGCTGTTGTTTAGAAGAAATCAAGAAACGTAGGCGATTTCCAATGATCAGTCAATGGACTGATTTTGGGAAATACATACAGAGTGCTATGGACGAAATCGCGTTGTGCATGATTTTTGCACTGTTTTCTCAAAAAGCGTAAAAGCCGCTTAGCTGAAACTTCATCAGGTTAGGTTTTCAACATTCTTCATTAAATTTTGAAGTGATGTTATTTTTGGAAATAACTAAAATATGAGTAAAGCGAATGATCATATATGCCTTGAAGATTCCTACAACCCCTGGTTGCCCGTCACTGTTTCCCGTCGGCTTTTTTCTTCAGTTTAATGATGACAATGCTATTCCTGGCATTTTTCAGCCGCCACCATCTTCCTAGTCGGTGCTCCTGCCCCACACCGGCCACAAGTAGACTACCGTCGCTGGTAAACTGCATCGCGTTGACAAAGCCGACCTGCACAAGTAGGGAAAACAATTATTCATAAGATTGAATCTGCGTCAGAGTGATGTAAATTCAACATTGGGTTTTGCCCTTAGCCGACATATTTTCATAAACAATGTATAACTCAGTGTTGTCCCGAGTGATTGTGAGAATTTTTTTTTGCAAAACTACTTGAGTGGGACTCGAACCCACGACCTCCTGCTTACTAGCGCAGAATAACATTGAAACAAAGTTCACACACAAAGGCAAATGAAGACCTTAAAATATAGATTTGTTTTAATAAAATTTTTGACATGTACTTTGATTATACTATCACTGTCCGTCTCTGAATCGCCATTTGCGAGGGTGTATCTAGCCCTTTTGGGTTTTTTAAACAAATGCAAATTCCCATATTCATGAGCCAAACAATAATGTTTTCATTTATACGTTTATGGCAACCAGTCCAAACTCTGCTCACAAATGTTACACTAAAGGTTCATTGTTTTTCACAGTCTAACTTATCAAGTGGGTGTGCGGCATCACAGAAATAGAACTGGCAGACGTCAAGAAATAAAAGGTCCATAAAATATAAACAAGTGTCTATTTTCGACAGCCAAGACTGGATTCCAAAACTCAACAACTCAAGCTTATAAGAGTAAGTTTCCCACCGGTACTTTTTCAGAACCACACAAACTTACTCCTACCGCTGTAGTCACCAGGCAAACATTCAAATTTTACCTGAATCAAGCTCAAGTGCGAAGTTTACACTGAGAGTGCGAGACAGACCTAGCAAAATGAGAGTTAAAAGTCTTGGGAAGGACCCCAATACCACTGTGTAATAGTACATATTGTTGAAGCCATCCCAATTCTGTCTTTCGTTGGATTTTCTTTAATACTCACAATGTCTATGCTAGCAAGGGGCTGTAAGGACCGGTAGCCGTCCGAACACTGCCAAAGGCGGATCTTGGAATCTTTAGAACCTGCTGGTCACAATAAAAACACAACCGTCTAAATTACAAATTGACACAACCGTTTTATAGAGTACCGAAGTGTAGGATCCCTTCTGTGTTACCTGAAGCTATACGTCAGTGTATGCATTTCATGTGGTATTCTGTTTGTCTCCAAGGCAAATATTTTCTATACTTAACAAAGTTCCGTGCTGAACAAACAGTTTGAATGGAGTGGGACATGAACCTTGGACCTTCAGAAAATTGACAATAAACAAATAGGATTCCTTCTTTGTTTCCAGTAAATCAGTGCGTGACATTTTATGTGGTAAACTGTTTTTCCTAAGCAACTATTTTCTGTGCTAAGCCATTTTTTTGTGCTTAACAATGGAATTGACTGGAGTGGGAACTGAACCTGGGACCTCCAAAATACAAAAATTATAAATAGGATCCACTCTGCGTTACCTGGAACCAGTAGATCAGTGCAAGATATAATGTATGGTAACCTGTTTTTCCCTAAGCAAATATTTTGTGTGCTCAAGCAATTTCGGTGCTGCACAAAGTAATTGAGGGGAGTTGGAACTGAACCTGGGACCTGTAGAAAAATTGACATAAAAAAAGATCCAATTTTGTTACCTAAAGCCAGTAGATCAGTGCATGACATTTTATGTGGCAACCCTGTTTTTTTAGGCAAACATTTTTAATCAAGATTTTTAAACAATTTTCTGTGCTTAAATAATTGGACCAGAGTGGGATCTGAACCGAAGACCTCCAAAAAATAGCCAACCAAAAAAATGCTTTCTGTGTTACCTGAAGCCAGCAAATCACTACTCTGTAATGCAGCAACAGATGAAATCCAGTTCTCTTCCTTGGGATAGACAGTGTTTTGCGTCTGCGACTGACCGTTGGTGATGGTGTCAAAGCGTTTGGAGTGAGCATTCTTCACCACTGCAGCCGGCTTCTTCTTCAGAACGCTCCATAACGAAATGGACCTGTAATAGACAAAATATTAAAGCAGCGAAGAAATAAAACCCCTCAAAATGAGGCCTTTATTTCAAAAAACTTTTTGTACACGAAAGGAACATAGACACATGAAACCTGAACCTGCAAAATTTGAACAGCAAAACTTGATAAAAAAAAACCCACATTCTTACCCGTCATCACTTCCGCTGATAAAATGTTCCTCGTTGATGAGCTTTATGCAGTCTACAGAACCCCTGGAAATATAGGACGAGAATTTTGAAAAAACTTCAGCTCATCCCAAATGCGAACTGTTAAGTGTAGCTTAACTTTCTGAGGAATAGACTCTCCAACATGAGTTCAAAGGTCACATAATTCTGGGAGGAACCAAGATACAGAGATCTTAAACCAGGGGTGAGATTAGGAGAGAGGGGGGAAGGAAAAACCCGCAAGATAATCGGCAGAGGATTTGAGGGTTGCCGAGGGCCCAGAGCAACGTAGGGTCTATGATATATGTTTGGGTTTTACTAAAGGCACCCCTTACGATACCCATATCTTTTGTTTCATATGAGCTTGTAAAGGTAAAAACACTTTTTTAATACAGTAAAACCTCAGAAATTCAAGATTTCAAAATTGTTCTTTAAAAATCCTGAAATCAGGAAAAAATCCTGACATAAAATCCAGAAATCAGGAAAAAATCCTGAAAAAATGTTTCAGAAATCAGCAAAAATTCGGACAAATAATCCAGAAATCGAGAAAAATCCTGACCTAAAAATCCAGAAATCAGGAAAAAACCTGACAAAAGATCCAGAAATAATCCCGACAAAAAATCCAGAAATCGGAAAAAATCCTGACAAATCTCACCCCTGTTAAACTAATCTGTTTTCATGTGAAACTGTTGACTCCCAAAACATATTAGGTGGACAATTATGATCTTAAAATAAAAAAAAAAAACAGTTGAAGTCGCCCTGTTTTTTTTGCAGCATACATCATATTTTAACCAATCACATCGCGCACCCTAACATGAATATTTATCACGCTGTGTGAATGGAAGACACCTAGGCTCTGGTAGTGTCTTCCCTTCAATTAAACATGGGAAAGTTAAGCTGCAGATAAAAACACCGAGCCCTGTCCTACAGAGGAGAAAAAAACGTGGCCATCAGGGGACATTTTTACTATGGAGCTGCTTAACGTATAAACCTGCTAAGCAAAGAAAATATTTACTTAGCAAAAAAGAAAACGGTTACCAGCCACAATGCCATGCAATGTCTATCGCTTGCGACTGGTTCCCGGCCGATATCTGCTTAGTCCATTAATTGCTAAGCAGTATTTTTCCTGCTTAGTAGCTGTGAGAAATCAGTACTGACCCTGGGCTGTTATAGATGAGCTGTGATTCTTCAATGATCTTCCAGACACGTAGCGTGTTGTCTCTCCCTCCTGCTGTGACTGCTCGCTCTCTGGTCAGACTGTCAATGGCCATGATACTGTCCTGATGTCCAAATCTGTCAACGGTATACAACGTAAGATTTCAGCTTTAAGGGGCCAAATGTTTTTCAATTTCGTTTCCAATTGATTAATCAATTCCTTTTCGGTTTACAATTCCAGTGAGTCAAATGGTCGCAATGATGTCAAACGTCAAATAGTCTGCTAAGCATGTTGAGTGCTAAGAAATGATTAGTTGAGCACTAGTCACAAGCAATGCGTATCACATAACATTTTGGACTAGTGAGCTTTTTTTGCTTAGTAAATATTGTCCACCTTCAGAAAATTTCCCTGCTCAGCAAATACGCCAAAAAGTCCCTGATTTAAGGTGTTGAATTGAGGAGACATACAAGTATTTGTACAGTCTCAACAGGAGAATTTAACACTTTAGAGTGTTGATATTCTTAGGAAAGTGTTCAAAGAATTCAGGAGGTGGAGGGTGGCAAATAAGGTAAAGTGGCTTGCCCAAGGACACAGCATATGCCTAGCAACTGAATTTGAACATAAACCCTAACCACTAGACAACACTCTACTTGTTTTAGTTTGTGCAATGGTACATAGTTTTTACCCTGACGGGGAGGTATGGTACATGTACTTGTGTTCTTTGGCAAGACACTTTACTACAACTGCCTCTATTAACTGAGGAACATAGGTGTAAATGGTACATGTGAGGGCAGAGACCAGATGGTGCTAATCTCAATCTGCTGCAGATTATCTCGGAAGTCATATTTATAATTGTGACGTACTTTGGGAGTTTGATATAAAGCGCTATGCGAGCACCACTTTATTATTATAATGACATAAATCAAGACATGTTAAGTACTCACAATGTTTCCACGTAAGCCATTTCATCTAGATTCCACACTTTGACGGAGCGGTCGTGTGAGGCACTGTATAATGTGTGAGTCCCTTTTCGAAATGACAGACCCTGAGGGGAAAAGAAAAAGAAACGTTAAAACTGCATTTTCCACAAGAATTGTTGATGATTTTATGTTATGCAGCCGAGCTGGAATAAGTCAACCGAACCTTTGTTTTAAGGGAGATAAAATGCTTGATTGTGAGTCAATACTGATGACAATTCAGCAACATGCACTTTATTGTAACAAAGCAGATCACAATGAACACAGCTGTCATGTACTTTAAACTGTTCTCTTTAGCAATATGTATGATTGTACCTCATACAAATTTATGAACCAAAAGCCAAACCAATGCCTTCAACTCCTGCCATCAAATCTCCCAACCATGGAAAATCAACGTCCAAAAGGAGTTGTACTCAACTGATTCTGCATCTCTGTGGCCCCTGAACATGTGTAGAAGCTTGAATTGCCTCCCCTTCCCCCAAAAAAGTGAATGTCCAAAAAGATTTCTATTAATTGAAGGCCAATTTACACATGCGCGACATTGTCATTTTTATAAATACGTACAAATGAGTAAGTGATAAGACGCATGACTTACAGTTGCGTATCAGAACACGTTCATTGAATTGTACATACTTTGAAACACGCACAACATTGTCGTGCTACGAAGTCGCAAAGTGGCGTATGTGTAAATTGGCCTTCATACAGCATCTCTGTGGCCCCTGAACGGGTGTAAAAGCTTGCTATTACTTCCCCTCCTCCCCCCAGAAAGCCAATGTCCAAGAGGAGTATTACTCACTGACACAGCATCTCTATGGTCCCTGAACGTGTGTGAAAGCTCACTGTTCCTTCCTTCCCCCCCCCCTTTCCTCTGTCCCTCCCTCTCGGAAAGCCAATGTCCGAAAGGACTTCTACTCACTGATACAGCATCTCTGTGGCCCCTGAAGGTGTGTAAAAGCTCGCCGTTCCCCGGGTTCCATACATGGATGATTTTACTCCGGCAACCAGAGGCTAGGAAACTATTGTCGCTGGAGATTGCTAGAGCTAGGACGTGGGTCGTATGGCCTTTGTGTGTGTCTTCGGTCCCCTTTCTGCCCCCCGGTATGACAAACTCCTTGCGACATGACTCAAGATTCCCTAAAAAGAAAAAGGATTCACAGTAAACAAAGTAATCCTCCAAATTTCAACATTGTTCAGTAAAACACTGGTTTGGAAAATCAAGTGCTTGTACAGCTTCAAATCCATCCAAATCATGCAAAATATGTGTTTGATATTGAAGGTTTTGGCTGATAAAGGTTATCTAATTAATAGTAACGGCGATTTTGTAACAATGTTTCAATAATCCTTCACAATCCTCAAAAATATATAAAAAAAATTATAAATAAATAAATAAAATACAAATATAAAAAAGTTAATTTGAAATACTTTACTTTATTGAAAATCAACGGAATTTTCACAATCACGTCCATCTCACTTTTGATTACAGGACAGCTATTTTCTTCTGTTTGGAGCTTTGAGCTTATAATCTCAAATTCGGAAACACTTGTTAAAATATCTTAGGCAAAAAAAAAAACTATTCGGTCTCTGGTCAGACCAAAGTTCCGGAATTGACGCGGCCACTCGGCTTCTTTTTTTTTTTTTCTTTTCTTTTCTTCAAGCTTGGATTGTACAGACAAGGTGGGGTACTATTTTGCTTTTTTTGTGTCCTCATGTACATTGGTGTCCTCCATAATTTGCCTTGGTGCTTTCGGTCATTTGCCTTGGTGCAATTTCCCATTCCTTGGTGCTCTTTTGTACAAAAAATTGAGGTGCGGAAATAGAGGGCGCTGTTGGAGCTACCGCGGAACATTTTGGAAAAAAAAAGATCGACGCGCATGATTAAAATCGACGTTCGCGCTGACCAGAGACCGACTTATTTTTTTTTTGGCCTTAGAGAGGTAGGCCTATATTGCTGATGTGGTAATTTTGGAATTATAACTAAACTGTGGGTCAAACTGATTCTTAAAATTTGCTTAAGCCATTGTTGAAATGTATGCCTATATTTGTATCGGTTATATAATTTACTTTAAAAACAACCTAGGCTCCCAAGTTGAAATATAGGTTTCTTAGGTTGTAAAGGTTTTGCTGTGAGGCCTGCTTTGGGTTAACCCTAACCCCCAGGCCCTCTGGCTAGGATGCAACCTCAATCCTGCAAAATCCTCCAATTGCCACCAAGAATACAATTGGATTCAGCCTCAATCCTCCAAAATCATCCATTATTTCTTGAATTTAGTCTGTGGCAAGTGACCACTGCCTCAATCCTCCAAAATCCTCTGCCAATTACTGCTATGGTCTGAGGCAGTGCGAATTGGCGTTTTTCTTTCGAATTTTCTGTAACTGTTTGCTATTTATTGTGAGGCACTGTGATCTTTGTAGAGTGGCATAATATGCTTAGTATTATACGTGTAATGGTACCATTAGGGAGACATGGTATCGTAATTTCTTCGAACGGTGGGAGACATCTGTCATTATTCATGTCTCCCTAATGTCACAGCCCCCCTTTAGAGGCACAATTTTATTGCTGCAATTAGGTTATATTTGTTGCTCGTGGTCTAATTGGTAAGCATACCGTAATTCGTAGAAAAAGGACAAGGGAATATTGGGTTAGGACACATTGAAGTTTGAAAATTTTTGTGCACAAGTCTTTTGGGATGTCTCCCAAATGTCCAATCCAGGGTAATAAGTATTATTATTATTATTATTAAGAAATGTGGATGAAATACAAGAAAAAAACCTGGCTGATTTATGCATGGCTTAACATAACCAATGCAGGATATGGCCTTCTGGCTTGATGTAATGCATCCTCCTCAAAAAAGCAATACATCTTTGCCATTCATCCTCAATCCTCTAAAATCATCCCAAAACCAGCAGGAGGATTTTGAGGGATTGAGGAGGGTTAGGGTTTTAATCAACGGTTGCAAGGATACGACTTACATTTGATAATGGAGCAGTCCTTTGAGCCACTGTATGCGTGTTTGTTGTCCGACGAGATGACCAGACAGGTTACCGATAGCTGGTGACCTCTGAGTACGGCCATCTCGGGGGTAGCTTGGAAGTCATAATCTTGGGCCACCTTCTTCTGAAGCTTACCACTCTGCTCAAGCTAGGACCATGGAGAAAAGAAAATACAGTATAAGTTATTAGTTATCAAATTTGAAAAGATTTACAATACACATGTCGTTAACCGTAACCTTCCCAAAGGCTCTTTGCAAAATGGAGGATTTTGCAGTATTGAGGCTATATGGCAAAAGTGTGTTGCTGATTTTGGAGAATGCACTGTGTCAAGGTCTTGGCCACATGTTTATGCTCAGTCATGCATGAGTTTCGGCCTAGATTATACTTGAAATCCTCCGCACAGCTCCAGGATGTCGCTGGCTCTGCATCAACATATTGGCAGTGATTGCCGGGGATTTGGCAGGATTGAGGCAGTGGTCACCCCTCCAAGGACCACATTCAAGAAATAATGGATGATTTTGGAGGATTGAAGCTGTATGCAATATTTACATGGAGGCAGTTGGAGGATTTTGCAGGATGGAGGTTGCATCCCAGCGAAAATGCCTCTAGAGGGAGTTAGGGTTAGCATTTAGCAATCTATGCATTTTTAATAATCAAAAGGAAATCAACAACACATCTTTCACTGATACAACAGGCCTGAAATAACAAAAAAGGGGCAAAGTGATTTTATAACATGGACATTCTTGTCAGACTTTTTAGTGAAAATATTTATTACACATTGTTATCGAGATCATGAACATCCCCTAAGATAACAAAGCATCAGGCCTATTTACTTTGACTTTTGTATTATTCTTGGATTCTGTAAAGTCCAATTAAAATATCTTACGTTTGATTGGATAAAACATGCATGAAATTTGCACAATATTTGCATTTAATTTGCATACTTACCACCTCCTCCCGGAGCCTGTGTGAGATGGCATCTCTATCAATGTCTTTGGTCTCCTCATTGTCTTTTTCTAGAGTCACAAAAACCAAAAAAAAAAAGGAATGCTTGTATGACCCAAAATATTTCAACCTTGTTTGCAATTGTCTAGTAACAAATACACTTTGCTTGATAAGGATAATTATTTTATCCTGCAAAATTAAAAAAAAAAATTATTTCATTCATGACCAAAACTCAGTATGCGTCTTCTGTAATGCTATTTCAAAAGCAAAATTATTGTCAGAATTTGCATCACCTGCCAAAATCATCCATCAATAATCCCGATTTTTGCAAATGAAGCCCGTTAGACCTGTTACATGTTTCTACAAAAGCCTCGTATCACATCCTTCCCTTTTCTGTACACTCCCCTCCTTACTTGATACATTTGTAACCTTTCTAGATACGTCCCGTCTTAGGAACACATTTGTAGATATGCCCCCTTCCTCGCATTCCCCTCCCCCAACTATATAGACACGCCCCTTTCTTTACATGTTCCGTCCTAAAACATGCCCCTTTCTTGAGATGCCCCTTCTTCACAGGTCCTCCTCCATGACAAACCCCCTTTGTAGACACACCTCTTTCCCTTTCTTGACACACCCCCTTCTTGACATGTCCTGGTCTTTACCCACCCCCTCCTAGACATGCCTCCTCCTTCCATCATTACTAACACGCGCCCTTCTGTACACAACTCCTTCTTTACATATCTGTGTTTACATGCCCCCTTCCTAAACAACCCTCCTACTTCCAATTAAGACATACCTCCTTACTACTGGCACCCTTCCACCTACTACACACACCTCCTTCTTGACGTAGCCGTCTTGGCACACTTTTCTTGACAAAGCTGTCTCTACACACCCCTTCCAAGACAACCCTGCCACTTCCAAGACACACCTCCTTCCTAGACACACCCCTCTTTGAAATAACCCCTTCTTGACATGCCCCCTGTCTCTACGTATACCCTTTTAAGACATGCCCCCTTCCAGAACACGCCTCATATTTCCTAGACAGGCCCCTTCAAAGACACATCCCCCTCCTTGAAACGCTCCCTTTTGACACATCTCCTTTTCTAGACACGCCTTCTACCCAGATACCAACCTTCTTCCTCAAGCTGTGCCAAGTACTGCTTGGTCAGTCGTAGCCGCTTTTCTTGAGCCGTCTCCTCCTCCTCTGATTCGGAAGACGAAGGTTCCAACTTCCTCTTGCTAGCTGGGGTTTCACTATGTTTCAGATTTTTAGTCATCAAATAAGAAATTTATACGTTTTGAATACAGAGTCGTATTGTTTACAAAACACACCTTCACCATGTTCACTATGATTTGCCAATGTCTACGGCACATTATTTTGGTAGACAAAAATTTACAGTACACACGTATGTACTTGGCTGACAAAATACTTACATTTCATCTTCAGAAGAATCGCTGACAATCTCTTCACTCAGTTTCGACTTCTTTTTCCTAATCTTGTTGCTGGCAGCAATGCTCATATCTCGCTTGGGCTTGCCATTATTGGAATCCTTTAGGACAAATAATTAATAAGCTCTATTTTAGAAAGTGAAAATAACATTCCACAAATTGTACCTTTAGGCATATTATACTTGTCGTAGAGACACCATGCATGACAGCATGACTATACCTGAGAAAAGTATCAGGTGAGCAATTCCAGCGTTATGAAAGGCAGTGTACTGTCCGTGACAGTCAATTAACCATGATATCTAACAAATGAATCACAGGAATTATCCAAAACTCCTAGTCTGTAATCTCCTTGACCATTGCTAGGTGATGGATGTATAAGATTTGAACACATTTTCAGGTTTATTCACTGAGCTCTTTAATTAAAGCTCTTTCTTGGACATTACATAATGCTGGAATTAACCAGGTACAAAAGTAGAAGATACCAACTTTGTAAATGAAAGTGTCTTTGAGCAACACTCCCTTTTATCCAAGCCCATTGCCCAACACAACCATCAGATTTCTCCCCGAAAACTGTTGTAAAACTGCCTGACAGTGACAGTCTTGACAGTGACACATTGCATCAGATATCACGGCGATCGTGTAGTGTAGGGCCCCTGTGTTGTTTTGATCGAATTGGGTCAAAAATGTTTTTTTATTGCTCAAAAATCACCTTTATAATTAAAGCAGACTTTTCTCAATTTTAATGACACCCGTTTCGTAATTTTGAACAGTTTCTTGGGGTAAAAATCATGATTTTCCTACGCGGTTTGTGCCTTGCGATTCAGCGAGCCGTGCGTGCTCACGGTACATCGCGCAATGATCGCCATCTTTATTTTTGGGTTGCGTGTTGTCGCCGCGCTGTCATTATTATTTCATCCCCAAATTTGCCTCAAAAAACCAAAACCCTGCCCTCTATCTATGAGTGACACACCTGTTTATTGAGAATGTCACAAACTAGTTTGGTCGGTCTAATATCTTAGAGTGGATTTTGTTCCCTTATACAATGTAGGAACCGGGCCCTAAACTACACGATTGCCGATATCACTATCACTAAAGCTAGCTGGAGTTACCTCAGCCCTAAATTTTATCATTGGGTTGTCATTTTGGGCTGGAGGAAGTTATTAACTTGGACTAGCAGATACACAAATGAAATCGAAAATGTGCCATTTTGCCCCCGTAACACAATAATTCCAACTTGGACTCACCCAAGCCTTGCCTGGCATAACCACTACACAGGTCCTTGAAGAAAAAAAACGATCCACAATGAAGATTCAGCCTACAATTGCAGTGAAAAAAGGAAGCATAACCAACAGCCGTGCGGCCATGATGATGCCGGGCGTAGATTTGTGCACAAACAAACTTCGTGTACAAAGGAATGGCAATGCGCGGTCGATTACCATGCACAGCGCGCATACCAGTCACACTTGCCAACTGCATGGCGCGGCGCGGCATGGCGCTGAAGCGCACACCCGACTATTGTTTTATGCACTACTGCTGCACTAACTATGAGGCTTCACTCGAATCATGGCTGAGGTAGAACTGCAGCCGAAGTTGGCTGACAAACAGTCGTCAGTTTCATTCATTCATTCATTCATTCTTTATTATTTTTACCACATCTCATTTCATTAAGTGACATGGCATAAATACATACATGTAGTTTTGGGTATTATAAAGTTCGAGCTTGTTTTACAAAATATATATATTTATACACTTTTGGCGCATTATTTTCTAATTAGAGATGGTGGAAGGGGATCTCCAAAAAGCAGAGCTTGTCGAGTAGGGATCCCCTCTAACATGGATTAATATAAACATTTAACCCTAACTCCCTAGGCCTTTTTGCTAGGATGTAGCCTCAATCCTGCAAAATCCTCCAATTGGCCCTCATGGAAAAATAGCATATAGCCTCAATCCTGCAAATTCCTCTGTTATTTCTTGAATATGGTCCATGGAGGGATGACCACTGCCTGAATCCTGCAAAATCCTTCGGCTATGTCTGTCAATAGGCTGAGGCAGAGGCAGTGACATCCTGAAGCAGTGCGGAGGATGTCAAGTATAATCAAGGACTAAATTTATGCACGGCTGAGCATAAACAACACAAGGTCCGGCCCAAGACCTTGACACAGTGCGTACTCCGAAATCAGCAACGCACTTTTGCCATGTAACCTCAATCCTGCAAATTCCTCCAATTTGCAAAAAGGATTTTGGAGGATTCAGGGCGGTCTGAAAAACAATTGAACGTATAAATTTTAAATTGTACATAACACACGGAAAAGCATAATATTGCTGATCAGAAAAAAAGAAATACAGAGTAGTAACCCAGTAAGAAGATTAATCTGAGCTACCGGTATTATAATTTGATAGTAAATTCGATTTAAGTTTGGATTTAAATAATGGAAGGCTACGAATGCCCTGGAGTGATTTATGTAAGGACTTCCAGTACTTAGGGCCTTCAGTTGAGCGCTTCAGCGCCATGCCGCGCCGTGCAGTTGGCAAGTGTGACTGGTTCGCCCGCTGTGCATGGTAATTCACCGCGCACTGCCATTCCTTTGTACACGAAGACTACTCTGGTCATCATCATGGCCGCACGGCTGTCGGTTGTGCCTCCGTTTTTCACTGCAATTGTAGGCTGAATCTTCATCGTGGATCGATAACTGCACTATGAATGTATGATAACCGGCCAACCTCGGCTGCCATTCCAGTACCACAGCAAGAGCAAGAGCGACTGGTTCGCGCGCTGTGCATGGTAATCAACCGCGCATTGCCATTCCTTAATTGTACACGCAGTTTGTTTGTGCACAAATCTAGCTCCGGGCATCATCATGACCGCACAGTTGTCGGTTATGCCTCCTTTTTTCACTTCAATTATAGGTTGAATCTTCATCGTGGATCGTTTTCACTTCAAGGTCCTGTGTAGTGGTTATGCCAGGCAAGATTTGGGTGAGTTCCAGTTGAAATTAGTGTGTCATGTGTGTTACGCCTTACGGGGACAAAATTGCACATTTTCAAATGTTTTTGGAAGGACCTGCCAATGCTGCAGGTTCAAGTGAAAAACTTCCTCCAGCCAGAAATGACAACCCAATAATACAATTTAGGGCTGGGTAACTCCAGCTACTCTAGCCCTAAATGACAACCCAATGATTTAGGGCTGAGGTAACTCCAGCTACCGGTCCTACTAAAGTGCGTCAACAACCGTCAACAAGCCTCAACGGTCGTCAACGAGCATCAACAAATTTTGTACATGCTTTTGAACATTAAAAGTAGCTTTATATGGTAGAAAAAGCAACAAAGAACATTTTCTGCATATCAATTAAAGTTAAAATTATTTAAAAACTTGTTTTTTTTAACGGTGTTGACGCTTGTTGACGCACTTTAGTACTTAGTAGGACCCCCAGCTACAATATAACATGTATAAAGGGTTTCGATCCAACTCGGACCCAAACCAACTCGGACCCAAGCCAACTCGGACCCATGCCAACTCGGACCCACTACCAACTCGGACCCATGCCAACTCGGACCCACTACCAACTCGGACCCAAGACCAACTCGGACCCACTACCAACTCGGACCCATGCATGACCAGCTCGGACCCATCGTTTTCAATCATTCGAAATCGTTTTCAATCATTCATTTCAAAAAGTTTGTCCACTTCTCATCTGTTATTACAGTGATGCTGTTTAGTATAAATTTTCATTGTAATTGTAAGGTAAATTATCTCATATCTGTATTGCAGCAGTATAACATTTTTAAGCGCATTAAAATGCTATTTAGAAATGCACTTTAACTTGAAGTGTAATTAATTATTTATTATTTTCATTTGTTTTTCATTAAAACATATTGCGCTTTAAAAGTTTAACCAATTGTTTATTTTCATTAAAACATATTAATTGACATCGTTCACACCATCTTGCTAAATTTAACAGCTATTATTACATTTTTAATCCAAACTTCAACGTAACAAGTATACAAATTAAGAACAGATCTTCATAGAAAAATAAAATTGGAAAGTATGGCATTAAAACATAAACACTTTCAAACATAACATCATTAACTCAATAAATATAAGTAAACATAAGTCACTAAATAAAATAAATAAGATATAAAAACGAATGAGTGTTTAAAAATGAGTGTTTAGCAACAGTATTTACTGTACGCATCATAAAATAGCGCTCCACACAGCGGCAATACAAGAAAACAACAAAACTAAAAGCCCCATTCTGCCCAATGTAATTACAGAATATCTTCACTTTATAAGCACTAACATTAAGATCACCTATAACTATAATCTCTGAAACTAAAATGATTGAGTCATTGTTGGGTCCGAGTTGGTCGTGCTTGGGTCCGAGTTGGTCGTGAGTCCGAGTTGGTCGTGGGTCCGAGTTGGTAGTGGGTCCGAGTTGGTAGTGGGTCCGAGTTGGCGTGGGTCCGAGTTGGCATGGGTCCGACTTGGCATGGGTCCGACTTGGTTTGGGTCCGAGTTGACCTGATACCGTATAAAGCAGTAAGTCATAAACATGATAAATCCAACAAAAACAACATGAAACTATAAAATGAAAACTTGACAAAGTTCTACATTTTCGGGTACATGTTCCAACTGTGGCTTTTATTTAGGGAGGTAATCCAGTAAATTGGCCACATTTATGGGGCTAAAACTTAAAAGCTAAAAAGCGGCGTGGCCAAGTCTTAAGACCAAGGTGTCTGAAATACACATCGAACAGGTAGCCCATGCATGAACGATTACAACGTGCGTAGAAATTTCGTGGGGAGAGTGGAAGTTTTGTTTGCGGTTCTCACCTTTTTGCCCAGGGGTTTCTTTTTCTTAGATGGTGCGCCTCTGATGAAGAAGGACATGACTGCAATAACGAAGAATTCCCTCAAATAAAACTATAAAGATGGGAGAGAGAACTGAAACAAGTTGCACACATATCCACGTGCGCGCTGACAACCGAACTATTGGTGGCGCTGTCACGCCCCAACTATCGCATTGGTCCCAACTATAGTTGGGCCTGTCCCAACTATAGTTGGGCCTGTCCCAACTGTAGTTCCACAGTTGGGCTGGCCCAACTATAGTTGGGCCTGTCCCAACTATAGTTAGGACGGTCCCAACTGTAAGTTCCACTGTTGGGCTGGCCCATCTATAGTTGGGCCACTCCGATCTTTTTATTTTGCGGTGTCCCAACTATAGTTTACATTGATGTACAACTGTAAAACGTTCCCTACAGCTCTGATACACGTCTGACTTTACTGGGGACCACTGAAATTAGCTATTGATGGGGCGAATCTATAGTTGGGCCACTCCAATCTTTTTATTTTGCGGTCCCAACTATAGTGTACATTGTTGTACGATTATAAAACATTCCCTACAACTCTAATACACATCTGACTTTACTTGGGACCAATGAAATTATCTATGGGTGGGGACCATCTGTAGTTGGGCCACCGCAATATTTTTATTTGGCGGTCCCAACTATAGTTTACATTGATGTACGACGACTATAAAACATTCCCTACAGCTCTGTTACATACTGTCCGACTTTACTTGGGACCTTTGACATTAGCTATGGGTGGGGCCCATCTATAGTTGGCCGGCCATGGCAATCTTTGAATTTTGCAAAATGTTGCTGGACAATCCGCCACCCTCTAGTGTCGTCCCACCATTTCCTACCTCCATGGTCCCACTTACCGATGATATCACATTTAACAAGTCCTCTTTCTCTACTGTCGCGCCGCCAACCTCTAGTGTCGTCCCACTTACCGATGATATCACATTTAACAAGTCCTCTTTCTCTACTGTCGCGCCGCCACCCTCTCGTGTCGCCCCACTTGATGATCATCGGTAAGTGGGGCAACAGTAGAGGGTGGTGGCGCGACAGTAGAAAGAGGACTTGTTAAAATGTGATGATCATCGGTAAGTAAGACGACACTAGAGGGTGGTGGCGCGACAGTAGAAAGAGGACTTGTTAAATGTGATATCATCGGTAAGTGGGACGACACTAGAGGGTGGCGGCGCGACAGTAGAAAGAGGACTTTGTTAAATGTGATATCATCGGTAAGTGGGATGCAGAACATACAGTGTGCATCTACATGTATATCCTGGGTCCTTGCTCTATGGTATATCTATCAGTACCGTGCGTGATATACTACTCATGAGCTTCTAGTGACGTCATAGTCATGCATATTCATTACGCGCTGTACTGTCGTACCATTTTATGCTACCAAAATGGTCATGTTCCAAGCGGGGCGGTAATTATGACGGTACCGTACGTGTGTGATGATAAAGCGAGGCCGGTAGATATGTCAACAAAAAGAGAGAAAAAAAGCGAAAACCCATTTTTGCCTTGTAATAAAACAACTTCAACGGTACAAATTCTTGCAGGATATTAACCCTAAAGGGCCGGCCGGAACCCAACCCCCCCCCCTCAATTTTTCCGCGATAGCCTTGAAAAAAAATTTCGCGACCCGAGCTGTTCTGACTTTTTAGCCTCGAGCCTTGCGCATCTTTTGATACCAAAAACATAAAAGTCGGACCACGGGTTGCCGCGTAGCGAAAAAAATTCCGGCGCTATGCGCCGTGAAAACTGAATTCCCATATATACATATTTAGTTTAGTAGGAAGAAGGGGTTATCGTGCACCCTCTGAAATCAGTTTCTAATTGACGTCTCTAGATCAGAAAAAAATGCATAGAAAACGATTTGCTATGTTAAAAAAATCAACCAATGTCCCACGTATTGTTTTTATGCAAATTATGCCGCCGATTACCGAAAAATCCATTGTTCAGCCAATGTTGCAGATATCATAACCGGAACGAATAAGGTGTCTAAACCCATGTTTTCAGGGTCAAAGATCACAATAAAACTATTCTGGAAGTGACCACATGTGTCTGTGGCATAGGAATATGCAAATTAGTGCCGCCATTACCGAAAAATCATGTTTGTGGCATATCTCGGCCAATATTGCTCGTAACTTCACAAGTAAGGTGTCTAAACCCATGTTTTGAGTGTCAAGTATCATTCTTAGATCATTCCTGAAGTATATGCGTGTCATGTGTGTCCTTAGCATACGGTATATGTACATTCTAAAGTGACGGTTTATCAGAAATTTGCTTTTTAGCCAAAACGATTTCTCAGTCATTTGCAGCTAGCTAATGTTCACAGAGGGGTTTTTGAGGGCGATACTTTCGCAATTGTATCTTCAATTATTTCCCATTCTTTTTCCCATTCCAGATAAGCAGTAGTGATAAAAGTTGATTTTAAGCCATCGGACATCTGCGCTCGAGATTCGTTTGCATATGATGGCTTAAAATCAACTTTTATCAGTACTGCTTATCAGGAATGGGGAAAATGGGAAATGAAAGATATCCTTGCGAAAGAATCGCCCCAAAAAAAACCTCTGTCAATATTAGCCGCAATATTGGATGAGATATTGGCTAAAAATCAAATTTCAAACTAGAGGTTCGCGTTTGTTGTTACAAACGCAGAGTGGTCGGTTAGACAACCATTTCATTAGACATTGTCCAGTTAAGTTATGAATATGTTTATGTCAGAAAAAAAGGACCAAGAAATTCAACATTTCCAGTACCAATTATTTTGTACAAAAAGAATGGGTCTTTTTAAGGTATGATAAATTTCAGTAGTTGGGTACACGTTGGGTGTGATGACGTCATCAGTCAAAACAGGGAAGGGAAGACACTTGTTTATCATTAAGTAAAAATAACCCATGGGAATATGGAAATTAAGTGTATGTAATAATAACAGCTAACTTCCAGTTTGATGACGTCACAGTATTTGGAAGCAAAAGGTCAACATTAAGTGCAACAGATGTCATTTTTTGGGGGGCAAAAAACAAAGTCATGAGACAGGGATCAAATGATGGATTTAAATTAAAAAATAAAATGGTCATTGTTGAATTCTCCCTACAGTAACTTCCGGTCTGATGACGTCATGATTATGAAACCTTACAAATTCATTTGTGGTTGCTCACGGGATATTATAAGGGCAATATATCATTAAAAATTTGGTTGAGGGTTTTAACATTTTAAAAGATTAAACTGTTTTCTATGTGCCTCTGGAGGGCGCCCGTTCATGGATGACGTCAAAATAATGTTTTTGTGATTGGCATTCATCACTTAACACTTCCATAATGTATTTGTCTGTAGTAAAATGCTTCCGTTTTAGAGTTAGATTCAGTTTCTATTGCACTTCCGGTAACACCGGAAGTAAAGGTCAAGCAGTTTTGTGCCCGGGAATAAGAAATGTTGCTCAAGGCACCGTCTACAACCTCACGAAAAAACGAACACGATACTCTATCTAGTTCAAGAGATATAGGTCAAAGTATTTTGTCAAATCGTGCAATCAAATCGCTTGTAATTTGATACCTGATGACGTCATGATAACGTAACAACAGTTATAACATCTTTGTAACATGGTACAAGTTCACACTAGGTTTTATGATCATACCGTAAACCGTTTGGAAGAAATTGTGCTTTGTTTCGATTTCAGGCAAATGTCTTCATTTTGAATTTACCTAAATTTGACCTTCCGGTGGACCCGGAAGTAAAGGTCAAGCGAGTTCACGTACACGACAAAAAAAATGTTTATCAATTTATGGTCTATCTGATTACAAGGTTGGAGCATAATTGATCATTTTGTTGAAGAGTTATAGATGAAAGAAGATCGTTTTTTTCAACGAAAATCGCTTGTAATTTGACAACCGATGACGTCATAATGACGTCAGTGTAATATGCACCACTCGGAATGAGGGTCAATATATGTTAAAAGTTACAAGTTCATATCATATACCGTTCATATAGGAGAAAACCAGCGGAAACGTGCTATGCAGAAAAAAAGAAGAAAAAAAAAGATTAATCGCAACAAATCCAAAGAGTGGTCGGGTTGTGCCCGACCACTCAACTAGAAAACACTCAGAGAGCGCAAACCTCTAGTCTGAGTATCACCCGGAGCCAAGAGTCTCCTGTATACGTCCTATATGTATAGACATGCAGACATATGCAAGCCACATGCCAGCCAATCGGAATAGACTTTACTAAATCGTTACGTCATTTCATTCCCAAATCAGGACTAAATGGATTGATTGGTCAATTCGAATGCAGTGTTTTGTAATGCAAAAACAGCCGGGCGCATTATCACGAACATGATTCAGAGCGCGTGACAGGTTTTTTTTTACATCCATTGTCTATGGCGCGCAACGGGTGAATGAAATAGCCTAGCGGTTAAATTGCTGACCCACGGGTGGAGAATTGGTGGTTCTAATCCCGGCACATGTGTCATTTTAGTTTTCAACGCGCGCTGTCCGACACTTCTTATAGCTATAAAGGATTTAATATACCGTCCTCAAATACCAACAGTACCTTAGCTAAATCGGTAAGCACTGCTGCTGGTACTGTCCGCGAATTCCAGGTAGGCATCTTCGTACAGGTTCAAGGCATGGTCTACTCGGGGGATCAGGACTTAGGATAGCTCCTCCCTGTAGCTCTTTGGTTATACATGGTGCCTGGCCCTCGGGTTATATGGATGGACAGGGAAAGAAGTGTGTGTGCCGGGACCTCATGAGATCCCAGAAGACTCCTATAAGGGTCGGCATGGGCTTATTGGGATGGCTTATTCGGTCCCTGAATGCTTGGTCAGCACATAACTTTTTTGTTTTATTCACCACAGTTTTTTTTAAACACTTGCAAGTATTAATTAATCGAATATATGTTTACCTTTTTTTTTTTTAGGAAAGTAACAAAATACAGTCTCCACGTCCAATGAGAGACAACATTTTTTGGCCGGGGCCGGGGGTGGGGGCCCAGCGAGATTTGGCAGGGCTTGCAGACCCAGATCCGGATCACTTCCAAAATCTAATCGATTTGTACATGTACCAAGGACAAACCCCTAAAATAATTAATGAAAATCCATCCATAACTTTTGAGTTATCTTGTTATCAGACAAGCCAACA